TTGAGAGGGACACAAGGCCTTGTTTATGAGGATCCTTGTGATTGGGGTTGAAAACACCCATGTTGTCACGTTTGAGCCTCTTGGCAACAGCTTCCACATCACTAGAGGTTTGAAAGGTCTGTGTGGTAGGGAGAGAGGCGCCCGGCGGCTGTGAGCGTATCCAATGCCAATGCTGCTTCCAGAGCTGCTGCTGCTGGAAGAAGAAGATTCCGAGTCGCTTGAATCATCTAGTCGTAGGTATCTGCGATGCTTGTGGTGACTGCGGCGGTCGCGGCGGCTGTGGTGGCTATGCCGGCTTCCTTTTGCTTCCTCCCGCCTGAAGGGGGTTTTGGCTGAGGTGGGGCCTTTTGGGGTTCCGTTGACTGCAACATAGCTTGAGAATTTATACCTCGCTGTTCCGTGGGAAGTTGTTGGTCGGCATCCGGAAGATATACCAAATTGATGTCATTGACCTCGAATCAACTTCCTTGGGCGTGATCTTCGAGATCAATTTCATCATGTTGTCCTCTGTGGGTTCCGGCACAATATAGGCTTTTTCCACCACTGCTCTCCATGCAGGCACATGTTCGAGGTCCGAGATGCCGGCTTGTGGTACAGCCAATACTTCGCGTAGGCTGATTTGATGAGCACAGACGTGGAAAAGGAGATCTTCCAAGGCTTCACATGCTTCCTTGTCACGGACTGTGAAGGTATCGAGAGCTTCCTTAGATTTGTCTCGCATCAGCTTGAGGAATCGGATGGACCATTTCCACGCGTTGAGAGCTTCTGGGAGCTGCTGTAATTGGTCTGCCAATTGCGAATGATTGTCCTTGGGGTTGAGAGAGACTCTGTTGCGCTTCGGGCGGCGTTGCTGGACTGCGTCCGGTAGCCGGGGTCCATCATCTTCTTCAGCCGGGCGTGGCGAGCTTCTATCGTCAGCTTGCTTGACCGAGCTTCCTTCGTTGGTCGGTTTGGCCATTGTGTGGTCGGTTTGCTTGCCAGCTGACACTTGCGATAGTGATATACGATTACACGGGCTTTCGCAAAACTTCCTATCACCAAAGTCGTCACGAGCGAAAGACACCTTAATGCAACGGTATTGACCCTATAGCGTTATCACGAGGGTGAAGAAATGTTGGCTGCTAGCTGTCAAGGGTGTCGGTCGCACCACAAGGTTAGCTGGTTAGCAAGCCAAAGGATTGATGAGCTTTGGGATAAGCTCGTGGGGGGTGGTGAGCTTGGGTAAGCTCGTGGGGGCGACTTATGTAAGTCACGATGGTTGTTTTGGTGGTTTTTTTGTGCGAGCCCGAGTCAACGGCTCACGTGTGGTGCCCAAGCAGACTTGAGCTATGGTGTGAGGCTTACACAATGGCTCACTGGTGCTAATCAAAGCAAAGGGTAGGAATTGCTACCAATCTGATGCATTTTGCATATGGATGAGATGAAGTGGGATCGTTGTTTCTCCAACTAAGCTATGACTGCCTCATCCTTATGTAGGAGGCAGCCAGGTCGGACTATCTAGGCGATCCGGCCGGTTTACAAGGCAGCCACATACCGATGCCTGTTCACACGGCTGCCTGTTTCACACGGCTGCCTGTTTCACACGGCTGCCTGTTCACACGGCTGCCTGTTCACATGGCTGTGCGTGCGGCAGCCGGTGTCCTTGATGCTTGGTGCCGTGCCCAACGCTCCAGTGTGCGTAGGGACACGCAAAAACGCATCAATCTTGGACGATTGGGCGCAACGTGCGTCGATTCGGTAGCCTTCAGAACGAAACGTGAGGGGTTAGGATTTTGCCCCGAACGATGGTTTACATCTTCGCCACATACCTCCGAGTACCCATTTGTCCCCCCCAAATATCCATTGGTCTGAGAGGGTATCTTGACTAACACTATCCCAGACAACGAACTGCTTAACGCGGCTTGCAGCCACAGTAGGTGATCCGTACACGTCTTGGAGATCGATTTTTGTTTCCACGCAAGAGCCGCCGCTGGGACCGCTTACAGCCTTAATAAACTTATCTTGTCGTTCGAAAGTATACGAGATTCTGGACCAGGTCCCGGTGGTACACCCGTCCCCGACCTTTAACCAAACAGTCAAGCTGTCGAAGTCTTTGCAGCCGTGGATCGTCGTCGGCGACTTGTTATCGGTCATACTTTTAACCTCGGTAACGAGTTCGCGACAATTGTTCTTCTTGGTTTGCTCTGAGAAGTATTAGCCTTGGATCGGCATTGGTATGGTGCAGCGGCTTGTACCCTCATCCCTAATTGCCAGCTTGGTTTCTGGCTCGAACCTTTTGATCATCAGACGGCGAGGCCTTTTGATACTGGCAAGTGTGGCCAACGCAACGGCACAAACAGCCCGGTTTAGGTTGCCCTGTTGCAGTTGCTGGACGTCGCTGTCCGATAATGCCTGCCCCGCCTCCTGAGCCCAGGGATAATTCGCAACCGCATCCAAGTCTTCTCGCGAGATTTCAGCTGCGTCTGTTCAATGTTAGCGCGGGTGATTCTGTGTTGCATAGGCCTTCTGTCCTCACCTCCCGCAGAATCATCTTCTTGGCCTCCCGCTGTTGGAGGAGCTTCCTGTTGAGACTGGGGCTGCTGAGTTTGAACCGGGTGGCCTGGACAGCTGTCAAACTGCCCGACGGGACACTCCTCCACGGCGGATCCACCGGCCGTGCCGAAACATGAGGTAGCTCCACGGCATATCCAGTTGGCAAGATTGTTCACCGCTTCGCAAAACCTGCTTAAACACGAATCCATTCTTGGTGTGTACGGACTTTCGTTTTGCCAAGCATAATCGGGGTTTGGAATCCACTGCGTCACTGTAGGTCGATTCGAATCCTCCAGGACGTAGGCGCCGGCTATAGATGAACCGGGGATGGAATTGGTGGGAACCGCGAATTCATGCCTCGCTCGTGCCTCCGGGTTCGTCGGAAACAGGTCGGGAACCGAATATCCATCGAGTAAGCCGTTGGGCGCAACAACGTAAAGGTAGCCCGTCCGCGCCGGCACCCGCAAGCCACCAAAGGAATATGGCACAGCTACAGAACCAGCTCGCGAAAGCGATACCAGCTCTGGGCGATCGGAGGTGATGAAGCCGTTGATGCGGTGAGGGGCGAATCCAGTCTGGAATATTATGCTGGTGTTTCGGGAATCACCACGAAAGAAGAAGCCAGGGCGTGCTGTGATCGGACATGGGCCGGTTGGCAATCTCCGAGGCGGGCGTACGTTTCAAGGCCTTGGAGATTGTGCTGGCTGCGTCGTTTGCTGGTGCAGCTAATGCGCCAACAAGCGACGCCAGAATCAGAGCGAATGCGCGCATCTACCGCTCCGAGCCACATCTGCGTTAGCCGACTATAACAGTTATAGCCGTAGCGACTTTGGGTGCTTTTACTTATCCGAGAATGACTGACCTCGGCGATTCTTATCCATGAAATATGATACTCGTCATAGCAGGAAAAGCGACGATGGGAGACGAGCAGGGGCAGGTAATCTCATCATTTATAATAGAAGTTCAGTCCGCCATCCCCCCCTTCTACTCCGAAGCGAGAAATAGGACTGTATTGTTATATCTCTTCATTCACACCCTGTCGTTTACGTACATGTATTCGATTACCAAGTCATGTGTAGCATTACCGGCGCTGTTTCTTGACGCTTAATAGAAATGAAAGGGGCCAAGTATTAATGCGAGCCCACTTGGTGTATATCATGTTCGGTATAGGCAAAATAATAACTACGTCACGCGGCTTGTGGCGAATCAAACGAGTCGTTCAGCTGCAATTATCGAGCGTGGAAACCTCGCAATGATGGCGCCGTTACATTCTCCAGCAGAGTATGTTTAAGCAAGAAGCGGTAGAAAGAGTATACCGGCGATGTCCAAGCCGTCAGCACGGAGCTTTGAACCTCAGGCAATAAATGATGCATATCTCTAAGCCGGGAGGCTGCAGAGATATCTTACTTCAAATATGGCTTCCAAGCAGGTTTATGAAGCAATCTTTTAAAGTGTATCGACAAGCCGACGCTCCCCGTCAAGCCAGAACACAGTTCCGAAAATGCTCAGCTGGTTGCAACTGCCAGGCTGGTTAATCGGATTAACGGGCGGGAGTCAGCTGGATTGGATATGCATTACTCTTTGCTACGGAACCAGTCCTGCAGGTGGTCAAGGCATAGAGAAGAAACCGTGGGGTCGGCCGAAGAGGAGGTGGAGAGGAGGTGGAGACTTTGTTCAACTGCCGGCAGATGTCTGGATTGAGTGTGGGCTTACAGGGGGGGAAAGTCTGCTTGTCCACGCACTCGTCTGGACTTGACCGGTTTTTCAAGCCTTGGCTGCCCCACGATGGATTGGAAATGCGGAACCGCGGTTTCACCATCTTGTGGTACATGAATTGTGTACAAGAATTGTCATTGGTAGGAGATGTGGTCAAGCCGCCCTCTTGACGTCGCAAAGTGGGGCTATGGTCGGCTTGTCCATGCACTCTCGGTAGGAGCATGTCATAGCCGGACCTCATAAGAGCCAGCAAGGGCCCCGGTGGCCTCGGAGCCGACTGTTTGCGAGTCATCCGCAGGATGGGAGACTGTTCTTGTGGTCGAGTGCCTGTGGCCGGGTGCCTGTGGCCGGGTGCCTGTGGCTGGGCATGTAGAGATGCATAGACTTGAGCCAAGCAGCAGTCGCACCCTGTAATCTCTAGTATCGCTCCGAGTCAGTTTGGTTACTCGACCCAAGTCCCCTTCGGTGCCACGGTCGAGATGTCGAAGGAGAGGATAGAGATGGCGTCTACCAAGACATGTGGTGGAAGACTCGGATGACTAAGCAGTCCGGCAACTCCGCTCCACGCTTAGCTAATGCCCAAAGTCCGCTCGGCCCTCCGGACCGCCGCCAAAGCCCGAAACCTCGTGCGTGTCGCGCTTAAGTCCGGAGGCGTCATCCATCACTGAAGCCTCCTTCGCCTGGCCCCCTCTTGCCGCCGGTGCCGTTTTGGGCCGCGCGACCCTTTTATAAAGCCCCGCTTCTCCCTCCCCATGCTCAAGTCGCATCAGACGGCCTCGGCGGTGCTTCAACGTTCGCGCCTCAGCTTCGCCGCCTCGACCTGTCCGCCGCCACCCAAAATGTCCACGACCGAGGCTCCCCTGCGGCCTCAGCACGCCCACGCCGACGACCCGAGACCCCAGCAGCAGAGGCCCCAGCAGCCGCCCTCGGTCTACTTTCCTCTTGGATACAAGGACGCCGCCTATCAATGGGTACCGTCTCTCTCCTCCAGGGACTCCCGTCACAAGTGGCTAATGCTTCCCTCGACGCCTATAGTGGACCAGCGTCACGCCACCCATGGCGGAGAGGACCGTCCTCTCCCTCATCCCCCACCTCCGCGAGGACGTCGGCAACACGTCCAGCGCTCCCAGTGACGCACCCGACCCCTTTGGTACTCGCGTCTGGCGCCGCTCCCTCGTCAAGCTCTCGGGCAAGAACCGCGCCCTCAACGAGGTCTGCGTCGAGCGCGTCGGCGAGGACGTGGACGAGACGCTCGTCATGGTCCACGGCTACGGCGCCGGCCTCGGCTTCTTCTACAAAAATGTTGAGCCCATCTCCCGCATCCCCGGCCTCAGGCTCTACGCCCTCGACATGCTCGGCATGGGCAACTCGTCTAGACCCTCGTTCAAGATCCACGCAAAGGACAAGGAGCAGCAGGTCATCGAGGCCGAGAATTGGTTCATCGACGCCCTCGAGGAGTGGCGCAAGGCCCGTAGAATCGAGCGCTTCACCCTGCTCGGCCACTCCCTCGGCGGCTACCTCGCCGTTTCATATGCCCTCAAGTACCCCGGCCGCCTAAAGAAGCTGATCCTGGCATCTCCCGTCGGAATCCCCGAGGACCCTTACGCCGTCAACGCCTCCATGCCCGAGCCCCAAGAGTCGACCATGGAAAACGAGTTCACCCAGGACCAGCAATCCACCACCGAGACGTCGGCGGCCCAAAGGCCCAAAGAAGTCGCCGCCCCCAACGCGCCCAAGCGACCCTTGCCGAGCTGGCTAGTCTGGCTCTGGGACGCAAATATTTCCCCCTTTAGCATCGTCCGCATGACGGGCCCCCTGGGCCCGCGATTTGTCTCCGGCTGGAGCTCCCGTCGCTTCAACCACCTCCCGCCCGACGAGGCCCAGGCCCTGCACGACTACTCCTTCTCCATCTTCAAGCAAAAAGGCAGCGGCGAGTACGTTCTTGCATATGTCCTGGCCCCCGGCGCCTACGCCCGCCGGCCCATCATCAACCGCATCCACCAGGTCGGGCGCCAGGCCATCCCCCAGCCCGACGTCGGTGGCGGCAGCAGCGGCAGCAGCAGCTGCAGCAACCTCGCCGGCAAGGAAACAGGCATCCCCATTGTCTTCATGTACGGCGAAAACGACTGGATGGATGTCGCGGGCGGCCTCGCTGCCGAGGAGAAGCTCAAGGCGGCCAAGGCCAACGTCCTACGGTACGGGACCGACGAGGAGAAGCGTAATGAAAATGGCAGCGCCAAGGTCGTCATTGTCCCCAAGGCCGGCCATCACCTGTACTTGGACAACCCCGACCACTTCAACAAGGTGCTGCGGGAGGAGATCGAGGCGACGATGCAGGTCGAGAAGCAGAAGCGCGCTGCGACATAGCACCCCCCTGCCATATTCAGATTGGCATGCGAAGTTTACGGGATGGGATGAAGAAAAGGTGTCATGAGTCCGGTAAAGAGGCCTTGTTCTTGATTGGGAGTTTCTGAGGGGGGTTGAGATTTTGCGCGCCAAGGAGTACAAACGAGCGTGGGCGCCTAGATGAAGGCACAGGCCATCCCAGGAACAGCTCGACTACATGGAGGCATGACCTTCCGGCGTTTTGGTATAGATGATGGCATTCTTAGAAGAGCCCTTGACTACGAAGTAATGTACAATCAACAATTTCAGCGACCAGATCCACGCCCTCGTCATGTCAGTGATTCAGAGTGACCATGGTGTATTATCAGTCCACTCGAGTCTCTGAAGAGCGATCTCTATACATCAAGCGACGAATACAGCCATCTACAGCGAACACTGTACAAGCTCGAAGACCTCCGCGCGGTAATAAGCCATTCTTGCCTCGTTGAATCGTAACCCAGTGTTTGCCGCCATCGCCGCCTCTAACCCGTCTCATTCTATCCTGGTTTACAGCAGGTCCACATCTGCCCAGCGCCCATGCCTCTGCGACTAATATATATTCGGAAGAAGAATAAAGGGGGGGAATTGACACTCCCCTGAAACGAAGAAAAGGGATATCTGATCCACCATGCTCGCTGTCAATTCACAGGTTGATAATGTCCACTTCGGAGAAGTCTGGGGGGTTCTTGCCGTACACGACGCGCACCTTGCTGTCGAGTGCCGTACCCTCGTTGCTGATCCAGATATGCTCGCTGTAATCATTCGTCCGACGAATCTCGTCGTCGCTGACCCCCAAGTCATCGCGGGGGATCCAGACGGTCGGCCGCCGGGCTCGCAGGCCGCCGTGCTGGAAGGCGTGCCGAGTGAGGATGTCTCGCTCTTCGGGCGTCAAGTCCTCGATGTCGTCGTGAACCCCGCCGTATAGCGCGTCTCCTATGGCACGCTGGGACTCGAGATCCCGTTGGCGCTGCCGGCGCCGATACTGCACGGCCCTGGAATTGTCCCCCATCACCTTGAGCTTGCGTAGCTGGTGGCCGCCGTCCTTGGCCCAGTGACCGACGTGTTTGCCTCCGTCCTTGGCCCAGTGGCCAACCTGTTTGACGTGGTCCCGCAGGTGGCGGCCCTGTTGATCCTGGCGAATTCCAGAATCATCTAATCTTGAACCCTTCTCCCCGTTGCCTGCCAGGCGGGATGCGCTCTCCCCGACACTATATTCCTCGTCTTCTGCGCCCGAGCCATGCAGTGATTCCTCTCGGAGAAGACCGAATCGGATATCCTGGGCTCGTTGAAAGGCTTCATCGCGTAGGACCGCTTCATCCTCAAACGTTACCGGTAGGTATCTGAAGAGCGGAGAGAACGACTTGTTGAGGAGCACCTGATAGAAGAGCGTCAAAATAAAAACCACAATCATGATGACACCATGTGGTGTGCACGTGTGTCTGCCGTGAGTGTCCTGGACGATGAAGAACAGGCCAGCCATGCAGAGCTCCATGAAGTAGATGCCCGTAAAGGTCTGGTTGATGGCTCGCGGGTACAGGACCCCGCCCGTGTCGTTCTCGAACCGGTTGACGTAGAGCATGGCGTACCTCTGAGCGAGCCACAGGAGACTGAACGTGATGACGGCGAAGACTGAAATCAGCGGCGCAATAACGCAGTAGATGAGAGCAATGCAGGCAAAGTTGGTATAGACGGGGAAGAAGGAGCCCCATTGGATCTGGTTGAGCCCCGTGTTCCGAGACCACTTGTTCCGCGCCGTGCTGTCAAACATGGGCGCAATAATGAACCACATGAACAGCGCTCCGACCTGAAGCAGGGTACCAGAGCTGGTCGAGAGCGCCTGCAGAATCATGTAGGAGAAGAAGTAGTTGGCGGACGCAGGCAGGTTCTTAGCGAGCAGGTCCAGGACGGCGCTGACCGACTGAAGCTGCGTGATGTGCTTGACAAACTCGTCAATGGACTTGGCAAAGAACGAGGCAATGGAAACAATCAAGAAGACTTGGACGAAGAGGAAGACAAAGTAGTAGACTTGGACAAACTCCGTCTTTTGGGCGCCAGTCTTTGCGCCCTTGATGCCGGCCAAGAAATTGAGGATGAGGGGAACCAGGATGAGCAAGAGGGCAAGCAAAAGCGCGGGCAACACACCCGCGACGGCCTTGAGAATATTGGTGACCGTCTCATCATCCCGGAGATCGCCCAGCCATTCTGCATTCCGTATTATGTTATCCAGCTGGCTAAGCGCAGCAGTCCATGCAACGGGAACGGCCCACAAGAATATCATGCCGCAAACGAGAAGCGTGACGATGGCGCTTCGGAGCCACTCCTGCCACCAGCCCAGCGCCATGTTGTCCCAAATGACATCTCGGGGGGATATCTCGTTGATACGCGGGTACATATGTCGCGGGATGTGGTGGACGGTACTCTGGCAGGCCATGTGCGCCGCGATTTGGTGGTTGAACTGGATGAAGGCGGAGGACATCAGGGGGAACCGCTCAGGGTGCTTCTGGTCGTCTTCGATCTCCACGTTCAGCCGGGCAAGCTCTTGGCGACACCAGTAAATCGTGTCCACCTTCTTGTTGAAGAGGGGAAGTCCGGGCAGCCAACTGATCTCAAATGGGGATAACCGATGAGTCGGGCGGTCCTTTTTCTTGAGGTACTTCTCCCATTCCGCTCCGCCGTCCTCGTCGGATTGGTGATCAGAATTGAAGGCCACAGGGTACTCGGGCGCATCCTCGCCCTTGTCGCCCATGAATGGAAGAGCCGTCTTGACCTTGTGCCAGAAGGGCGTCTTGTTCTTGGACTCGTTCTCCATGAGCTCCCTGGCTGCATCGCCCTGCGGGATCGGAGACGTGTAGGCGCCGGATGGAGGTTTCCAAAACTGCCAGAATTTCGTTCGCTCGCGTACGTACATGTCGTTGGCGTCGCCCAGTTGACGGCCCGCGGTCCCAATGCCGATGCTGTGGCTATTCTTGTGGGTCGCTGCCGTCGAGTTTTCCGAAATGGCGGAGGCCGCGCGAGAGTGAGTGCGCGCCTCCTCGAGCAACGATGGAGGCAACGGCGATGTTCTATCCTTGTCACTGTTGCTCAGTATCCTGCCAGGGCCCGGAGGATCACGAGACGCCGCCTGGCCGTTGGCGAGGTTGGTGTCTATGAAACCGTGACGCGGTCCCGTCGTGCCGTTGGCTTCGCCGCCGGCCTTGCAAGCAGCTCCCCTGAGGCCTTTGCCGACCTTTGACAGGGGTCTCTTGAGCCCATGCGTCATCATGCCGCAAGACGACCTTCGTTCCTCCTCGTCCACGGTTTCCAGCTCGTGGTTCTCTCGTCCCATCGGGTCGTTCTCCCACTCACGAACGCCATCATCGACGGTGTGGGGAACGTCCTCCTGGCTGCCGGCGTTGACTCCATCGCCGCTGTTGGCCAACCGACTTGCTGCGGCATCCTCTTGAGCATCGCGAGCGGCCTTTTCCTCCTTAGTAACTGCTCTAAGTTTCTGCTGCTTACGCTGCGCTCTCTCGTCGGCGTTCCTTCGCTTTAGCTGCGCCTTCTTGGAAGCCTTAATCAAGTCTGTCTCGGCCGATTCGAGCATGGCATGGACTTTTTTCCTGAGGCTGATTTTGTCGAGCAGCTTCGCCAGGTCCCTGTTCAGCCAAACGTTCCTAACCCCACCTGGAAAGACGTCGAACAGACCGACAAGAGCGTCCTCGCTCAGCCATTTCTTGGGGATGGAGCTTACAAGGACCGTCGTGGCCGAGGCCCGCAGTCGATGCTCTGCGCTGGTAAGATAGTCCTGCCGGACCTTGATATATACGCGAAGCTCGAAGAAGAAGACGGTGCAGACCCAGATGATGACCAGGATGGCCATGATCAGATGGGCGGTGTAGCGGCCGGTATGCGCCGGGCCCACATTGGCCCAGGCAAGAGTATCGAGGCCCGAAGGTGTACTATTATTTTGGTTCCTCGCGACTTCGTTGATGTTGACCTGCTGCCCTTTTCCGCCAATGTAGTTGATGGGAATAAGAATGGGAAGGACGACGGCGCAAATGGGGATGAAAATGACGAGGAGGGTCTTTAGGTAGCGGAGGAAGAAGTAGGCGTCGAGGCCGCACTTGTTGATGACGTCGCGGTCGTCATGCTTCATCAGGCTCCTGACCATGGCCAAGATGTTGCTGGGCGGCGGCTCGGTCCTCTCGCGCTCAGGGACCAGGTACGTTCTCGGTTTGCTGAGGGCGATTGGGGTGAGTGGCAGAACAGCAAGCTTTGAAGCACTCAGGATACATACAAGATGCGGGCCAGCTTGTTCCGCAGCAGGATGAAGAGGAAGAACTGGGCGGCAAAGACGGCGAGAGCGACGCCGATGGCAGTGAGAAAGCTGACAATGCCGATGCCCTCTGAGCTCTGGGCCTTGCCGGCGGGCGAAGGGTCATCGGCTCTGCGGATGAGTGTCGCCATGGAGAAGGCCGAGCCCGAGGGTGAGAAGGGGTCGAAGAGTGTGGCGTCAGGTGCCATCGAGTCTACAGAGGTATCCAAGGCGGATCTGCCGTCATGGATGGATGTGTGAAGGCCGGAGAGAGCTTGTTCGAGGACTTGCAGCCGTCGTGGATGGATCAGGGAAGAGGAGGACGCGCCCTCGCCAGGCGCCGCGGGCGTGGGAAAGATGCTGCTCAAGAGTATTACTGGAGAGACAAAGGCGCTGTAAAGGCCCTGGCCAAGGCAAAGGTAGTCATGAAAGCGAGGGGAGTGAAGAAACAAACGAGCAATGGGCAAAGGAGGCGGCTTAGAGAAGAGAAAGACAAAGTGTTGTCATCTAGGCAGGTCGTCGACAGACCCGGGGGTTGGTAGCTGGAGACCACATACCAGTAGCGTGTGTGATTGGCGGCTAACCGTACCCAAGGAGGTGCAGTCGGTGACATCAGAGGCTTCATTAGCAGCCTCGAAACATGGAAATGGGCTTGCGCTGGCCGGGACTCTGGCCGGGCCACAGGGGGGGGGGTTCCCCTGCACCACACCCTCCACTCCCCGCGGGCTGGGCTGCCCTGCAATGGATCCTCCCTCCCTGTCCAGCGAACGCCCTCTGAGAGCGGCCCGCAGCCCAATCAGTGGGCCGCCGGGCGGGCCGCCAGTACAGTATTTTCCCGGTTAGGTACCTACCTAATTACCTGGTAAGGTAAAGTAATTAGTTATGCTTTTTATTCCGTGCACTCGAGAGATAAGGACAGCAGGGCCGATGTTTCATTGTTTCCCCCATGCACCGCCACCTATGAGCTTTGTGTTTTGGGCGCCATCGACAGGGCCCAGTGGCTGCTGTTTGAACGACTACGGCACGCAGCAAACGTTACTGCGACCAACGAGATTCGGGCTTTGACGCGCGCAAATGCCGACAACGGTTCGATAGGTCGCGCATTGTCCGTCAGTGCAGCCTCCTGAGCGCCTAGCAAAACGACCGGGCATGGGCTCCAGTTTGCCGCGCGCTGCTCGGCGCCAATTTCCCTTGCAGTGGGGAGCATGCACAGCATCATTACCTGTAAATTGTGACCAGGAGTACCGGTGGGTAGCCAACAAACGCACCTTCACAGCCGTTGAGCACGGAGCCCAAACGGTTGACCCCGTCGGGCGAAATTTCGAGCAGTGACGATACCAGGTCACCTGCCAGCGTCTTGACACGTACCGCCGTCCCGTGAGCAAACGTCATCATCTGGGAGAAGAGTGCACAGCAGCCAGTGGCTAGCGAATCGATCGCCCGGGTCTTCACGACATACATGCACTAGAACAAGAAAAGCCAGTCGAGGCGTCATTGCGTGCAAGCCACATAGGTCCATGAATGCTATCCGTAGATCCAATGTATTTACATACCTGCTTCAAGGCTCCATATTTCCATCCCTTGTACGCCAAAAGGAATAACAGACTCCGCTGGCCGACGACCGCTACCAACGTCCCCGAATCACTCGGCCGGCAAAGACCGGAGAGTGTCACCGAAATTCACATCGCCACAACGCCGCCGATTCGTAATCACGAGGCAAAGGATATGATTCAACCGTTGGCCTCCAGACGCAAACTGAATGCCTTTCATGTCAGCGGACCGGCTTCCGTCGAGTGGCGGGCCAACGGTGCTCACCATCACATATGATGCCCATGTTTGCCTTAGAACAGGCAGTCCAAACAGCAACAGCACGCAATGCCGGCTAATAGTCCTTCCATCAGGCCCGGCTTCCGATGCTGCCTCTGTTGGGGAGCATATCCGGGGCCAGGCGGATAATATTGCCCGGGGCCAGGCTGTCCGTAATGTCCTTGAGGCGGGTACGGGCCTTGACCAGCTGGAAAGGGGCCCGGCTGCTGCTGGTTGTAGTATCCCATCTGCGGCCCCGGCTGATAGTAGTTTTGCTGCCCCGGCGGGTAGTAGCCGTGCTGCTGCTGGTCCTGCGGGAACGGCGGTCCGCCATATGCAGGCTTCGGGGCCTGTGGAGGAGCGCCGTATGGCGGAGGCGCTTCGCCTTTGTTGGCCATTTCCAGATGGGTTAACAATGGTCGTGGTTCGATGTGAGATGCTTCAGGTACAGGAGAAAAAGAGTTTCGAGGATGTAGTCAAACGGAAATGAGTTGGAGGAGAGCAAGAAGGGCGAGGAACTGTCGGGCGCGGTCGAAACTCCCCGCGTGTCACGGACCTGTCCAGCGCCACCTTGGGCGGTCCATGATTACGCGGACTGGCGATTACGTGGAGAGGGCGCGCCGAGGCAAGGGGCTGGCTGGCTTGGCTGTGTGCTGCGCCACGCTTGGCTTACTAAGAAGCGAGATGTCTCTTTTGTGGACTGTGCTTGAGACGGAATGAGCTCTCGTGAATGAGCTGCTCACAACGTGATGCGCAAATTATCTTGGCTTCAAGGTTCATGCCGGTATCTCTTAGAGGACGGGAGCCTCTCTCCTCCAGTTTAAGCAGCAAGTTTTGCCCATCAACTGCGTTTCAATTATCGTGAGGGGAAGCTGGGGTACCTCGTTCGCAAGGACTCGAGTCAAGGGTGCCTCCACACTCGGTACGAGACATCATTCCCCGGGGGCGCAGATGCCGTCCACCAAGCGTTTGAAACAACTCTTAGGGTCTGTAACAGTAAGTTACGGTCTAGACGTTTTAGGGCTCTGCACATGCTTGTCATTTAATTCACGGATATCACTCGTCGTTGCAAGGCCGATGTATCCGTACTTCGTAGTCTGTACTTAAGCTGATGGCCGACCGCACTCAAGCAAAGCGCACGTGACGATTCTCGCGCCACACTCCTCCGTGGCGTTCCGCGCCACTTGCAACGCACCAGGAAAAATCGAGGGAAATTCATCCGTCGACGAGAAACCCCACGAGAGATCAAGTGCGCTTCTTCAAAGCAACGACAACAACCACACCTCGCCGCAGCGGGCCACAACATCAGGAGCCGAAAACAGAAAGCATTTTCCGGGGCACAACAGATTCACCATGGCCACCGCAGCGCCGCCCAAGCCCAAGTGAGCAGTCCCGTCAACCGTTCCAGCATCCGCGAGGCTCGCCTCGTTTTGCTGACCCCACCGTCATATCCAGGCACGACTGGGCCGACGATGACGATATCGAGGAGACGACCACCGACCTGCCTCCGCCTCAGACCATCTCCAACAAGGACGGCACCAAGACCATCATCACCTTCCGCTACAATGACCAAGGTCAAAAAGTAAAGACGACCCGGCGGGTCCGCTACGTCACCCACACCGAGACGGTCAACCCTCGTGTCGCCGATCGCAAGACTTGGAGCAAGTTTGGCCAGAGTGCAAAGGATGGCGCCGGGCCGGCCGCCGACACGACATCTATCGGCGAGAACATCATCTTCCGGCCCAGCGTCAACTGGCGCAAGGATGCCAAGGATGAGAGCCAAGACCCCAACGCGCAATCGATGAAGGACAAGTTGAAGGACAAGCAGGTCAAGTGCCGAATCTGCAACGGCGAGCATTTCACGGCCAGATGTCCCTACAAGGACACGATGGCGCCCATTGGCGAGAGCGGCGCTGCAGACGTGGCCGCCGGCATGGGCGACGAGCCCTCGGTAGGCGCGGCGGGTGCTGGCAAGAAGGGCTCGTACGTGCCTCCGGCGCTGCGCGGCGGCGCTGGGGCCGGGGCCGGGGAGCGGATGGGTGGCTCAAAGTACGGCGAGAGAGACGACTTTGCGACGCTGCGTGTCACCAATGTGAGTCTTGACGATGGCCTCGCGCCTGTCCGCATACTAATGTGTACTTCCAGGTGTCCGAGATGGCCGAGGAGGGCGAGCTGCGGGACATGTTCGAGCGCTTCGGACGGGTTACCAGAGTGTTCCTGGCCAAGGACCGGGATACGGGCATGGCCAAGGGATTTGCCTTTATCAGCTTCGCAGACCGCGGCGATGCGGTCAAGGCCTGCAACAAGATGGACGGGTATGGCTTCAAGCATCTCATCCTCAGGGTTGAGTTTGCCAAAAAGGCCCAGTAGACGGGCCGCCGCTGTCGCGTGGCCAGGGCGGATAGTTGACGGCTCTAATGTACAGTCCAGGAGCGCATCCTTGAATCGACGCTCTTCGGAGAAGGTGCCTGTCACATGGTGATGAATGGACCCGTGCCAAACAGGGTATTGCTGAATTGTGCTCTTGCCGCTGCAGCGTTCAAATCTCAGGCATGCGGCTCCGGATGGCGCGCATGGCGGCATTCCCGCTTGGGAAACTCGAGCCGGGTGACGCGCGAATGATGGGCCAGCTATGCCGTGCCAATCGGAAGGACCATGGGCCAATCAAGGCTTGCATCGAGCGTTGCCGGAGCTCTTGGTGCGGGCGATAATGCCTCAAAGATGAGGCGGCGGAGTCACCAACTCGACCCGTTCCGCAGGCTGCCCCGCTTCCAGGCGCGGCTTTGACTGGACGGGCGACTGGCCGTCCAAGAGTGAGACACGGAGACAGCCGCCTCAACAGAAATCCGGCCGCTCATGGCATGAGATGATTAATGTTTGGGCCTGCGTGCCAGCACCCCGCTCTGCATGCGGACTTGTTCAGGTACTGTAACTCAAAGAAATGACTCTTCGTACGAGGGCTCACGGACAGGTATCTGGCTAACGCGGCAGGAGTACCTCGGCCGCGGCCCCGAGTGCGCAGAGGCACATGTCTGGCATTAACGACAATACCCCTCCCCCCTCCCCCCCGGGATTGGGGTAGCGGCGGCTTTGGCCAGCAGCCGGGGCGTGACCTGGCGAACCTGCATGTGGCGTCGGCCCAATCCTGGTTTCTCCCGTCCCCCTTCCTGCTTGCCCGTGTTTATTCAGACCACCCTGAGACGCCGCCGACGAATCAGCGACCCATCGATCTGGGCCCTTCGATATTATCCCACTGGCGCAGGCCGACAAGATCTGCAACCTGTCCTGCAGCCTGCGGCTTCCCACCTACACCTTGCGCATGCCCACCACCACCGCTACCACCACCACCATCCGCTTTCAGCAGCCGTCCCCAGAGACACCGACCCGCATGGGACTGAGATAATTGACACCTGTCACCCCGTGTCTTGGACCTTGACCCATTGTGCCCGTCTCGTATGGACTTGAACATCATCCGCCTCTGCCTCAAACCCCCGCCATGAACCCCGCCGCTGAGATGTCGTCCGATGGCGCGCAACTACGCCGGCGGCAGATCCCAGCGCCCTCTTCCGATGCCGCCAACGCCGAGGCTCCTGTCTCCAGGGCGAGTCCCTCTCCCGAGGACCCCAGGGTCGACAAGGGCAAGACCTTTGGCCGCACTCCAGACGGCACAGGTGAGCCGTCCACCGATGGCCAATGGCTCGCAATCCGCATTGTACGTGTCGAGTTGACAAGAAACCCCTCCTAGTCTTTGTTGTCCCCACGACACACGACATGGTCTCGCAGCTCCTGGATCCTCGGCAGCCCAAGAATCTCTCCGATCTCATCGTCCTGGGAATCCTGGCCATGCACCTGCTTGCCGCCTACATGCTGCCGCCCGGCTGGAAGCGGTCCGTCTTCGCCGTCGTCTTCCTGTTCTGGAGAGCGGCCTACAACATTGGCATCGGCCTTCTCCTCAACGTTCAATCCAACCATCGACGCCTCATCACCTGGGCTCGGCGTTGGAAGCTCTTCGAGGACCCCAAGACTGGCGAAAACCCGCGGCCGTGGCTCTACAGGCTGCTCAAGCGCGAACTCGAGGCCAAGATCCCCGAAGACTACGAGTTTGAAAAGGCGCCCATCGAGTACAACACGTGGTTAGTCTTTCGCAGATTTGTTGACTTGATCCTCATGTGTGACTTTGTGTCATATTGTCTGTTTGCCATCGTCTGCGGCCACACCCCGAGAGGGGAGGGTCTGCTGATGGGCGTTGCGCGATGGGCCTCCGGCCTCGCGCTCGTCGGGTTCAATCTGTGGGTCAAGCTAGACGCCCACCGCGTCGTCAAAGACTTTGCCTGGTATTGGGGAGACTTCTTCTACCTCATCGACCAGGATCTGACGTTTGACGGCGTGTTTGAGATGGCGCCTCATCCCATGTACTCGATTGGATATGCTGGCTATTACGGCATCTCCATGATGGCCGCCAGCTACGAGGTGCTCTTCATCTCCATCGTCGCGCACATCGCTCAGTTTGTCTTCCTCGTGACCGTGGAGAACCCGCACATCGAGAAGACGTACAACCCTCCTCCGCCTAGGAAGAGGACCCTGTCCCGGAGCCAAAGTGACTCCACCGTGATTTTCGACGACGCTTGGCCCGACCGCACCGCTGCTTCGTCGTACCCCCTAGCGACAGAGCTGCCCGCGGCCGTGCACGACATGGTCGGCTTCAGCAACATGGACCTGTTCCGGGTGCCCGACTGTTGCGTCGTCATCCTCCCCCTGTATGTAGCCGTCCTCACGCTCGTGACGCCGTCGACGCCCCTCTGGCAAGCCGTCTTTGTGGCTCACGCGCTAGCCTGGCGCGTGTGGTATCATCTCGGCCTCGGCATCATTCTCGACAGACAGTCCAAGACCAAGATGTGGACTCGGCACTTCCTCAAGTTTGGCGAGAGCGCCGGCGAGGCGTGGCGCCAGTGGAAGGGCATGCAGCACATTTGCATGATCATGTGCAACGCCTCCTTCATCGCCGCCTGCTGGAAGATGTACTCACCCCCGGAGGACTGGGGCTACGGCCTCGTCCTCCTCAAGCACGTCGTCGGCGCCTCGCTGGTGGCGCTCCAGCTCTGGACAGCCTTTACCGTCTACGAGTCGCTCGGCGAGTTTGGCTGGTTCTGTGGCGATTTCTTCTTTGACCACGAGGCAAAGCTCAACTACACGTCCATCTATCGGTTCCTCAACAATCCCGAGAGGATTTTCGGAACCGCCGGCGTCTGGGGCGCAGCCCTCATCACCTGGAGCCGGTCCATCTTTATCATGGCCATTGTCACCCAGATCATGTCCCTCTACTACCTGTCCTTCATCGAGAGGCCGCACATGCAAAAAATTTACGGTAGGGGTCTGCGGATGGAGGCCGGCCTCACAAAGTTCATCAAGCGATCGCTGCCGCCTCCCGTCAAGGGCTGGCAGGAGAGCATGGACAAGGTCCTCGACGGCACCACTCACTTTGTCGAGGATTTCATTGAATCTGCGCGGCCCAAGTTTGCGTCGGGCGTCAAGACCATTGTGCGTGACACGTCGGCCCTCTTCAACATGGCGCCAGCGCGAGTCACCATTACGCGCATCGCCCCGGACCTTGCCGGCCTCGACCCCAAGCAGTACACGCTGTCGGTTGCCGGCACCGCATCCGTCTACTCGTCTACCAGGGACAGGGCGACGGGAAAGGAGAGCGTCACGGGCAGGTTCCCAAAGGCCGTAAAGACCATGACGTACGAGTACGGCGCGCCGCTAAAAGTCAAGTGGCTTGCCCCGGCCAACCACAGCAACAAGGACTGGATCGGCCTGTATATGGTGACGGACAATCGTTCCAGGGAAGCTACCGAAGTGTCGTCTCTGGGCCGCTGGGCGCCGACCAATGCCGGCACCTACGATTCCCTGACCGCCGACAGCAGCATCGTGACGCACGAGCATGCCGTTGCCAAGACGGATGAGTCAGAGCCCGACAAGGTGGAGGGTGAAGTCATCTTCCAGGGCGACAAGCTGTGGTGGACACAAGGCGTGTTTGAGTTCCGATATCACCACGACGGCAACCACAGCGCCATGGCCATCTCGGAGCCCTTTGAGATACGCATTGCGCCCTTTGCTGAGGACGACGTCGACGTCGACGGCAAGGGAGTATATGCCAAGGCGGTCGAGTCGGCGATTCTGCCCGTCATCAAGAACTGCCTGGACCGGGACCCAGACATTGCACCAGGCAATGTGGACGAGCCGTTTGGCAGCCACGTCGAACGGGACAGCAAGTATGCCAAGAGGATCGTGTACGCGATCCGCGAGATGTTTGGCATAGAGTTCGCCCCAGCCGTCGTGCTTGCCGACCGAAACGTGAGGAAGCTTGCGTGGAGAATCTGCAATGCCAAGGAGGTCTTGGTAAGAGAAAGCATGCCCGTCCCGCGTGCTCTGCATTTGTGGCCTGGGCCGAGACTGACGTCGATTCTTTTCTAGGCTCCGTATAGTATGTCCCACTCAAAGGGTACCTCGACGCCCGCGGTGCAGGAGTTTGGGGACGACAAGGCGTGATGTGCGCGGGAAAAACTTGGCACGCGAACAAGGCACTTGGAGATCGTTTTCTCTTCTTGGTCTGTCACTTTCTCACTCGTGCCAGTTAGTCTTTTCTTTCCTCTTGAATTAGGGCCAGGAGTTGGCAGATAACCGCGGATAGAGTCGGATGATACCACGTCGGAAAGACTGCATGAACCAAGGGCCTTGACAAGATGATCGGGTGCTTGGCAGGAGTCCGGCAAGGTTTCGAGAGCCATGCGCTCGGGGCTTGTGACTGTGCGGGGCGACACGCCCGGGCCTTCGCCGATGCGACGAGGTGTCGCCGCTATACCCGCTCGTTTGATGAGGCTCTACTCGATATGGTTCAGCAGCACGTCAGCGTCGTTTGTGGCTCAGCCAGCTGGACGTCTGACAGGGAAAGGTGAGATGCACGACAGGGAGATGCTCAAAGTGCCTGATGGTGAAAAGTGTAGTGCGTGTCTGTGGGAAGGATACATACACGGGATCCATAGCTCTGAATGCTCTGAGGAAAAGTATTGGGTCTATCAGCTTTGCTTCGTCGAAGGGGGGAGGCAATCAGCCAGAGGTCTTGTCCTCTACGCTCCTATCTTGCCCCTACGACGCGAAGAGTCGTCGCGCCCTTTGGGTCGGAGAAGAGGCGCATCCCGGCTGAATGAGGGTGTCAAAACGAGCAACTCAATCCACGGGGATCGGATGGTGTTGCCCCGAGGTTCGGTGTCGTCGGATGAAATGCGGGAATGCGTCGGAGAGCGATGCTGGGCGAGATGCCGATGATGAGGCCGACGGCTCTGCCAAAGCGCCATTGCGACGGGGCGCCAGGGCTCGATTGTACGTCGGGTTGTTTCAAGAGGCTCTCGCCAGCCTCGTAGTAGGACGAGGTACTGTAGGTAGCGGTCGGCTCCAATGCAGTCATTGTTGGTGGACATGTTTAGCGCCATGTGCAGAAAGCCTATTGGCGTGCCTTGCTGTACAGCATCTGGGTTCGGCCCGCCGTCATTTGGCGCCGATCCATCTTATCGCGAGGGAAAAAGCCGAGGAAAAAAAGAAGATCCGGCTCCTGTTCCAACTCCAACTCTCTGCCCAATGCCCGTTTGCCGTTGGTGACGATGCCAGGCTCTTTCCGCCAACCGTCCGTCGTCGTGGAAAAGTTGTGCAAGGGCACCGTCGCCCACGCGGCCGTCGGCGGCAGCTTCCTCTACGTCTCGTCGTACTGCGGCAAACTGACGACGCTCGACGTGAGCCCTCTCCACTCATGGCGCGCCGGTGGCGGAAATGCGGCGCCGGTCCGTCTCAAGACGGTCTCGTCAACCAATGCAGGCGGCAACCCGTCGTTCCTGACCATCGACAAGGCCAGGTCGACGCTGTTTTGCCTTGACGAGGGCCTCGAGTCGCTGACCGGCGCGCTGGCCTCTTTCAAGATGAAGCCCGACGGGTCACTGGCCCTGCTCGACAAGAAGCCTACGCCCAAGAGACCCGTCTTCGGAGCCTTGTACAACCATGGCAAGTGTCTTGGCGTTGCTCACTAGTGAGTCTCTCCTCGCTCCCGCACGGCCTCGCGGTCCCAAGAAGAGAGTGGTGCCTCATACTGAACACTCCAGCGGCGACGAGGCCATGACGACGTGGAACGTGTGGGATCCCCACAACATGTCGGTGATGCAGACGGAAAAGTACAAGCCCGGCACGACGGGCTCTGGCGTGGCCCCGCAGGACGCGCCGAGGCCTCACCAGGTTCTGTTTGACCCGACGGGCCAGTTCGCCGTCGTTCCGGACCTGGGCAGCGACCAGGTGCGCATCTACAGGGTCCCGGGCGGCGGCAAGCCCAAGCTGAGGCGGTCGGGCGTGGCCCGGGTCGAGACGGGGAGCGGCCCGCGGCACGCTGCCTTTGCCGTCGCGCGGGGCAAGACGTACATGTACCTCCTGACGGAGCTGTCGAACCAGATTATCGGATTCAAGGTGCACTATCGCTTCGGCCTCATGAATTTACAAAAGATGTTCACCACTGGCATTCATGGCAAGAGGCCGACGCCCGAGGGGGCCTTTGCCTCGGAGATTGCCGTCACGGTAGGTGCCCTCTCACCCTTGGGTTGCAGTCTTTATTGACCACGCGGGGTCACCAGCCGGACAATAAGTCCGTGATTGTGTCGTCGCGCAACGAAAACAGCGTCGAGATGGCCAGGGCGGACGGCATCAAGGTCCAGGCGGATCCGCTCATCCACTTCTCCATCAACAGCGGCAACGGCCATCTGACGGTTGGGGAAGAGGTGTCTTGCGGCGGCAGCGGCCCGCGGCAGTTTTGCATCAACAAGGCTGGGACGCTGCTGGCCGTGGCGCTGCAAACGGAGGGACGGGTGGCGGTGATGGGGCGGGACCTTGACGCGGCCGGGCTGGCGTTGACGCCGGTGGGGATTGCCGACGTCGGGGGAGAGGTGACGTCGGTCGTCTTTGACGAGTGAGAGGAACGGTGTAGTAACATGGTATATATATTCATTCTGCGGTGCCCAGTATATACTTGCGGGCATACCCAGGCTTTGACCTTGAGTAAACGAATGCCCAGGGGCGAGGCGCCGCCGAGGAGACGGATCAGATGTCTGTCTGCATGTGCCTCCCTGAACCAGGAACATGCAAGGCATATCCGAGGTACTCCAAGGGAAGAACAGGCTTTTGCTGGCCCTCGAGAATTAACTTGGCGGATAGGTATGTATAGAGGTACGTACATGATGGGGCAACAAGGTTCTTCTCTTTTGCTTTCCGCACTCGGGGGTGGCTCCCCGGCGGGAGTTGCGCACATGTTGTCTCTCTTTGACACCTACTGCGAGGTTCTGTACGGCGTATTCCTACAGAGAGAATATATGTACCTGTAGATTTGGGCGAGTACAGTGCACGAGGACTTGCAGGCGAGGGGGAGTGAAGTCATCGTGGAGACGTGTGTGTGTATCCGTACATGCGGCGCGAGTACCGGCCTGGTTGTATTATTCGCGACCCTCGTCACGTCCCCGCCCGTATTGCGTTGATGCCTTGCTTTTGTGGCATTGATGGATACAGGATGAATGCCTTGCGTGGTGCCGGACGAGTGCCGAGCAACGTGCGCGGTCGGCACATGGTATGCATCACTCCCTGGAACTCCACTGCAGAACGTTGTCGTTGATATACCTAGGTAGGTACTGTTGAACTATACATACCTACCTACCTTACCTACCACCTTAGGTAGTTAGTAAGTACCTGGTAGAGGCCGTTGCGCAAAGCTTGTCGGCGCGCCCCGCGAGAAGCATATCTGTATTAGTAGGCCCTGGACGGAGTACTCCGTATAATTACTCCGTACTCCGCAATTACTGGACAGGCAGTTGTTGTGCCGCCGCTGTGTAGCGCTGTGGAGCGCTGTGTAGCGCCAACAAGGGTCCAGTGACTTTTAGCGGGTGGCCCGCCGGCAGTGGCGCCGCGCGGGGCCCTGTGATGAAGAATTGGTGCCTTGCTGGCTGGACCTCGATTTTGCCCGACTTACGGATATTGTGGTACGGATACACCTACATGCAAAGTACCCTGTCTGTAGAAACCTAATCAGTGGACTTGTGTACAGTACGTAGGAAGAGTATTGAAAAGGATGAGAGGAAATATGGAGAGACGTCGGACAGGGCAGGGCATGTCCTCTGTCCCTTCGTGCCCTGGGCTCGGGCAGCGAGCATCTCGTCCCATCGCACCACCTTGTCACCATCCTCACCACCATCACCACCATCACCACCATCACCACCATCACCACCATCCCACGCCCCATCTCACCAGTCAGTCGCCTGCGCTTCTCCCCGCAACATGCCGCCGCCCCCGTTTCTGTGAGACGCCGGTCCCGACTCGCATCGTCATCTCCTCGCCCTGTCCTTGGCCCCCCCCCCCTCTCCCGTCGCAATCGCCCGACCTCGGCTCGCCAGCGCTCCTCGCTCTCCCATGGATCCGCCATGAAGTCCCCCTCAGCTTCCAGAGTCAAGCCCCCCTTGGCCTCCTCCGCCCGAGACCATGCCGCCTCGTCCTCCAAGCCCGCCCTCTTCTCGCAATCGCCAGAGGCCATCGCTTCCGCCGACGCTGGCTTGATGAACCCGCTCAAGAGACGGATCCTCGACGCCAGCGTCGACTACCCTCGCCGAAGAGCCACCATCGCCGTACGCCTCGTCGCATCCCGAGCGCCGCCCCCTCTGCTAACCCGTCGCCAGTGCGAGGTGTGTCGCTCGCGAAAGTCTCGCTGCGATGGCACAAAGCCCAAGTGTAAGCTCTGCGCAGAGCTGGGCGCCGACTGCGTCTACCGCGAGCCCGGCGTCAAGCTCGATGCCGGCGACAAGCTCATTCTCGAGCAGCTCAGCCGCATCGAGAACCTCCTCACCCTCACCATGGCTCATACCTCCCACGCCACTGCTGCCCTCGACGCCAACCATCACAACTCCCCTTCCGCCAGCAACGGCACCAGCCTCGGCACCGATCATGCCCTCTTGCCCGCCTCGTCCTCCGTGCCCTCCCTCGTGCCCAACGGCGCCTTTGCCTCGTGGACTGCTGCTCCCGCCGCCACAAACATCTCCGTCATGCCCAAGAGCCACACAAACGCCACCATGCATCTCCTGCGCTGGCCCCGCATCCGCCAGCTCGTCCCTCGCCCCTACGATCCCCAGGCCTTGCTCCAGCTCGAAATGGCCCGCGAGCCCCTGCACTCGCTGACCAAGACGCCCTGCGTCGACCTCTCAAACACACAGGCCTACATCGAGGCTTACTTTGAGCGCGTCAATGTCTGGTACGCCTGCGTCAACCCCTATACCTGGCGCAGCCAGTATCGCACCGCCCTCTCCAACGGCTTCCGCGAGGGCCCCGAAAGCTGCATCGTCTTGCTCGTCCTGGCCCTTGGCGAGGCCAGCCTACGCGGCAGCATCTCCAGGATCGCCCCTCACGAGGACCCCCCGGGCCTGCAATACTTCACCGCTGCCTGGTCCCTCCTCCCCGGCATGATGACCACCAACAACGTCCTGGCCGCCCAGTGCCACTTGCTCGCCGCCGCATATCTCTTTTACTTGGTCCGCCCCCTCGAGGCGTGGAACCTGCTTTGTACGACGAGCTCCAAGCTGCAGCTGCTGCTCATGGCTCCGAATCGCATCCCGCCCCACCTGAGAGAGCTGGTCGAGCGCATCTACTGGAACGCCCTTCTCTACGAGAGCGACCTCCTCGCCGAGATGGATCTGCCTCACTCTGGCGTCGTCCAACTAGAGGAGCACATCGGCCTTCCGGGAGGGTTCGAGGGCGACGACCAGGACCAGGTCGCCCGCGACGAGCTGTGGTATTTTCTCGCCGAGATTGCCCTGCGCCGCCTGTTGAACCGCGTCAGCCAGCTCATCTATGCCAAGGACTCGACCCTGACCATGAGCACCCTTGAGCCGGTCGTCGCCGAGCTCGACTACCAGCTGACCCAGTGGTATGATAGCCTGCCATTGCCCCTGCAGTTCTCCTTTTCCCGAACCGCGCTGCGGGATCCGGTCCAAGCCGTTCTCCGCCTTCGCTTCTATGCATGCCGAACCATCATCTACCGCCCCTACATCCTCGCGGTCCTCGAAAACGAGCAAGCTGTGCTAGACCCGTCGGTCCGCGAAGCATGCCAGAAATGTTTGGAGGCGTCCGTAAGGCAGTTGGAATACGTGGCGGAGCAGTACGTTGCAGGCCCTTCCATCTGCGTGTCTCGACCCTTTGGCTCGTCCATGGCTGACAGCAGCATAGCCAAGCGGGCCATATGCCCTACATCTGGCAAGGCGCCCTGTCCATGGTGTCGCAAACGCTCCTCGTCATGGGCTCATCCATGTCCCCCTCCTTGCTGAGTATACTCCTGAGTTTCGTCCCCCACCGCGAGGCGCTGGATCGGATGATTGGCGAGGTCATCGTGGAAATCGAGTGCTACGCGCCTTTGGCGCCCAGTCTCAGCCTCGTGGCCGAGATTGTCAGGGAAGCAGAGGGCAGGAGACGAACATTACTGGGCGGCTGAGGTATAAAGGCGCCAGCAAAGCGCGTAAAAGGTGCGCGTCAAAGGTGCATTATAAGGGCCCGGAGCTACGGCAGCCATCACCATTGACTGCTAAACAATGACTCCCGCTACGCCCTACCGGGTGTCCTGGAGTCAAAGGCGCACCGCGGGCGGGGCAGGGCTCAAGGGCCTGATGCTCGAAACTGAACAAGCGCCGATGGAGGTTTCTGGACCCACCGCGCGTCCAACTGCGCGCCTCTCATCGGCTCCTCCAGATTCTCTACGTGGCATTGCAGACATGAGCCCCTGGTTGCTGTGAGAAGACCGACGGTCTAATACAACCAATCGAGAGCGGCATAGGATCGCCAAAGGAGCTTGGGGAAGCGTCGTCGACGCCAAGTCGGCGAGAGGCTCAATAGGCAGCGATGGCAACACCAGCTTGCGCATCTCGCCCGGATGACTCAAGTAGACGCGGTTTAGACGAAGGACGGGAATGGGGTGTCTGCCTTTCTTAGGGTAGGCGGGGAGCAAAGAGGCAAGCGAACGCCAGGTATCCGGCCACTAAGCACAAGTTCACGCCTTGGAATCCTCGCGGAGCCAGGCACCCTCGTCGCCGCCGCGAGGCGCCGAAGACTCCGCAGCCGAGCAAAGATTAAATCTTTGTCTCGAGCTTGGGTCCTAGTCGTGTCCGTTCAGTCGAGTGAGCGCCGCGACGTCGAGTCGTTTTGCAGCCCGGGGGTTGCCGTCGTCAAGCGTCTGGCACTTCCGCAAGCAAATTGTCCCGGGAACATCTCGCGTGGCCAAAGGAGACGGTAGTGGGTCGGGCGACCGGCTGCACGCATTCTCCCCCATGCGATCGGAGCCGCATATTCAGCCTCTGAGGTCGGTGAAAAGCTCAGTCTGGGCGCATCATAACGGCTTTACGGCGCGCTTCACCCACCGCTGCCGCGTCTCGCATTGCCCTAACAGGAGGCAAAGGGCTGCGAGGTCTAGAGAGCAGACCGGCGTGCGCAGTCGCTGCAAAAGTCGGTATGAAGGTGCGAGGTTCCAGCGGTTTTTCTGCAGAACGATGGATAGAGATATCTGGGCTCCATCCTTTTCTGGGACACTCGTGCTAGGACAGCCCGTACTTGAAAGTGCCTCAAGCGGAATGCTTCGCAACAGGCATCGACCGTTGCAGGCCTCGCCGGACAATGCTCGGCCTGTATTACATGGTTCTATGGTGTTCTCTCTAAATGTAGTCGTCTAGCAGGGGGGGAGAATCTACCCATCAACCCCGAGGGCCGTTGCGATGATGCGTCTCGACCCCAGAGCTCCCCCTCGTCAGCACTCCTAAGCCACTTTCTTGCCGCCTTCCCCCCCCTTGGGGCTATCGCCTCGGCCCCTTGCCCCCCTGCCGACAATCTTCTCCGTCCAGCTCCACGACGACGCAGACGACGGCTGCGGACCCGGCTGGCCCTGCTTGTGCTCATTGGCGTCGCCCCCGAAGTCCGTGTCGCTCTCGTTGTCGCTGTCCATCCAGTCCCGCTCGCTCCACGACACCGAGTCGGCTCTCTCGGGCGGGCCAAACGAGCGCGGCGACGCCCCGGGCGCGTCGCCGTTGTGCCGCTTACGCAGATCGGGGACTTCGTCGAGGGCCTCGCGAGCCTCGATCTCGGTGTGCGTGTCCGAAGCAGCAGCCGTGGGGGAAGCCGCCGCCGGCATGCTGAGCTTTGTCTGAGACGGCGCCTCCTTGGTCTCGCCGCCGTGCTCGTCTGGCGGGTGGCCCATGTCGAGGGCTCGCTCGCCGAGGTGCTCGTCGTCGGTCCGCATGCGCGCGACGGCGGAGTCGCTAAAGTGGGCCTCGACCAGGTGGTTGACGACGGGCCAGCCGTAGGCGTTGGCAAACATGCGCCGCACGCAGATGTTGTTGTGGGCATCGGGCTCCAGCTTGACGAGCACCTTGCGCCAAGCCAGGTCCCGGTGATAGCCTCTGGCAATTTTCTCCTCGACGCGAATGTTAGACACGTCAGCCGTCTCGCCGGAGCCTCTTTCGGGACTCGAGTTTGCCGATTTGGCGTGCTTCTTCGCCACGCTGCCCGAGTCCTCGTGGTTCGGAGGCAGGCCGGGCGACGAGCTACCGTTCGCCGACTGCTGCAACTCTGACGACCCTTTAAGTGATGTCTTGCGACGAATCAACGAGGAATGCCGTTTCTTCGGGGGCGGGGGTGGTATGTCGCTTGGGTGGTAGACGCGGTCGTGGAAAATTGTCCGCGGCCGCTTCGTCGGATCAATGAGATACTCGACGTTGGGGACGCCGGGGTTGAGGAGGTCGCCGGCCGATTCGAAAAAGGTCGTCTTCGGCGGAGCCAACACACTCTCGAGCGCCTCACCCAACTCGTTCCCAGAGGTAGCTTTGGCTGGCTTGCTTGAATCGTCCGATGCGCTGGAGCTGGGTGCACTGCAGGGCGCCTGGTCCAGAGGCATCGTCTGGCCTCTGCGGAGTATCCTCTTTTGTTTCTGCGACAGGGGCTGCTCCTTGGGTGGCTCGTTGCTCTTGAAGAGGTTGAAGAAGCCGGCAAGTGGCCCTGCAGAGTTGGGTTCGCTGGCCGTGAACGGAGATCCAGGTTCCTCCTTGTACGGTGTCGGCACCGAGCGAATGCTGGCCTTATCATCCTCGCTCATGGCATTATTCCCCGGCTGAGGAACTTGGCGCATAGACTCCCGCGGTGTGCTGGTTCCCGAATCTATCGTCTGCTCGTCGGTGGCCCACTGTCGGTGCCGAGGGTTCACCATGTTAGCACCCGTCAGCTCTGCCCACCCGAACCCAACGACCGTCTCCACCAGGCCAGCGTCTCTCCGGGCCTTTTCGACGCGCCCCAAGCCTTGCCAGTCGAGGAAGAGCAGGCAGCTTGTGCGGAGCGGGACGATGCCGTCGTTGACGACGTTGGAGTAGACGGTACGGTTTCTGAACTTTTTCAAGGCCGTGTGCGCTGGTCCCGTGGGCAGGATCCGCAGCAACGGCTTCGAATCGGCCTGGTTTTCGCCGTACATCTTCTTGTGCGCCGACTCGCCAAGGTTACTGACTATGGCGCCCCAGCCGCTCCGCGCAATCGTGGGCGCTCTCCACGTCAGCCCCAGATCCTTGCCGGTTCTGCCCACGAGGCCAAAGTCCAGGGCGAACTTGACGTATAGGGGGTTTTCGTTGCTCAGACCCAAGAAGGGAGTCGCCAACGCAATAAAGTTGATGGGCTTGATGAGGTCGAAGAACTGAGGAGAGTGCTTCTGGATGTAGGCGACAGCGTACATCTGGACCAGACCGCCCAGGGAGTGGGCGACGAAGCTGATGCTGGTGACTTTGTATTGCCGCTCCTGCTTTTTCCGATGCTCTCGGTTGGTATCTGTTTGTATGGTACTGTGTTTGTGCGCCTGCCTGAATTCGTGGGCCGTCTGTTGGTGTAGATGGGGGGGGTTTTCTCCTTTGAAGCCCTCGCCAAAGCCTTCGCCGGCGCCTTTGCCAATGGGAAAGAATGGTTGGTCCGGGTACGTTATGGACAGGACGTATCTAGCCAGTCGTTTGCCCAGATATTTTATGCCTCGCTCTGTCTTTGTGGCATTTCCAGAGTACCCTCGCACAATGACTTCTTCGTCGTCTTCGTCGTCACGCTTGTCTTGCTTCTCGTCGGCTGACCGAGATCCGTTGTCGGGAGATTCCTTGGGTTGGCCATCTGAGCCCGTGGGCGACGTGGAGCGATCAGCCTCGGCTTGTCGCTTCGCGGCTCGCCTGGCTTTGGCGTCAATCTTGGCCTGCTTGGCCGCAGCATCAATGCTCTCCTTGAGAAAGAGCATGTCTGCGCCGAGGTTGCTGTGCAGGCCATGGGTGAGAATGACGAGGTGAACCTTTTCCTGCTTGCGGCTCATCTTCTTGTCTGTCGTCTCTGGATCCCCCGTCTTGACCATGCTCTCGACGGGCTTGTCGGCGCCGCGTCGGTTCTCGACTCTCTCGTTGCCGGCATCGTCCCAGCCGGGTAGCCTGGGGGTGTTCCAAAGCGTGGCAGTGTCCTCGACCTTGACATGTATGGCGCGCGAGAAGACGCCCTTTGGCTGGGCCGGGTGGTGACCGTCCTTGGCGCCGATGCTCTGCTGGTGGTCGCTCACCTTGCCCGGTTGGGGTACCTGGCTCTGGTTGCCAACGACAGGCAGCGGCTGGGTGAGGTTGAGCGACTTTGGGTCGCGAGCGACGACGAGTTCGTATCCAACGGCGGCCGAGGTAGAGAAGATGACCTGCGACGTCACCTCGATGACCCATGTGGCGGATTCGCGGTCGTGGTCGGGGCCGTTGCCGAAAGCACCATGGCTGCCGGTGCCGGCGGCTTGGCGAATATCGTCAGGGACGACGAGCTCGCACTGCCAGGAGCCACCGGCCTTGAGCATGGGCTCGAATGCGGGGACGCCATAGCGGCGGGGGTTGTCGAACTTGACGTTTGGACTGAAGCCGGCAGGGTGGGCCGAGACTGAGAGGGTGTAGGGCCCGTGGACAAAGGCGGCGCGCAGGGCAATGGTCGAGGTGTTGCGGATGCGGACGTGGAGCGTCTCGGGCGAGGGCAGGATGCGGTCCTGCGAAGGGGTGTAGGTGACGGTATAGCGGACGACCTCGCCGATCTTGACGCTGCCGACCTGGTGTAGCAGCAGCATGCCGCCGGGTCTGGCGGTGCGCCGAGGCGGGACAAGCGAGGCGGAGGCGGCCCCGGGGAGGGGGGCAGAGGAGCTAATCGAGGCCGAGACGGAAGGTCGTCAACTGCGCATCGGCATGATCTTGAGGTAAGCGATAGAACGGCGGCGCGGGACGAGGCCGCCTTTCTTGCAGCGAGCCGAGGCTCGAGTCGGAGGGCCGAGGCACCGGAGGGAGGGCGAGGCAGCCGGAAAGTGTCGGTCGTGCGCGGCGATGGTTACATAGGTATTGCCGTGGTCGAGGGCGAGGGGGAGTAGGAGAGGCGAGAGCAGGAGAAGCAGAGCAGATGTTGGAGAGAGAGAAGAGAGGTTGGCGAGTGACAAAGAGAGAACAAAGGCACCAACGGAAGGATCCTGGGTGATTGTGTGTTGTGATGGGGGAGAGGTACTGTCTACTTACTGACTAAGACGCCCCGTGAGCGCCTCTTGTTCCTCTACACCCAGCCCACGGTGTGACGCTACTTTGACTGCTCGCGCAACAATAGCCCGCGCAGCCGGGTGACGTAATGTTCAAGTAGACGCTACGCGGACATGAGCTGCTGGAATGCCCAATTCCTTTTCACAGTTCAGTTAAGTCCAATGACGTCTACATTCAGCCTCCTCTGCTCTTCAAGCCAACTCGTTTCGATTCAACTACCTGCCTGGCAGCTGGGGGTTGACTAATGCAGAAACTACTCAATTCCAACAGCACTCGTCGCCATCCACCGCCTCGCCGCCCACCATGTCAGCCCATAACGAAAGCGAAAGCCGACTGGCTCAGCCCTTTCGACTTGTTCCACCCAGGGCCGACATCCAGAGGAGTCGTCGGCGCGTAGACGGGTTACCCTGACTTGACTCAATCCCTAATTCGACAGACGGTCCATAAAACATCCCGTATATACACCTTCGCCATCGTCACAGCCCCAAACCCTCACCGTTGATGGTTCGCAGTCGGCCTGCGAAGCCAGCATCTAAGCCCTCGCTCAGCTGTCGACGACCTTGCGGTTCACGCCACCACATAGCCGTATCACAGCCGGATCGCACCCAGCGCCGCCTCGTAATCACCGTCTGAACTCGCACATGGTCAAACGGCCAGGCTTGACCCTCGCTCAGCTGTGGACGGCCTGGTTCACGCCACCGCATCCCCTCTTGCCCGGTGGCTGGCATGCACCTCTCCAAACTGCTTGCAACATCAGACGGGACGCCGGCAAAAGCATAAACAAGACATTGCGGAGCAAGACGTAATCCAATACACGCCGAGGCAACCAGCCGGGGCCCATCAACCCCCCCTTCAAAGGTATCAAACATCCAGACTGCAAGCAACCGCCTCCGTCCTCGTGCCTAACAGTGAATTATTATACGGCTTCACTGGCTGAAGCCAGGTGCCAAAAAGAAATCGACGCCAAAAGCATATCATGAGCCTCGTGGGAGATCAGTCTCTTTCCACCTCTCTGCCCCTCTCTGTGAATGGAAAATCTTCAAGATTTACGCATGGCCAACAGTCGACTCCCCATCTGGAATGCCGGGCTCGACAAAGCTGCGCCATTGCGAGACGCGGTTCATGCCCTGCCCGCGCCCGTTGAGACCCGCCATGTCCGACGACGTGGGCGGCTTCTCGAACCCGCGCCGACGGCTTCCGGGAGCGTGAATCTCGCTCTCGTCCTCATATGTGCGCGACAGGCGAGCCTCAACCACCCGCCCCGACCGTACCGTGCGCGGCTGCCTGTTGTACAGCTCCTCCTCTAGGCTGTGCTGCCGCAGCGTGCGTCTCTGCGGCGCTGCTGGCGGGCCCGTGTCTGGTCCATGTGGCATGGGCAGCGCCATCGGCCCCATTCTCGCCCGTATCCCCATCCCCGGCCGCGTCTCTGAAAAGCGGTCGGCCAGCCGCCGCTCCATCGAGCCCGCTCGCTTGTTTCGGGTCCGGCGCTCATCGTCAACGTAGTCTGCGCTCCGGTCCAGCGTCACCACCCGGGCCGGCACCCGATAGCGGCCGCTGCCTCTGTAGTCGTCATTCATGAAGTGCCCTGCGGCGTTGCCGATCCCGTGAACATCGCCAACGCCCCCCATGACGTCGCGCTCATTGTGAAAGTCGCTGGGATACTGCAGATGCCGCACCGTGTCCGTGTCCCACTGTCCTTGCCGCCGGCGCATGGGCATTTCCTCGTGATAGCTCCTCCGCCGCGGTCGCGCCGGTGCCGTCATGGTTACCGGATGATGGTTCCGCAGCTCACTAGGCATGGGCGGACCGTCGCCGTCAAAGATGTCCCGCAAGTCCCCCCGAATCTGAGGCACGGACATGTCCGCGTGATCGAGCATGTCTCCCAGGAAGCCGCCGTCGTTGAACCACGGGCAGTCACAGCCCTTCCACTTTACGCCACATATCATACAGAACTCGCCACCGCACCGGCTGTCACAAGTCAGTCAATGTCCGTGACGGTTACGCAACCGCGCCTGTGCAACGGGCCACTCACCACGTCATATGGTTGCAGCCCTCCTTGAGTTCGACAACGGCCTTGCAGCGATAGCATCGTTTCCAGCCCTCTTCTTGTGCCTGGGCCAGCAGTCTCGCCGTCTCCTCGTCCTGGGGGCAGTCCTCGGCGCCGTGCCACTTGGCGTTGCAGTGACCACAGACCTTTGTCTTGCAGCGGCCGCAGAGCGCCACCTTTCGGCCCTTTTCCTTGAAGATGTTGGCCGGCTTGATCCACTCGCCGCACTTCCGCGACGGGCAGTACAGGCGGTTCTTGGTCGAAAACTCGGCAAACTTGCGGTTCCATGTCGACTTGAAGCTGTCGTCAAACAGACGCTCCACATGTTTCACTGGAATGTGATCCTGCGTGCAGCACCGCGGCGGCATGTGCTGCGGGTCTGTGATGGACAGCTTGAAGATGCGCTCTAAACATGAGCGGCACATGGAGTGGCCGCACTTGAGCCTGGCTACCTTGGAGAGCGACACGTCTCCCATGCAGATGACGCACGCGACGCTACACACCAAACATCAGCGCGCGACCCGACGGCTGTGGCACAGCGCTCGTCCTCACCGTTTTGCTGCCTTGGGCTCCTTGGCGCGTTCCTCCGGAGGTGCACGCCGCGGCGACGGAGTGCCGAATATGCTGCCCAAAATGCCCGATGGGCCGCCGGACACGGAACCGGCCCTGCTGCGACTTGATCTCACCCTGCTCGGCTCTCGAGGCCTGTCCTCGTGATGGATCACGTCGGCCGACCGGTTTCTCCTCCTAACCGTGGATCTGATACGAGCGCCGTCGTCAGACCCGAGCACCCGCCACCAAGAGGGACGAGGAAGGTCAACAAACCTCTTGGAGGACACGGGGGGTCTCGAGTCTTCAATCACGTCATTCAGCTGCAAGCGGCGGCCCTGGCGAGAGGATGCGCTCCGGTCCGCCGTCTTGGACGATGCTCGCGCCGGAGAGTTGCTAAACGAGTGGCGGCGTCGCACCACCGTCTCTCCTGGGTCGGCGTGGTGCTGTCTCGTGCGCTGCCTGTGGTACCCTCTGTCGGCCGATGACAGCATGTACTCGTCGCGACTCGATTGCCGGTCCCCTCGGTGCCTTGACGAGCCGTCGTCGTCGTCGTCGTCATCGTCGGCCACCTCGACCACCTCTATGAAGTCGTCGCCGTCGTCGCCGCCGCCGCCGTAAGCGCGCCCACTGGCCGATGAGTAGCCCGAGTACTCGGGCAGCGGGGGTGCACGATGATGGTAAGTGGGGGAGGCATCTCGCCTCGGGCGCCGCCGACCGCCGACGGAATCTCCTCCATCGCCGTAGGCCATCCAATGCCTCGGCCTCCTGTAGGCGTCGGTCGACGACCGGGCCAGATGCGGTGGCGGCGGCATCGTCGAGTCGGCCGCATCCAAGGTCCTCGACGAGGTGCTCTCGGAGCGCCGCGATGCTCTGCGGCCAGAGCTATGTAGTCGGTCGTTCCGAGGGTGAGGCAGCGAATCACGAGGTTGTTCGGCCTGGGACTTCCAATCGAGGGTGCTTCTCTGATAGCGTCTGCGTCGCCTCGAGCGGCCATGGCCATCGTCGGCGTCTCGATATGCTTCCAGCCTCATATCTGCGCAGCCCCAGGCTGGCGGTTGGGCTCTAGACTCGGCTCGGCGACCCAGAGGCGTCTGTGGATCGAGGGGACGCAGCGCCCGACAGGATGCAGCCTCGTGGGCCAGTCACGGCTGTCCACGCCGCACAGGGGCCTGTTTACAGCGCACGCCGATGATTGGACCGGCCGTGGCCTGGCAGCCACCTACCACCGGGCGATGCTGCGTATGGGCGGCAGCAGTTGGGCCGCCACGGGTCACAGGCGACGAGCCCAGGGAGAGAAGAGTGATCGAAGATCAAGGGTCAGGAGACGCGAAGGAGAAGCAGGGGTGGTGGCATCGAATGGCCTGTTGCCTGTCAGCCTAAGAAGCCAGGCTCATGCTTGGACACACACGGCCACACGCCCCCCCCCTCGCGTGATTGGCCGCAGGAGTTTTGTCTAGGCGCCCGGCACGAGCCAAAAACGCTCATTCGACAAGTTCCGTACAGTAGTGCTTGTGGTGAGGGGATTGACGGTGGGGGTTGGCTTTCCTGCGGACCAAGGGGGGAGGCGCTGAACGTGATTAAATTCGGGCGGCAGCGATAGTCACAGTCACGTGCTGCGAGGGCGACGTCACACATCGAAGATGGATGCTTTCTGTTTCTTGGAACGCAGCCAAAGCCAACGACATTCCGAACCCTGTCTGCATCGGCCCACGTCCCCGTCATCGACAGACACTGTTTGCTGCATGACGCTCCAGCCCCCCACTGCCGTGTCTGCATTTTCGTGCGGCGGTTCACCGGCCGTCTTTGCTTGCAGGGCCCGAACGAATCAAGAAGCATGCGTCAATGGCAAGTTGCGGGCTGCGATCGACGGAGCCACAGCTGCCGCCGCTCGTGGACGTGGAGACAGCGGGCCGGGCCTAGGTGGGGCCGGTCCGGCCCTGTCCGGAACCCGTCTCCGCTTCCCCGGGCTCCCCTCCCCCTCGCCGATCAGCAGTTCATAACGCCTCATTTCCTGTGCATTCCGGGTCAAACCAGAGGAGCCAACACCAACAAGACGCTGCGCCCACGACGCCTTAGTGTATCCAAATAAATCTGGTGAGCAAAGTGCGCCGAATCCCGACGGCGGAGTCAGACAGCGCTTGGCGTGGACGTCGAGACAGTGGCGACTCTTCACGACGATTCGGTTCTGCAGGCTCCAAGGCTCTGAGACCTGGTTCATACACTACTTCAAGTTTTCGCGCGCTACAGACTGCTCAGCCACTGTGTCTGTCTTTCACAGGAATACGAGGCCAAAAGGACACGGCAGCAAGCAAAGCCGCCAAGGCAGCAGGGCAGCCGCCATGAAGAGCCATCGACCGAATTGGCGACCAGCAGCGAGTCCACGCCGCCACGCCGCCTCCGCTCAAAGTGCCACTGCGACGACGCCACTTGCTCAGACCTTGACCGCGTCAGGGACAGTTGGCAGCACCCTGGGCCTGTTGGTTCGCAGCGCCGTTTCTCGTGAATCTGTACGTCGTCATGCCCTATCCAATTACAAACTACTGTACTGCTGTTGAACGGCTAAGTAACTGCCCAATCGCAGCGGCTATGTCGCCGTTGATGCTCGCTGCCAAACCCTCCTCCTCCAGATCCGACGGTGCGGCTGATTCAGGTCCCATCGCCACCCTCACTAGCTTGACCCTGCCCTCGCTGGACCTGGCCCAGTCCTCGTTCGGCCACCGCAGCACTCCAGGCGTCGACGATCCCACACCGAGCTCGAGAATGACAACATCTTTGCCGTTGGCTCTCATCCGCTCCTTGAACTCTTTCCACCGCCTCTCCCCGTCCTTGAATGGGGCATCGTTGAATCGATGGTCGGCACGGACGCAGATGCCCATCATGCCATCGCAGCGGCGGCACCGCGGGACTCGGCCCGGGTCCGTCAGCCGCTGTGTCCTCGGGTCCAGTGACTGCTGTGCGGCTTTTAGCCATGGCTCCGACGGCTCCGCCGAGTCGGGGTGGCAGTTTGACAGGCACTGCAGGACCGAATAGGAGCCCTGCGGCGTGGACAGCTTCTCGGGCGCCCATCCGTTGGCCACGAAGAGGCCGTCGGCGTTGGAGGTGCGGACGTGGGCGTCGGGTCCAAGCTTGTCAAGCCACGAGATGAGTCCCTGATACATGGGCGACGGCGGCCAGGACTTGACCAAGCCCAGATGCGTCGCAAAGTATCCCCAGCGGTCCTGCTCCGTGGGCCAGCCGGAATAGCCAAAGACGCTGTAGAGCGTCCGGAACCCGTATTTGAGAAAGCCTGGGAACTCTTTGGTAAAGAGCGCCGTTGATGTGTAGTCGAGGCCGTCGGCGGCAGACAGGCCAGCTCCCGCGCTCACGACGACGGCATCGGCCGAGTTTAGCCACTGGCGTGCGTGGACCATGGACTCGCACTCGACTACGGCGGACGGGTTCGGGCTCGAGGCAGTCGAGCGGCGCCACGTCGGCAGGGCCGAGGACAAGATGTCCTGGTAGATGCCGTGGTCCGTATCGGTAAAGGTGTTGAAGATGACATCCGTCACTGTCGTCTGCAAATGATCGTGAAGCCACGCAGCCACCGTCCGCACCGCAATCTCGGCAGCGTGCCTCGCCGGAAAGGCAAACAGGCCGGTCGAGATGCCGCACAAGGCGACCCGCTTGCGACCGTCCGCTCCGGCCGGTAGCGTCTCGGCGGCCTCGAGCACGGAGCGGTAGCATTGCGCGAGCTGCTCCTCGTGCCGCGGCTCGGGCTTTCCCCCGGGAGCAAGCTGGGGGCCGAGGACGTGCACGACATGGGCCGCGGGAAGGCAGTGTCCCCGCGTGACGATGCACTCGCCGGGGTCGAGGTCGCGGCCTCTCGCCGCCATGAGAGCGTAGCAGTCGTCGCGGAGCCGGGGCCCGGCCCACGTATGGATCGCATTGTCAATGCAGCGATGGGAGGGCTGGAAACAGCCGATGGCGCGGTAGTTGGCGGCGTTGGCGATGACGGTGACGTTGGCCAGGGCGGTCAAGTCGCCTTTCCAGACGGAGACGGTGCCGTCTCGCGCAAAGAACAGTGCTGGCTTGATGGTCTCGGCACGCGTGAGCAGTCTCTGCGACATCCACTTCCGAAGAGCTAGGTCAATGTCGTCCAAAAGGCCTGCCGGCAGCAGAGGATCGGGGTGCCGCAGACACAGCATTTGTTGCAGCAGCTGCCTCTGTCCCGCCTCATCGACGCGGTCTAGACGCTTTTGCAGCTTATGCCGAGGAAGGCGTCTCTCGCAAGGCTCCTCACTGCACTGGGCGTGGTCAAGAACCTGGACAAGGATATCTTGTGTTCTCGGCATGTTGGGTGGAGTATCGGGTGAGCGGTTCGAGGCGATTTGAGACGGAGGAATAATAGAACTGGGGCTCGTCTTATAGTGACCGGTCAGAGAGCTAGAGCCTTCCAAGGCTGGAGATGGGACTTCCGGCCGCCATTTAGGCATCAGGTCCCTTGATTCCGAGCCGAGCGGAATTCCACGAGCCGTATCTTGTCGGGTCAAGTCGAATAAGCAGTGTCTGACTCGGGTCCTTTCTCTACGTCTACGCTACATGACAAACCGATGGCAACAGGCAGGACGGCAAAAGGCTCCCACCGGTGATGTGCAGATTGGCGGCGTTCTATCAGGCCGATGAAAAGACCGTTTCTCGAGGCCTCGTGGCCTCTGGTTTGAAGTCAAACATGCCCATTTCGCCCCTGGTAGGGCGTCGCCTGTCGCTTTTATTCTTGTTGCTTGATGCTGAAACCTTGATCAGAGTCTATCTCGACTTACGAGGGAGTCAACTGACAAAGCCATCCCACAAGACATGCGAGCCTTGGCCACTGGATGGAAACGTTGCGGCTTGCCCCATGGGCGCAGCAACCCTTATTGTTTCGAGTCCAGCCGCCAACTCGCTCAAGTCCGTCGTGTGGTTTAGTCATGGCTGTGGGTTGGCCGAGATGCAAGCACCGGTTAACGAGTATCCCATCGGGTGGCGCCCACATTAGAACCATGCTAGAAGCTCTCGAACTGTGGGACACGGTCAAGAGCCGCGGGGTTAGCCCGGCAGACAGGGCGACCGGCCATTGAGGTCGGCGGCTCGGTGGGTCGCGTAGTCCGGCGAGCCGGGCCTCCCGCCCCCAGCAAACCAGACGGCGCCGGACACGTTAAAACCGCCAGTGTCCGCCGACGCACGACCAGGTCCAGATTCATCGACAGTTTTGCGTTGGTGTTGATGCTGTTTCCTCGTCTTGTTCGTCGAACTTTGTTCCGAAAATAAACACAAAATGTCATCCCCTCCTACCGTGGCCATTGCCGGGGCTTCGGGCAACCTCGGCGCAAGCATGGCCCAGGTCTTTCTCGAGCCTGCCTTTCGTGCGCGGTTCACCGACGTCATCGTCCTGGCGCGGGGCAACTCGGCCAAGATTCAACAGCTGGTCAGCAAGGGAGCCAGGTTACGACAATACTCGGAAGACAAGCTCGAGGAGGCTCTTGAGGGCGTCGACGTCCTTGTAAACACGTACGTGCCCTGGACCGAGGTGCTCATGGGCTCGTCAACGGCTAACAGTTTGCTCCAGCGTTGGGCCGTCGGGACACAAGTTCAAGGAGAGCCTGCTCCGCTGCCTCCCTCGGACTGCAGTGCGGCTCTACTTTCCGTCCGAGTTCGGAGTCAACCACTACCTCCACGACTTTGACCACGAAGAGTGGAATGCCAAAAAACACCACTTCCGCCTCACCAGCCAACTCATCCCCAACATCCGCGTGTGCCGCGTGTATCCCGGCCTCTTTCTCGAGGAATCCATCGGCCCATGGTTTGGGTTCTTCACCAAGCAGGGCAAGTATGAGGCCATAGGCAGCCCGGCACAGCCCGTTACCTACACGAGTATGGACGACACGGGCAAAGCCCTGGCGGTGCTAGCATCATCACCTCCGGCCGCTGTGCCGGCAGAGGTCTACCTGAGCGGCGACAGCAAGTCCTTTGCCGAGATTGCCAAGATTATGGGAGAAGCCGGTGCTGGTCACATTGACGTGTCGCGCATCCCACTGAACGAGTACAAGGCACAGGTCTTGTCGAAACCGTCGCCGACGCCGGAGAGATATCTCAGGTTCCTCATGGCCGAGGGGAAGATTGATCACCGCAGCGAGGGCCTGGGCAATCACAACCATCTCGTGCAAGGAGCAGGGGAAGTCGAAGCCTTTAAATCGATGACGGATTTGGCAAAGGAGACCCAGGGGCGACCATGGGTCGACTCCGACTGAGAATTGCCTGAATAGGTGAGTAGAGTACACATGATATTCACAAGAGGGCGAACATGCCCCACGCACTTCATGACCTAATTAGTGGCACGCTGGGACGAAGCAGGCAAAGTCGTGTACTGTATGTAGTGATGATACCAATATCAAAAAGCAAAAAGAACAGCTCTGGACAAACGGGGAATCGAACCCCGGACCACTCCCATGCTAAGGGAGTATTATACCACTAAACCATTCGCCCATCAAGACGTGTTGACGAGGAGCCGCTGGACGAACAGGGAATCGAACCCTGGACCACTCCCAAGTCTTCGAGACATGCTAAGGGAGTATTATACCACTAAACCATTCGCCCGAGATTGTGTGATGGCAGGCTTCGTTATTTAATTCTGAGAGGGCTATGCGCATGATTGTGGAGGTCCGGTGGGGTGGCTTGTTTGCCTGGTTTTGTGGGTGGGCCGAGCGAGGTTTGATACGTAGTACGTACGTGTAATTATGCCCCGGTCAGTAAGAGACCCACGGTGGGGGCAGGGAGGGGCTCGTGCCGGCTCAGTCAGTTACCTGCAAGTACATACACTCACTTATCGTGGCAGAAGAGACTCATGGCTTGCGGCATTGCTGCGGAAGCTGTAAATGGATACGACTGATGATGGGATGAAGTCCATCAACGGACAAGGAAGAAAGCGGTTCCGCCTGTTACTTGATCCGGGACACGGATAATACCGCTCCCGCTCCCAGTTCCGTGGTTGGCGCTCTTGCCTAGCAGCCTTTCCCGCACTTGGCAAGCGATGGGGCAGGAGCAAGGCATCAGCACGACTTCCCTCCGATATCTGGTCATGTTGTCATCCCATCTGGAGAGATAAAATTGCCAAACGAGACCGAGTCATGGCAGTTTGAGCGCTGTAAACTGACGAGTGATGAGTTTGTTTGTTGGTGTACAGGGTAGGTGTACAGGGTAGGTGTACAGGGTAGGTGTACAGGGTAGGCTGTATGAAATACCTTTTTCGTGCAGGCCTGCTCGGCGTCTTGGTGCAGCAAAAGCCGTGTAAGTTAGTGACATCATTGGTTTGTCCTCCAACATGACTGAGCGAGGCTGTGAAGTGCGCTAGAAACTTTTGCGCCCATCAGCCGAAAGAAAAAAAATAAAAAATTCAGGCTTGCTTCCTCGCCCTTGAGGAGGCCTCTCCAACTGGTCTCACCGACCTTGGCCCGAGTGTCTCTTTCGCATTTCGCCTCTCGCCCCTTGTCCTCCTCCTCTCTTGATGACGACCATGATCAGGTAGGGTAGTAACTGCTCGGCTTATTGCGAGCCCACGCACGCCGCCAGTTGATATTTCACCCTCCCTTCCTCCTTCGCTGCTCGCGTCACGGGGCCTTGGAGACAGGGTGGCGCAAGACGACGTCAAACTGCGCGCCACGTGCCTTCAGCGGTCACACACCAGCAGCAGCGCTCGCTCATCACCTCGGACAGCTACAGCCTCCTTCTCCGGTAGCAGAACCCTCGCGTCCCTCCGACTAGGCCATGCGCCTCTTCCTCCTGCCCGTGTCGACACGGCGCACCCTCTTGTACGCACAGCGTCTCAACGGTGGCGCCGGCGCCACCAAGCCCGAAGCCAGCCTCGTTGACAAAACCACCGCCTGGGCCGCCAAGAAATGGTCCCAGTGGGAGAAGAAGGAGTCGGGCTGGCAGCGCAAGGTGGTCGACTACGGCAACCACGCCTTTCGCCGCATCCCCTACCAGGAATGGGGGCTCAAGTCGGTGCCGGCCCGCCGCCGTGACGACCAGCGCAACGGCACCAACAAGGTCGAGCTCGTTTTCCCCGGCAGGGCCTTTGGCGCGGACCAGGCCCCGGCCGTGGCGCTCAAGCTGGCGACGGAGAGGCTCGGGCTGCACCGCCAGAAGATGATGTGGTGCTTTGTCGGCATGCCGATTACCGCGCCCCTTGCCCTGATTCCCATGTACGGAGTCTCCTCTGCCGTATCCCAAACATGATGCTGACCTCGGCCCGCCTACAGAATCCCCAATATCCCCTTCTTCTACCTCGTATATCGCGCCTGGTCCCACTGGCGCGCCATTGCCGGTGGCCGACACCTCCAATGGCTCGTCGAGAACAAGCTCGTCCTTCCCTCCCCGTCGACGACGTTGGACCAGCTCTACAGCAGAGCCGCGCCGCTGCCCAGTCCAGACACCCCCGCGGGCCGAGAAACGATGCTCCTCACGCAGAAGCAAGTCCGCAGCTTCTCCGAGACTCTCAATGTCCCGGAGCTCGAAATCGAGCTAGAGCGAGCCATCTGGCAGGTCGAGAGGGATCTGGAAGCTGACCGGCCGAGCCCCGAGGCGCACGCCGAGACGAGACAGGAGGGAGAAGGGACCGAGCCACAAGAACCGGCAAGAGGAAAGAAAGCTCTGACTCCCGAGAAGGAGAAGCAATGAGCCACGCCACTCGCGCGAGCATACTTCGATGAATGTTCACCGCGATTCTGCCACAAAAACACGATCAAGTAGAGCCATATACGAAGAGATGGAGGACAGGGCAAGCAGCCTCGAGACCACTGGGGACATGCGCACGCGCATGCGGGTGTTCTATATACTATATCGAGTCTCGGATAGCTGTCTGGAAGAAGGGCCCGACACTCCAATCAATCAAGCCATGCGCAACTCTGCGCGGCGTCTCCCCTCTTCCCTCTCGCGACGCGCCTTTGCACTGCGCAGCACCTCGTGCGGGCTGACAAAGGGCAGCATCTGCTTCACGCCCATGGCGAGCACCACCCGCTGCGGCGTGAAGAAGCCAACCTCTGGCATGCGAAACAGGTAGTCGTAGTGCGGAGGCCGGGGCACCCCCTCGTCTTGCGCGCCGCGCCGCTTTTCCTCGGGCGGCTCTCGCTCATCGCGCGAGTTGTCGAGGGGAGAGACGGCCGACATGTCGCCATCGCCGTCGTCGACCTCTTGGGGATACCGTTCCTGCCTCGGGGGAGCCGCCTTGATCTTGCCCGTGCCCTCTGCTGTCAGCCTACCCTTCCAAGAGAAGGGGCCACATGACGTTATACCTGTCTCGCCCTCGGGGCCTCCCGCCTCAGGACCTGCAGCCGCCAAGCCTGCGCTGCCTTGTGCCTCAGCAGTCTCTGCGCGGGACTCATGCTCGCCGTCGTGGTGCTCCTGCGCGCCATCTTGCTGCTACTGCCGCCGCCGCCGCCGCCGCCGCCGCCGCCGCCGCCTCCGCCGCTGTTTCGCCTCCGCCGCAGCGCCAGTCCCTCTCCCTCACAGCTCCTTGGGTTTAGCGGCGACGGCACGAGCGGCTCGTAGGCCGTGCCTGCATGGGAGGGTGTCGACGCCATTTCGGACGGTGCGGTGGGGACTTTTATGGTGCCGAAGAGCCGTGGCGGGAGGCGGGTTTGCTCGGCGGACCGGTGCCGAGGCCATCTACTACTTGTAGGCGGCGGCGCATCATGGTGCGTTTATTGACGGCGTTGACGCGCACACTTGGAATGCCGCGCGCTGGGGGCCTGTCTCACCACACGCAGACCATCGAGGCGGCATTTCAAGCCTCTCCCGCGCCCGGGCTGTGCCCCTCCAGCGCGAGACATGGTGCCTCCAAGACCCTGCCCTGTAGGTGGTCTTGGTTTGCGTCTCAACACGGACAAATCCGTCTGCCCGCGGAAGCCATCTCGCCACGGAGAGATCCCTCGCCGGCAGCTCATCACGTCACTTGGCTTCAAGGCGTCGTATCAAATAAAACTCCATGTTTATACGGTCAATGCACCGTGCCGAGGACGTCCAAGACGTTTGCTAGGAACAAGAGGGGGATATCAAAGCGAGTGGTTCATGCCGTCTCCAACGCCTGTTCCTGGATGAGAACACACATACCCAATTTGAAACAGCCTTCCCCGAGACAAGGACAAACACAAATAGTTGCATCCAAAAACATCACCCCGAGATGAACGTGGCTTCGGTGAGGAGCTGGCCCTCTTCGGAAACCTCCTCGTTCCCAATCTTGAGCTTCAGGGTGACTTTGGGGGCATACTGGAAGAGAATCAAGCATTAGGGGAAGCCTTGCCCTGCCGGGACGGAGAATCAAAACATACCTGGTAGATGTAAGGCTTCGTTCCCGCTGCACCGGCCACAATCTTCTTGATAAACGCCGGCACCTCGGCCATGACGTCGACCCTGTCGACGCGATCCCCTAGAGGCGTCTCAATTACGGCGTCGACGGACTTGCCGTCCTTGTATTTGCCTTGCCAGGAAAACTTGACATGACTTGGCTCCGGCCATTCATTGTCCGGATCGCCCTTGACGGTGGTATGAGTGGCCTGGTTGTCGCAACCGGCCGTGATGATCTGGCCTTCTTTCAAGATGCCGCCGACGTTGACCACGGTAGAGCCGTACGAGGGAGGAGTGGTAAACTCCATCATGACGGCCGAGTAGTTGGGGCCTTGAAAGGCGACAAAGTTCCACCGGGCGGCAGCGTGGTGAGGCTTCATACCCTGCAGGGCGTAGGCATAGAGCGCGGTGCCAGCGAAGTCAATGGGGCCGTCCTTTGTGGTGATGGTGCCCTCGACGGCGCACCGCGGCCAAAAGGCGTGTCGCATTACACCCCAGGGATTCTCCAGGTCGGTCCCAAACTTGGTGGTGCCGGACTGGCCAGCTTGGAACCCGGGTGCTGTCTTGGTCACCTTGAGATTGACAATGGCCCTCTCGTCGGTCATGCTCTTGATGGTGTACGAGTTTCCGTCCGGGGAAAGCTCGACGGCGCAATCGTTTGCGTAAAAGGACGCCTTGTCCTCGCTGAACTCGACGTTGCTGAGGGGCGTGGAGCACCAGAGATGGGGCTTGGCCGGGTCTCTGGAGAAGACCTTGCAGTTAAACTGGCTCGTCGTTCGGATGCCGCTTTGCGTGAGGGTGTGTCAGCGGCCGCTCGCCGGCAAACACGATGAGTTTAACGTACGCAACGCTGCTATAGATGACCTGGGCAAGAGCGATGTCGCCGCGATTCGAGAAGAGGTAGAAGCTCTCCGTCTCGACGCAAGTCGAGTCCATGGCCCTCCACTTGAGGTCATCCCGGGCGATCTCGGTGTGGGGCGTCGTCTGTGCCTCTTGGGCGACCGACTTGATGGCAGAGGGGCCATAGATGGGCTCTTGGGTGCCGGCGACGTTGGCCAGCCTGGAAACGGGCAGCATTGTCCGTGGTCAGCGGCGGGCACGGCCTGGTCGGCAGTGGACCGAAGGGCACTCACTGTTGCTTTGCCCAATTGAACATGGCGAAGGCGGACGGGATGGAGCGGATCGAAGGATGAAGACAGGAAAAGGGGATGATGGATGAAGGCGAGCAAGGAGGCTGAGGTGTGCAAAGACGGGCCTGTATGCTGGCTGGGTACCTGGAGGGGAGACAGGTGGTGGGTGGGTACCTTGTGCAGCTCGGGGCACTGAACGATGACGAGGGGTCTCTGCGTGATGGGCCCGACAGCCTAAGGTAGGTACTAGTAGGCAGGTACTTGGGTACTCGGCAGCGCTGATCGGGGATTTAAAGAGGCCCTGGGGCAGCATTTGGGCGTCATGCTCTAGTGGGGATCTGCCCAATCATTAGCCGGCTTAGTACAGAGTACCTAGGGGGCAAGTAATCAATGAGTGAAATTTGCCTCGTCAAGTGTAGATAGACCACTTGGCTATTTCACGAAATCAGCAGATAACTCCCGCACGGTTGGGGGACATTGATAAAACAGCTCTTCCATATACTACTGAGGAATTGTACACAGCACCACACATATTCCGTGTCTTTTCCATCGTGGCCCAGGGTCGCTTGCCAGCCCCGCGTCCAGCGTTGCGCCCGGGCGTCCTACGCACAGGTACCTACCCAGTAAGACAACGCAAAAGCGCCGCCCGGTCGGCCAGGCCGGATCCAGCAGCGGCATGATGGATTTGGCAGCAAGGATTCCCTTTGGAGCTTTTGATCATCTCTCAAGTGCCTGCCGATTAGGCCTTGTGCAGAGGAGATTCCGTCCGAACAAAGGCGTTCATAAAAGCTGCAGGGCCAATCCCGAGCCTGGTCGTGGCCAGCGATGCGCCAGCCTGTACTCTGTACTTGTACCTGTACTTCCCTCTCCCCGGGCACCTGTTGCCAGGGGGAGCCAAAGCCAATCTGCATCGCGCGCTCTTCTTTTTTCCCACCTCAGGATTTTTCTCACTCACCAGCGCCGACAGTCTATCTACCCTCCATCGCAACGGTCGCATGTCTTTTGCCCGTCCACTCCTTTTCCGACCGTCGCTTTGATTTCGTCTCTCTCCATTCGACTCGCACGCTCCTTCCATCTCGTGCCTTTTCAGTCTTCGTCCTTGACCGTGATAGTTTCCCGACACGCGCCGATATTCCCTACTGCCAGCCGGGGCCGTTTGCGAATCGCAGCCACAGCGCGCACTCGTCTTGGCCTTTGTCGAAGAAAGCCCTTTCACACCCAGCCGCCCGACGCGAACGAAATACTGTACGAGGATTGAGCTTCACGTCCTGATAACCCGGACCCGCGCCGCCGAACCACGCACTTTGTCGAGCAGCCGACGATGGAAGACGGCCCGCAGATGCTCCCGCCGCAGCCCGCGGATCCGATTTCCCGACCGAGTTCGACGTCGACGTCGGCATCCGCGACACTTCCACAGCTGCCTGGCATCGCAGCCCTGGCCGCCAGCAATGCCATGTTAGAATCCCCACAGCCAAGGTACGCCCGCGTCTTCACCAAGCCGATGAAATGGGGGTCGACAATCGAACGCCCATCAGGGCTTTGTATGGCCGGGCCGCGGACCGTTGGGCCGTTGCTTGGGCTGCGAGCCTTGCCATGGCTTTGTCCCATGCCTCGTGCCCACTTCCCCAGCCGCTCATCGCCAACCGCAGATTGTGGCTCGATGCTAACGCGCATGCTTTTTTCGCAGGGCAACGGCGGCGCCGCAAGCGCCTTCCCATACCGGCCACTCCCCCGCCGCGACCAGCGGGGGCGGGGGCAGCAACCTCGTAAGTCTGGACTGCATTGCCGAGCGACATCTCCTTGCGTGATCCATGGCACTGCAGCGGCGCATCAGCATGTTATCTCTGGACCCCATGAGAGGCAATGGCGAGCTCGCTGGGTTGGATCGTGGTGGAGACTTGCAATCGCTTCGGCGAGTGCCTTCGTCCGCGTTGCCGGTCCTTATCGCGCCAGTGATGCTGTGCATCACGTGCCTTATCGCGAATCGCTGCGAGCTAGTCCCCAACGGGCGACCCTTGCCTGCCAATCAAGGGTCGGCTTATCTCGCCTTATCTTGGCGCTTGCCCAAGTTTTTTTTCTGGCACATCCTTATCGATCACGATATCATCATATCATTTATCTTCCCTATCTTCCGCATCGCCATTTGTACCTCGTCCAACCGGCAACATGATGGCTTCTAACGCTTCCTCACAGCCTACGTGCCAGAACTGCACCACGTCGACAACGCCCTTGTGGCGTCGCGACGAGTTTGGCGCTGTCCTGTGCAACGCCTGCGGCCTGTTTCTCAAGCTGCATGGCCGACCACGCCCAATCTCTCTAAAAACCGACGTCATCAAGAGCCGCAATCGCGTCAAGACAATGCGCCCGGATCTGGCGCCCAAGAAGAAGGTGAGTCGCTTACCTCTGTATCCTCCCCCCGACCGCTGGCGAGCCTCGTTTCTCATTCCCTTTAGCAGCAGCAGCAGCAGCAGCAGCAACAACAACAGGTCCACAACTTCCCTCTCCCAATCGACGCGAACAGTGCTGAGATCTGCGCCCAGAATGCCGCTGCCGCTGCCCAAGCCATACAGAGAGCAGCACAAAAGCCGGCCAACGGAAATCATGAAGGCTCGGACTCCCCCATCTCCCGTACTGGGACCCCTTCCATGTACAATCAAGGGCTACCATCATTCATGGTTGATGACCCGTACCAAACCGGTTTCAACGCAGCCGCCGGGCCGGACGGTAGCGCCGGCTCGCCCATGAACGGCGACCGCACGCTGGACACGCCACAAACGCACGAACAGCTGATTGCACACAACTCGAGCCTCAAGACCAGAGTCAGCGAGTTGGAAGTGATCAACGAACTCTTCCGAGGTCGGCTGAGTCAGTTGGAGCAGCAAGAAGCAGCCGCGCGCCATGGTCAGGAAGTCGCGGGCGTGGAGCAGACGCAGCTGAGGACCGAACTGGAAATCTACAGAGAGAGCGAAGCACAGCTCCGGACGCAACTCGAAGACAGCCATCGACGCGAGAACATTCTGAAACGCCGACTCGACGAGTTGGAGCTGGAGCTGAACGAGGCCAAAGAGGCCTTGGAAGCGCCGCACGACCGGCCAGCCAAGAAGCCCCGGGTGGAAGCAGATGCGACGGCTGCCGGGGAGGAGCTAGAACCGGAGCTCGAAACTTATCAGGAACCGGAGCCGGAGCCGGAGCAGGAGCTTCAGCCTCAGCTTCAGCCCGAGTCTGAGCTTCACCCTGAGCCCGAGCAGGAGCGAGCCAGCACACCGGCCTCGGCGGCTGGAACGGCTAGCCATTGAGAGCATGGGAGACTCGTTGGAGCGGCGGTAGCGAGGCACAGCGATGGCGAACTGCCCCGTGGCTCCTCTGCTGCCGCCGCGGTGGTGGTTTCGTCTATTGTCGTGATTTGGACTCGAAACCTGGCGACATCGTCTTTCCTTATACCCCTGCCAGGACGGGTGTCTTGTCGGCTGCCTCTTAGCAGCGGTGACGGCGGAGTGTGCCGGCGTTGGGGTGTGCTTTGAAATCGACTCATCTATATAATTACAACCCACCTGCTCGTGCAAGAATCGCCACGGCGTGATGGGGCATTGGCTCGGGAGCGTGCGTGGCAGCGATGCAGAGGAATGGAAGATACCTGAAAGTGCCTCGTGGTGGACAACAAGACTTGGGCTTTCACATGATTGGAGTTTTGGGCGCAAAAAGGCTGCTAGTGGCGCCAAGCTTGTGCAGAAAGGGCGGGAGGCATGAACAGAAAAGTCGCTGCTTTACGATAGAAACTTGAAAGGTTCCTTTCCACTGTGTCTTGTATGCGTTTTGCCATGTTTGAGGGGCCGCAGGGCAGAGCGTGTCTCGCGCAGCACCTGCGCAGCTGGTACACCTGGTGACAAGAGTACTGAGGCGAGAAAGATGACCTGCAGAGCCTGCCCATTTGAGAGCAGCAACGAGGATGTTCTTTGCCTCGAGTTAGGAACATAAAATACAAATAGGAAGCCATTAGTATCTCAAGCCGCCTTGGCTGCGATAACAGAGGGCGGGTCACGTGCTCGCACGCGGCTGGTTTTGCTTTGAAGAAACGCCACCCCGTCTGCACCGCGCATGCGTGCATACGTACTTCATCGCACGCAACCAAATCCGCCCCCGCCTCGGCTCGCCAAGTCTTCACCTCTGTGACTGAGCATCCAACTTCACCCACCATGCCGAGCAAGAGTTCCCGAGGAGGTCCCGCGGGCGCGCGAGGGATCGTGGCAAAGGCGCCCGGACAAGGCAAACTGTCGGGCAAAACCATCCTGGGCGGCAGCCGGCGTCATCGGTATGTTGTTCCGTCGTCTCTGGCTGACGCGAGGGCGACCAACTGACTCTGGGCGCAGCAAGATTCTGCGAGACAGCATACAGGGAATCAGTGAGTTGTTGAGAGCCTCACCCCGCGGCCGTCTGCTGCTTATGCTATGCTGAAGAAGCCGTGCACTGACTCGTGTGATTTTAGCCAAGCCTGCCATCCGGTAAGCGCGCAGCCGTTCTGGTGCTGGGCCAATGCTGACCAAGACAGGCGTATGGCCCGACGCGGCGGCGTCAAGCGTATCTCGGCGGGGATATACCCCGAAATTCGCCTGGCCCTGAGAGATCGCCTCGAGACGGTATGTACTCCCTTTCATCTCATTTTCCGATTGGACATTACGGCCACGGCTTTGGATCGCTGACCGCGCGATAGATCTTGCGCACCTGCACCATTTATGTGGAGCACCGCGGCGCAAAGACCATCACAACCACCGACGTATGTGGAATATTGACCTTTCCGCTCGCCATGTCCGTGGCCCGGCTGACGGCTCACTCTAGGTACTTTACAGCTTGCGCAAACTGGGGAGGCCTATCTACGGATTCGACCCGGACACTTACGATGGTCGCAAAAAGGCCCGTCGCGGCACGACAAAGTAGCAGGTTGCATGGCAAGCTGTGCTTGCAGCTCTTGCCTTTTCCCGGTCACGAGAGCTTTCTCTCCAAAATGTTTTCATAAAGATCTGCTAGGCGTCCCGGAGGAAAACGGATGGATGGCCCGTTTGTCATGTTTTGTTGGTTTGTTTTGCCTACGATGACGGAGGGACCGTGGACGTTAATGGGGGAGACAATGCCAGCAACTACCATGCATTGATGAATGAATGAGCTTTCAAGCGCTCATGGCCCAAGTTGGGAATCTACCTTCGGTTCCAGCAACAACGAGTGAGAGCTAGGCAAGGAGAGAAGAACAAAGCGCCAACGATAAAATATGGGGTATCTTGAACGAATGTGAAATGCACATGTCCCGCTCACAAATAAAACCTGCCCTTGGCATCCTCACCACTTCCTCTTCTTGGTCGTCTCCCACTCGGCAGCCGCGCCCTCCAAGGCCCTAGCGGCGCGAAACTCGTCCCTGCGAAAGGGCGCGGCAAAGAAGCTCGGCAAGAGGACGGCGCTGTTGGCGTGCTCCTTGGCGAAGCCGACGCGGGCATCCCTGCCACACCTGTCCTTGGCCATCCTGACGGCGGCGAGTAAGAGGTCCCTGCCGATGCCCTGGCCGCGGTGATGCACGTGCGTGGTCCAGGCGCGAATGACGCCCTTGCCGCCGCGGAGGCTGGCGCTGCGATTGCGGCCCCGGCGCTTGGGGGATGAGCAGGGCGGACATGGGCTGGGCTCGAGGTGGAGGACGAGGGCGCCGACGAGGAGGCCGCCGCGGCGGGCACCTATCATGACGACCTGGTCGCTCTCGGGCCCGAGCCAGGACGAGTCGATGGCCTGGGCGAGGGGCACGTAGCCGAGGGTGGCGAGGCGCACGGCGACGAGGTAGGCGGTGGTGACGGCGGTGCAGAGGGCGAGGGCGAGGCCGGCGCTGCCGCCCCTGGACAGGTAGGCGAAGCGGTAGGCGAGGGTCCAGGCGGCGGTGACGAGGGCGAGACACAGCGGGTGGAAGAGGAGGATGCGGACGGCGCGGTGCTCCATCTGCGTGACCGAGTCGGCGACGAGGCGCAGGCCATGGGCGCGGTCGTCGGGGGTGCTGAGCGTGTCGAGGAGTAAAGGGGGGATGTCGTCAGTGGGCGCCAGGGGCGAGCTGCTGCTGGTGGCGAGAGGAGACGGGGGCTCCGACGGCAGCTGGTGGTGGTGGTAATGAGGGTAGGGATGAGGAGAGCAGGGCTCGAGGTAGGGCGTGTTGCAGTTTGAGGAGATGGCCGAGGGGGTGAGGACGAGGTTTGCTCGTAGAAAGGTGAAGAAGGCTAATCGTGGACGAGCATGTTAGCAGGCGGCCTGAAGGTCTCGATGGTTGATAAAAGGGGCCCGTTATTGCCATGTGGTTGCACCGGCAAGATCCTTGCACAGCGTAGCATCGCATAGGCAGTCGTTGGGAACCAGGGTCCAGATCCAACGACCAACAACGGAGAATGCTGGGATGGAAGGCAGCAGAGCAAAGACGTACCGGCACTTGATCTCAGGCCGGACACGACGCCGACTCTGTCCGACACGAAGCCGGGGCCACACTTGCTGAGGTCGAGCTGACGCACGCCGGGCTCCATGGTTGACGATGATGGGCTGGAGCGAAGCAGAGAGTTGCAAGACGAATGAATGCGCGCGTATCGGACGGTGGTGGAATCAGTACGGCATGAGCCGCGGGAGGCGCGCCGGCGCTGCACAAGCGGGACGGAGGGGGGTTGGGGAGGAGGAGGAAGAGAAGGAGGATGAGGAAGACGAAGAGGAATAAGAAGAAAAAGAAGAAGAAGGAGGAGGATGAGGATGAGGGTGAGGATGAGGATGAGGATGAGGATGAGGTGAAAGTGAGGTGAGGTGAGATGATCGGAGGGACCAGGTTTGAAGAGATGGGTGTGGAGCCGGGAGATATATACGTCCGTAGACCGGAGAGGGAGGGAGAGGTGGATAAAAAGAAAAGAAGAAGGTAAAAAAAAGAAGAGGATTTTTGGGGGATCCTTGTTGGGGAGGGGGGGTCAATGTCTCGACGCCGTGCTGTCTCTCACTGCTCTCTCGACGCAGGCTTGGTCGGTACCGCCGACGTGGGACGTGCTGGCGGACCGTCGTCCATCGGCCAGCCAGCCAGCCTACAGTGTGTCAAGTGCGTATTGTCTGGGAAAAGCTGGGGGAGCAAGCATGTGCGAGTTGTGCGCAGACAGGGCTAGACATGATTGGCCCTCCCGCCGAGCTTACAATCTACAGCGACTAATCCAAGATGGAAGCGAGCAAGAGGAGGAGGGAGGAGGAGGAGGAGGTGGTGGGGAGGGGGGCAGAGGTGGGGGGGGGGTTCGAGACAGTGCTGGTTCAAGATGCGGCTGTCTCTGGGCAATGGGGCCGATACAGCCGTGATGCAGCACAGCCGGCAGCAGCAGCTTGCGGACCGATTCGGCGGTGATGGGCTGCTCTGGCGGGCTGCTCTGGTGGGCAGTTGTGGTGGGCAGTTGTCATGAGGCGCCTGGCAACTGCGTTGACGGGGGGTAATCTAGAAGATACGTAGAAGGCTATTCGACGGGAACTCATCTCAAGACGACCAACGTCTCTGCGTTGATACAGTGTCGGTGGCCAGCCTGTAACTAACCCGCAACTATACAAGTTACGATACGTAGTTAATTACCTTACCTAATAGTGGTCTAGCTGATGTATAGCACGTAAAGTATTATTAATATAGCACCCACGCGCCCAACACACTACACGCCGCGACATGCGTGCCCTATCCAGTAGTCTTGCACTGTGCCGGGCACATGGGCGTCCGTTTTACATGCTCGCATGCACGGGCTGCCATGTGAGTGACTTTTGTCTGGGACCGCGAAACTATCCGGGGGGCGGCCGTGGAGGACGCACGTGCGGGCCGGAGACGTGGAGAAATGGCGAAAGAAGCGTCGAGGATGAGGAGGGCATGGAGGAGCCGAGATGGAGGGAGCTGCATCGGGATAGGGTGACAGATGCAATGCAATGCAATGCAACTCGAGATCAAGCATCATCGATAGACGAGCTGCTATCGCGCGACCTTATCGCGAGATAGGGAGAGCCGATTGACTGTCTAGGTACTCCGTAGGCTGTGCACCCACCACCCAGCGTGTGTGTTCGGGGAAAAAGACGGGCTAAAACATGCCATCTCGACATGGAGCAGCCGAAGAAACGGCCGCCTTCTTGTTAGGGCGCGGGCCTCGGCAAGGAGGGGGGGGGCTGGGGACCTGGTTTGGCCGAGTGGCTGGGCTGGCCTGAACTCTGTACAGTGCCATACAGTGCACGGGCACTGCAAGGGCCTAAAAGTATTCCAAAGCCCGCTACAGCGCCCTCTGGAGGAGCGGCCCTGTGTATTTATTAGGCACAGTACCTACCTCTCTTGCTAAGGTAGCATATGTGTACCGGTACAAACTTGTTCTCTCCTTGTTCGTTGACGAGGCACTTGGCCATGGCAAGTAGTACTAATAATATCATGGCACTTCTACAGCACGTCTGGCCCTGAACGAGAGACACTCGGAGGTTAGTAGTTTAGTAGCCTGAGCGTCCTCGCCGAGGGATGACACGCCGGCGCCAAAAAAAGGTGAAGAAAGTGTCTTGCCTCTGCCACCAAAACACCAGCGAGCATGGCAAGCTGGATGGATCCCCGATCATGTCCACTTTATACAGTCCATCCACAGGGCGCCGAGTCCCGCGGCATTCTTGAAGCAAATTGCTCCGCAGACGACGACTCCATCCATCTGCGTACTGTATACATACATGCTGCCGCTATGCGATGCTGCCCTCTCCCTCCCCCCTACGGCGGCCTGTAGGTGAGTTGCCCCCCCCCCCTCCCCCCCACCGTTTTTTTTGCTCCCCTCAAGCAACACGACGCCATGTCCCTGCCAAACAGAGGGGGGGCAGATAGAAGAACGAAGCACGTCTCCCGATGACGACGACGATTACTATCCCGAGCGACGGACCGGCCAGAGGAAAGAAAACCGAGGGCAGGCAAAGGGAGGATGAAACTCGACGGCTTTGTCCACCCGGCAATGGCGGGCGACGCGCGTCCGTCCGCGCCGCGCAGGGGCCGTTTCGAAAGGGCCACGAGGCTGCCACGAGGCCTGATTCGTCGCAATTCCTCCGACACGTCAGTGTTGAATGCGTAATCGACAGGACAAAGAAAGGCCCGCGGCCTCCGCTCCCGCCTCCGCTTTCCTCCTCCCGCCCTCCCTGAAACCAGGCGTCGAGGAAGGGAAAGGCGGCTGGGGCGGAATCGATCGACTCGCGCGCCCTTTTCTTTCTTACCCATTCTTTTCCGATTCCTTCCTTGTCCCGGGAGGCGAGACTTGTTGGGCTTCGGACTGACTCCCATGGGGTATGTAGCCTTGAGTTATGTACAGTGCTTGTGTGGTAATTACAGTTGGTGATCAAAAGTGTGTACCACGCACAACGGGGGCGTCGGTCGTCCTTTGTTTTGGCCTGCGCAATGCCATCGGGGTTGGGCTTCAGTGCTGTAGGCAGCCAAGGTTCACTGTAGGCAGCCAAGGTTCCGTCGCTGTCAAGGGGCCCGGGCAGTCTCCGGCTTGCCCCGTTTCGGCCAGCCGGCGGCCATGTGCGTCTGATACGAGACATCGTCAGCCGAGCAGAGAGGCATAATTATTGCTCATGTGGTTTTGCCATACCGTAGCTGCAAGCGCCTCATGACGAGTGCCTGCCTGCCTCCCACCGGGCAGCAAAAGGGCTTCGCACCGATGCCGCCGCCGTACCGCACACATCCATGCATCTAAACGTACATCTGCCCCCCGTCTCGCCTCTAATACAAGCTGGTCGTTGGGCTGGTCGTTGGGCTGGACGTTGGCTGTTTCCATCGCACGGGAGTCGCGGCGTGGATGCATGGATGAAAGGTGGCCGACACTGATTGAGCCGCGGCACAAAGGAGATGGCCCCCATGAGCTGTGCGACGTAGAAGAGGCGCTGCATGCCCAATCACGGTACCGTATATCCGTATTCGTACATAAACATGAGGTCATCGTCGGCATACATTGGCTGCTGGTGTCTTGTCTGCTTCTCCCTCGCCTCACCCTCCTTGTGTACTGTATGTACATGATGGTGAATGGAGACACATGCGAGAAGCTCGGCATGCTGCGGCTTTCACCAGCCAGACAAGCCAAGCCAAGCCAAGCCAAGCCATTGACCCGGTCGAATCAAAGGAATCCATCAACCACATGACAGGGGGAGAGCAGGTAGCTATAACCCGTGCCATCCTCCGGCATGTGCTTGTCCCCTCGCCCTTGACCATCACGCCTCTGCTCCGAGGACGGCAACATAGGCCTTCATCTGCTCGTCACTAACTTACCTATCGGGCCAACAGCCATGAGAGTCACCGCCGTGAGACCAACACCGCTCGCGGTGCCGGCAGCAAGTCTCGGCTAACACGCGGTGCCGGCAGATCTACACATATCCCATCAAGGCCCTGCGCGGCATCCGCCTCGACGAGGCCCGCCTCGGCCCCCAGGGCATAGAGCACGACCGCCGCTTCATGCTCTGCCGCGTCGAGCCCGACGGCCAGCTGCGCAACGTGACGCTCGCCGGGAACCCGCAGTGCGCCCTCTTCGCCCAGGACGTCGTCGGCCCCGACATCCACGTCCGCTACCTGGCGCCGCACCCGCCCGTTGTCCCGCCGCACCCGCACCAGGACTCGGTCCTCCGCGTGCCCCTGCGTCCCGACGTCGCCGCCCTGCCCAAGGTCCACGTCAACCTGCACCAGAGCCTGGTCGATGCCCATCGCATGGGCTCGCCCTATGATGACTGGTTCGCCGCCTGTTTTGGCTTCCCCATGGCCCTCATCTTCATCGGCGACGAGCGGCGTCCCATCCTCGGCACCTTTGCTCCCCAGCCGCCCGCAGGCACCCGCCCCGGCCCGCCCCCCTGGCTCGCCTTCTCCGACGTGGCCCCCCTTCTCTTCGCCAGCGAGCAGTCTCTGCGCAACGTCAGCGCCAGGCTGTCCGGCGGCACCATGGACATGGTCAAGTTCCGCCCCAACATTGTCGTCGATGGCGAGGCCGAGTTCGACGAGGACTACTGGGCCGACCTCTCCGTCCACGGCGAGCCGGCCTTTACCCTGACCAAGATGTGCTGCCGCTGCTCGTCCATCAACGTCGACTACGACACCGGCCGCCTGGCCCAGGGCGACGACGGCATCGTCCTCAAGAAGCTCATGGCCGATCGCCGCGTTGATCTTGGCTACAAGTACAGCCCCGTCTTTGGCAAGTACGGATTCCTCGCCCCGGGTCGGGATTGCCTGACGCTCCGCGTGGGCGACCCAGTGGCCGTCGAGAGTCGCTCGCTCGAGCGTCCTGTTTGCGACTGGCCTCTCAAGTCCAAGAGTGACGCGCGTTTCTACCAGTACTCGGCATAGACAACTTGTCTTTCGAGACGGCTGAAACGAGCGGGGCTATAGAAGCTCAAGGAACTTTCTACATCACCCAAGACGCCCACGTTAGTCCCAAGCCTCGCCAGACCACCGAGTAAGCCGACATTCCTTCTCTTACCTCTCAGGACCCCGCCCTGTCCACACCGGCCGTCTCGAATCTGAGGGAAAGCGACCATTAGCAGCCCGCCGCCACCGTGCAAACCCCTGTTCCAACGACGAGCATCAAGGACATATGCCACAAACACGGCATCGCCCGCGTGGATCAAGTCATCCGCTTTCTGAGTCGACGCCTCAGGCCCGACGCATCCGCTTCGTCGGACAAAAGAAATGAAACCATAAAAGCCCCGGTTGACCGCGTCTCGTTGCCCTCGCCCATGTAACAGCAGCAACACCACTTGAACGTTGCACCGGGGCCGCATACTGTACATCTCGTACGACGGGCGCGCCATCCCGGCAACCTTTTTGAGAGAGGGGCCCAAGGGGGGAGAAAAAGAAAATGGGGGTTTCGACCTTGTCCTCACCCCTGTCTTGGGCCACAGCAGCTGTCAAGGCAACAAACTGGGTCATGACATGCGCCACAGTGACACGGCAAATATGAAGACGAAAAGCTCCGTCAACCCCCACTGTGAATCTCTGTGCGACGAACTCTTCGGCACTGCGAGGCCGCCTCGGGGAAAAAAAGCGAGGAGCTCTCCTGTCGTTTTCCGCCCCTCCCCGGTGGGCCCCCTGTGTCGGCGCCTGGCGGGATCGACGGGTCAACAAGACGACAGGCAAACGGATCATGGCTCTTCTAGAAGCTCTCTGCTCCCATGCTGTGACACCTTCCCTTTGTCCGCGTTCCCAAGCCCGAAAAGAGCAACACAGATCTGCGAACGCCTCGGATCTGCGACAATCACCATCAGCCTTGTGGCACTCTGTACGAGCTTCGTTGTCGGCTGGATTCCACATTAGCCGAGTCTCGTCTGGTCTTGTAAGGAGTACACGAGGAGAAGAAGAAACCACCAGGACTGCGACTCGAAACAGCGGGGTCACAGCGGCCGGCATCCAAGCGGGGTTCCGTCAGGCGCAAACTAGAATGCGTCCCAAAGCCCATGGCGGCTCGTAACGATTGTTGATCAGTTATTGGCTCTGAGAATAGAGGTCGTTTGCTTGCGAGAATCCATGTCAATTGAGAAGTCAAGTCGCTTTTCTGTTCCCCGCTGCGTCGGGTGCGCTTCGATGAGTGGTTGGCCCGAGCCAATTCGTCTATGTGTATTTTGTGCCACCAATCGGACCATGCGCCGTCCTGTACATAGGATGTTCCAGATCTTTCTATATACATATGCCGTGGCCGGCGTTTGAACATGACGGAAAACGTAACTCGGCGAAGAAAAAGGGGGAAGGAGAAAAGAAAACAGGAAAGGGGGAAGAAGCAAAAGGAAAGCCCGACTCCAATCTCTCCAGACCAGTGGCTACACAGTAGTCATTGGCTTATCGTCCCGAGCTCGACACAGACGAACACTCTCACCATGAGACAGCGGCCGTGGGACCGCCCACCAACGACGCGCTCCAGAGACCGGGTGAACGGGGAGAAAAAGCAATGACCAAGACCAGGTGATACCGCAGTCCCTGACCGGTGCTATGGCCTGCAGCCAAAAGGCCCGGGGGAGTGCCACTCCTCTTCAAGCCTGCAGTCAGCGAGGCACCGTACCCAATCCGCTGGCTCCTTGGGGATGCAGGTCTGGCAGGGATCGCTAGTGCTGCACAGAGCCGGAAAAGCCCGTGAAATGGGGAATCCCACGTGGAGCATGCAGCGAAGGCTGGCCAAGGTCGCAGGTCGAGGTGCGTGAATAGAAAAACCAGGAGGGTGTCTCAAAGAAGCAAGAAGTGATGATAATCATGACCAGTGGTTTTGGCCCGATGCCACGCTGCAATGTGCGGGCGACGCCCGTTTGGGCCGGCACGGTCCATTGGGGGATGAGGAATTGACTACCGTCCGCCACGGCTTGCAGAGTCTGTCGTCTTGGGTGTCGGCTGTGCTCTCCATGTCGACGCGACTGGCCAGGACGGCCAAGATTGTCCCCGATGGTCCTCGGACGAGCAAGACCTCGTTGGTTTTGCTTTGTGACAATGAGCGAGGAACGCGCCGAGGAAAGCAAGCCCGGCGAGACTTGCTCTGCCGTCACGCTTCCTATGTGCAGGAGCGGCAGAGGTGAAGCTTGCAGTAGATGCATTCGTAGATGACCCAGTGCGGTCCAGAGCGGCAGTGTTGACATATCCATTGCACCAAGGTGCTGTCGGATTTGATCATCTTGAAAGAGTGAGCGCAAGAATTGGCCATTTTGAAGACGACGAGGTCCAGCAGGTGTCTAGGTGGTTGTGGAGAGTTCAAGTTGGCCTCGACTGGACTGGGTTCTTGCGATCTATAGGAGTGGCAGAGAAGCAGCGTCCGGGGGCTTGGATGGACGTACGGGTCGGGTGGCGTGAAATGGGCGAGGAGACGAGAAGTCGAGGAGGTTGAATAACTATGACGTGAATGTGGGTGGCAGACAGTGAAACTTTGGCGAACAGAGGGCCTTGGGGCTTAAGAAAAACCTGCTTGGTAGCCGAGGGGGGCGGTATGAAAAGACGGTCAAGGATGATGGAGTCGATGAAGCTAGACAGCACAGGAGAGTGAATCCAGGAGGAGCCGAATCAGGAGCCTGGAGTCGAGAATCTTTTTATAATAAGCAATAGGCGAGCCTGGCAAGGAGTGAAGGGTAGGGGACGAGGAGAATGGCTCGGGAAGCCTTCCAAACGAGACGTTAGGGCACGGTGGAACAAGCGATCGGGGGCAGAACGAACGAGTGAGACGAGCAAGCAACCCTGCTCCTCTCTTGTGTTGCTCGTCCTGCTCAGTTTCCCCCCCTTCACTTCTCGCTCGCCCGCCGTCCCTACCCCCCAGCCGGGCTATGGCCAAGCAACGAATCGGGGCCCGGCCGTCTGGTTTGACTTGTCGTGCTGGGGACTCGGGTGGGAGAAGGCGTCTTGTTTCGTCGCAGGCCGTGTACGTCGGACGAGGCCGGCTGAAGGATCTGATTCGACGACGACCCGGTAGACGGACGATGGAGCGTGAGGGAACGGGGCCGGCCTTGAATAGCAGTATTTTTCTTTTTTTCCTCCCTCACCCCTCCCAGGCAGGAGTCGACTTGGCGCTCGTTTAGTGGTGACGACGATGGCTGACCCGAGATAATGGTTGAGAATGGGGGGGGGATGATGGAGAGAAAACTCAGTAGCCTGCTTATCGTACGGAGCCGCTACCTAGTGCCTGAATGGCTGTTCCTCGTGGGAAGCTTCCTTCCCGATTTGTCTAGGCATGGACGACGTCTTGGACCCGAGGAAGGTTGTTGGTTAGTTAGCTTGGGCGGCGGGTCTTTCCCGAGTCCCGCCTCTTCTCGTCCACGTCCGCCCGTCCACGTCCACGTCCACCTCGACCTCGCCAATCCACCGCCAGCTCCCGAAACCTCCGTCGCCCACGAGGCCCATCCCAGCCGGCACGCACTCCTCCATCTTCTTTCAGCTTTTCCAGCTCGAGACAGCCCGGTGAACCCCTGCCGCCCTGGCATGCTCCCCCTGCACCCACGCCGCCCTGTCGACGTCGATGAACCAAACGAGAGACGTGGCTGCAGATCTTCTTGGGCGATCCCGGACAAACGCCTGATGCCAGTGCAGGAACTCCCTCTTCTTTCCGTGGCAGGGGTCCCATCTGTCCTCCACGAGGCAGCCCAGGTGCCGGAGCGAGGGAGGCAGAGACAGACGAGTTTGCGCCATGCAACCCGACGCCTGCGATTCAGCTTGGAAAAGCAAAGCGAAACACGCCCACCCGACAGTCTGGTTCTGGATAGAGGTGTGCCCGTTTGAGCAAGCGGCAAACAGAACAAGAAGAGACTAGCAGAATGTCCCCGGTCTCTCTGCCACCGTTTGTCGGGACATCATGGCTGGACAGTCAACACCGTGCATTGCAAGTACCTGCGTCACATCGATGTATCTGCCGACACCAGCGAGACGGCCATGTGACGTCTTGTGCTCTGTGCAGAGCAGCGTTCGTCACCGTGGCGCTGTCCTGCTCAGCAGCTTCTCACTGCCAGTCAGCCTGGCCTTAGGTCGCTCGACTTGAGGCAATATCAATCAACATGGCACCCTGGCCTCACGTCGGGCATAGATGGTCTGGCCCAACCGCTTGCCGTCGCTCCCTTTCCTTTCCCGCCCAAGTCGAACCGGGACCGGGGTTCCCATTCCGGCTTTCAGCTTCATTTGGCAATCGCGGCACTCATGCACACCGCCGGCCGGGCCTGGCGCCAGCTAATATACTCCACCTTCTCCCAGCCGCTTCAGCTTACGCTCCTCGTCGCCATGGTCCAGCGGCTTGCCATCATGCTTCCAACGTCTCTGGAAACTTCGATTCCGCCGCTGTATCCTCGTGCACCTCAAGTCGTCTGCCCCCTCCCCAACCCGTTTGCCTCTCCGGGACGGCTGCAACCTTGCCTTGACCTGCTCGTTGCACCTGGCGGCAAACGGCCTGCCTTCTTTCCGCCTTCGAGATGACCTTCCCCTCCATGGACATCGTCTGCCCAGCCAATAAGGGCTGTTCATATTACAGCGCAGACTTCCTTCTCTGGCATCCCATCCCGCCTGCCACGGCACAAACGCCGCTGTCGCTGCCGCGCTTGGTCAGCTTTTCCCGAAACTGTTGCCAGTCGGCAACCATCCAGATAGCATCAGAGTGACTGCACAGAGCCCGCCGCAGAGACGCAGGCTCTACTGTCACCACTTTTCCTGGTGCCAGGGAGACGTATCATGCTTTCTTTCGGCGCCTGCGTCCGCCAGCGACGCCATGGCCGATAGGCGTCGCTCTATTTCACGCATCTCAGCACCAGCCCGTCAACACTAGCTGACGGCCTTGGCGGAGATCCAGCAACGCAAAGCCTGGGGGTTGAGTAAAGTATGACGCAGTATCGGCGATCATTGAAGCTGGGACACTCATCACTAGGGCAAACCCTTTTCGCCGGAGACGTTCGCTTTGACTCGACATGACCCTGATTTCCGGTGAGTGGAGTAGGCATGGACAGCAAGCAGGGTGATGCTGTCTGTTTCCTCGTACTTACATGACGTTACATCACATGATGCAGGATGTTGGGCAGCACAAGTGGACGAGATTGCCGACTCTCCTACCAACATCCAAAGACGGCGTGCCTTGCATTTCTCAATGACGTGGAGCAAACCGAAGGATCCAAGCTGCGCTACGGGCTCAGCGGTCGCTTTGCGAGCTTGTGCTGGACACACACATCTTCTCTCGTCAAATGTCTTGGTTGAGAAAAGACCGACGCGTGGGTGACCACCACCATTTACGGAAGTGTCAACTCCGGTCCCATCACACCGAGTACCTTGTGTTGCATTTCCTAATCAAAAGACTGGGGTTCTGCCAAGATTCAAGGCCATGGGAATCAAGCCCGCCCGCGTCTCTCGGAGTTTCTCTGCATCTATGTCTCTCCCTTTCGTCTCCCATTTTCTCTTTGTCCTCTCTTCTCTCGCCGTGCTCTCGCTCTCCCTCTCTCGATTTTTTTTTGGGGGCTAGTTTGCTGCCGCCGTCAACCAACTGGTCCCCAGTCAGACGCACGCAGAGGAATGCAACAAGAGACAACGGGGATGCCAATATCGCCGAGGGCTGCAGCGAGTGCTTGATTTAGCGACGTGCAGAGGCGGCACAGGCTCCGTTTGGACCTGTCGGAAGCGTTGCCAGTGTTATTCCGCAAAGTCGAGTGACGATGGTGGGCCTCTGGGCATATGTGGTCTTGTGCTCGGGATGCTTGCCGGTGCGTCAGTTGGAGCAAGGGCCAGGCATTGTCCGGCTGCGGCCCTGCCGACCCGCTGATCTCCAGCTCATGCGACCGGCCTGTGCCCTGTCTAGCCGCGACCGACCCGACTCGGCCATGTTGAATGCGGCTCAGCCATCCATTGCTACCGCTGCCCGCCCGTTGTCCATCAGTCGCGGTGGAACAATGCATCAAACGTGGCCGGAGCCTGGGGTCTTGCGTCTGCTCGGAGACCGGGAGCGAGCCTCAGCGCGTGCGGTCCTGTAGCCTGCTCACCGGAACGCCTCATCTGCCGCTGCGACAGCGGTCGAGCGTTGACCAAGGCCCCGGGACGAGGACCAGAGGCTTCACTGGCCATGTCCCGTTTTGTGCCGGCTCCTCTTTATTTTATCCAAAGGCCTCAGGCGCAACGGGCGGCGCAGCCCCGGTCTGGCCTGATACCCCTGGGGGCTTACCATGAGGATAAACGGTCCCCGGTGCTCGATACGAGTACAGGGCGCCCACGATGCCTGGAGTTTGGGCGGGCCAGATGGACCCATGGCCATCACATTTGCCCTCATGACATTCTGATGATCCCCATCTGACACACCCCGGGGCGCGGCCAATCACCACTCCATCGCTCTCCCTAAGGTTGTCAGGGGCAAGGGGTAACCCCGGACGCCATCCCCATTTGCTACACGACATGGCGAGACAAGCCCCGACGCTAGTCTGGGAGCGGGCGGCGGATAGGTGCGTCCCGTGTCCATGTCGTCGGGCCCGTCGCCGTCTGTTGCCTCTTGCCTCTGCGCCGCGCCGACTTTTGAGTCAAGTCTTTGGCAAAACTGCAGACGCCGCAGGAGAGACGGGTGCGTGCCCGACGATGAGGGATGCGTACGTCTTGCGTGCCGCTGCCCCCGTTGTTGCTTCTCGGCCACGTTTTTATTCCGCCCGGGGCCCTGTCTAGCAGGATTGGGTGTCCGCGTCAGCAGGTACTTTATCATAATTATGCCATGTAGAAGTATGTATGTACAGTGTCGTGTATGTGTGTCTATGGATGCGCCTACGCCCCCCCGTCATGAAGCATACGGTATGTGCATGGTGTGCTGCAGGTTCGCCCGTCTGCACATACATGTCTGCACCGCTCTGGGCTTCCCTCCCGTCCACGCCATGCTGCATGCTTCGCTCTCAGCCCGACCTGATAGCAGCACGCATGCTTTGACACACGCCACATGTCCTGGCATTCCCGCGTCTCTTGTCTAGCCCCGTCTCGGCCTGTCTCTTGCAGCTCTCGCTCCCCGAGTGCCGCGCGTGCTCGTCTGATCTGGGGGTAGAAAGGTCCTCAGACGCCGCGGTCGATGGAGGAAGCCCGCCAACGCCTTTCTGAGCAGTCACATCCGGGCATGTCTCCCCTCTCCCTACGGCAGCAGGCACCCGGCCGCCTTGGATCTAGCATCGGTAGTCCAGCCTATTCCCTCGAGGGTGATTCCGAGCGAACCCACGGGATTCACGGGGCCGGATCCCTGGTCCCCCTTCAGCATCCCACGCCCCCCCCCAGCCCGAATCCTTGCCCATTGGTCAGCCGCGTGCCGATACATCAGCTGGTCAAGGACGAGCTGAGGCTCGCCCGCTACCCATCTGACATGACCCCGAGTGTACGTAAAACGCCCAAGTCCCGGCGCGCACCGCTCTGCTCTCTCTGCCGGGCGCCCCTCAACACCCCAGTTCCGTCAGGCCGGGTCGGTCGTCTCATCCTGTCCCGTGGCTTCGGCGCCCGCCTCAGCTTGGGCATCATTTTGCTTGACCGGCTCCCCCTTCCTCGCCCGGGACAGTATGTCTTTGGGCGGGAGGGCCTTCATCTCGAGCATGTCGTTATCGTTGGCCAGCCGCTCCTGCTCTTCAAAGGTGAAGGCGTCTGACAGGTTGACGGCCAGGAACGTCTTGGGCAGCTTGACCCTGAGTGCCCATCGCGTCAGCATGTTTCGGGCAAATACGGAACTGGTGGCCACCCAAGGCCACGACCAGGTAATCGCAAGAACAAGGAGGGAAGGGTGGGGGCTAGCAAACGCAAGAACGAGCGAGAGAGATGAAAACACGAGAAGAGACGGAGATGGCCGACTTACTGATTAAACTTTGCTCGCAGCGTCTTGATGACCTGCAACCAGTCTATGTGCGGCGTCAAGCTACGTCTCGGCGCACATCCTATGCAATGCCGGCTGTCGAGCTGGACGTGCAGAGGATCGAACACGTGGCATCCCGGGCTGATGGTGACGCGGATGCTATATGTAAAGGTGGGCTCGTCTCCAGAGGATTCGCCCGCCGCAGGCGCCTTCATTTCGGACTCGTATAACTCGAAGCAGATCTGCGAGAGGTAGTCGAGCTCGGGGATCGTGCTCCGCTTGATCTTGGTCTCGATGCCGCCCTCGATGATGCAGTTGAGCAGCGTGTAAATGTGCGATTCCTTTGTAAAGTAGAAGAAGGACTTGGCGTCGTTGGAGGCCTGCATCTCCTCCAGATCGTGGACAATTTCCTTGAGCAGCGGAAGCGACGTCAGAAGCCCGATTTCGAGCTTTTCGCTGTCCGAAATGCCATACTCTTGTGGGCAAATGAAGTCGAACAAGACCTTGGCCAGGCGATACAGCTCCTGCAGCGGCTCGTTCCTTGGATCGGTCTTGGTCGTGGTCTGGTGCGTCCCCTTGTAGAGCCGGAAGTACTGTTCGGGCGGGCCCTCCTCGTGCAGGTGTCTCAGGCTGTTGAGGAATGATCGTCTGCGGAAGAGCTTCTTGACAGTCGCTCCTCGACTGGATGGATCCATCTTGTCAGACCCGTCTGGCGACGGGTTCTGGCCCTTGTCGGCCTTGGGGTCCTCCGAGGCCCTGCCTTCCTCGGGCGATGCGGATTTGCCTTCCTTGACCGTGTACTCTTCGTCCAACATGGTCTTTGGCGGCGTAAACACCCACTCCAGAAACTGGCGGTTGTGCAAGGCGTCAAACTTCATCGTGTCGTAGAGTTCGGAAATCTTGCTCGGGTCCACCTTGTCGCCGTCGCAAAACTCGGCAAAGAGCTTCTCCCATCGCTCGCGGAAGAGCTCGGCGTCCTCACCGCTGCACCACCGCGACTGGATGCCGTTGACGGCATTAGCATGCGACAGTGCCGACGAGATGGACGTGCTGGAGCCTTCTCCAGTCAGCTTCTCGGTGCTTGCATTGGACATGGAGCTGATTGACGCCGAGGAGCCGTTGTGTATTTTGCCGTAGTTGTACTGCATGACACGCCGGTGAAAGTTCATGAGCTGCACCACCCTGGTCTGCACCTCGGAAGGCTCTGGTGTTTTGTCGGGCCAAGCGAACTGGGCGGGGCGTTCGTTGCCCTTACGCAAGAGCCCCTTGAGCTTCTTCTTGACCTTGTCTGTCTCATCCTTGGCAGCGTTGGAGTCGTCGAGGAGGTCTTTGCGGATGGTGATGAAGTCTTCAGGTATGTCCTTTCTTCCCAAGAACGAGGCGGCCCAGATCTGTGCGCTTGCCGTCACGCGCCGCTCCGAGCTGCTGTACACGTGGACTTCCTCCAGAACGTCTCTGTTCAGCAGCAGCAAGTCATTGCGCATGTTCTCGCCCAATTCCTGTGACTGGTATCGCGCAGAATGGGTCGGCTCGCCACTCCACTTGACAATGAGCTGGAGCTTGTCGAGAACCAGGCGTTCCTCGGCTGCCGTGAACTTGGACATGGTCACGCCCGACAGGGAATCGTGTCGCTTCGAGGAAGGCTTGCATTGACCTTCTGGAGCTGGGCTTTCGCTGCTGCGGTCGTGAGAGTTGGCCTCGCCGTCCCCACTTGACACTGGCGCCTCTTGGACAGGAGGCGCCTCATCAATCTTCTTTCGAAACATGGGCTTGATCTGGACCTTGGTGCCAGCCCAGCTCCCCTTCTTCACCAGCACGTTGCGAAGTGCCTTGAGCTTGGCACGATCTTCGATGCCTGCTTCGTACGCCACGTCGACGGCCTGGATGACACTTGCTAGCGCTGCTTCCCCTATGAGAAGGACCTCCTCCTGGTGGCCCTTGAGCAGCGCAATAAAGGGCTCTGTATGAAACGTGAACTTGTATTTCTGCTTCGGCGTACGGTCTGCGTGGCGTATCACAGACACCATGCCTTTTAGTTTCCACGAGTGCTTGGGTGGTGGCGGCGGTGCGGCCACCACCTCCCCTTCTTGTGGCTGAGTCGTGGGGGTGTGAGCGGCCGTGGTCTTGGTTGAGATGGTAGAGACGGGACGGGGCAGGGTCAGATCTGGAGGTGGCGGAGGCAACAGAGGGCTCGTCTCGGCGCTATGGGCGATTGAGTTCAACGCGCTTTCATTCCTGGAAGAAGCCGCTTCGCTAGGGACCCGACTGGACTCGCCGTACTGCGGCTCCGTGCTGGGGGGAGCCGACGCGCTCCCGCTGGCCGCCTTGGGAGTCGCTGCAGAGGCGTTGCTGGCGGCAGTCTGTTGCTCGCGGTCCTTGATGCCTTGCGCAGCGCGGGCGAGTGGATCGACGTCCGACGTGGCAGGAGACGGCATCGGGGGAGTGACACCTCCGCGGCGTAGCCGTTCCTTGACGAATATGTCCTTGAGAATGTTTGCGCAATGGTCATAGTAATCGTCGTTGTCTTTGACAAAGCTCCACCCGTTGACGTCGATGACATAGCTTTTGCCGGATGCTCGCAGTAAATCAAAGCCGCAGACACGCTGACCAAAGGTGTTGGATATCTTGCTTGCCACCTCCTTTTCCTCGGGGCTCAGCGCGGTGACGTAACGCAGCTCCTTGCCATGTGTGTTGCGCCTGACGATGCCATCAACGACGGGGGACTTGCGAGTCTCGGCATGGCAGTAGTGGGGCCCCACGGTGTAGGCCTTGACATCCTCGGCATTGTCGACTTGCATGAAGCTTTCGTAGACGTAGCTGCTGCCGGGCTCTGTGATTGCTCTCGGCACATTCAAGTCAGGAATGTAGTCTGAGCTCTTGTTGCCAATCTTTCGGAAGAGCTTCCTCGCGCCACCACCGGAGCTTCGCGGGAAATAAATGATAATGTTGTGATCTTCGCCGCTCGTGGGCTTCTCAACAAAGGGCTTCTTGAGCAGTGCGCCGTCGACGCTCAGGACGTCGCCATCGTCCATCAGTTCTACATGCCGCGGAGGCAGCACCTGTTCTGCGTCGGTCGGGTTTAGGGAGATGCCGGATATGTCCTTGATGTGCTTTGCCATGTCGGCGGTGAGAACCTGTGGGCCGCCGTCTCGACTGACCTCGAGTCGTTTCGGGGTGCGAACTTGGATGCGGTCGAGGAGGCGAAGGCACACTCGCCTGTCCCAGAGAATCTGCTGCATGGGCACATCGTTGACGCAAAAGGGCTTGCGAGCTTTGACATAGGCGATTGCCTTTTCCAGGGGAAACCCATCAGAGTAGAAGGAGATGAGATAGTCGCTGGGGTGAGAGGGGTTAGCAGACTGTGTGCACAAGCGCGTCTACATGAGACGTGGATAACGGGCGAAAGGCCAAGCGGCTACTCACCAGATGGGCCAATTCTCAACCTCTAAGCAAAGCAAGGTTAGAAGAGTCTAAGCAGAGATGATGCAGTCGAGAGACGAACCTTCATCAAGAATAACCTTGTCGCCAAAGACGACGACGTCGAATTCGCGGTTTGCAATGAGGCGGTTGAGGATGTTCCTACTCGGCTTACTCCTGGCTTTAATGTCCAGAGCACATATCCCAATGACCCCCCAGGCAGCTGGCTTGGCTAGGCAGGTCAGGACTGTGGACGGAACGGGGCTGGCAGAAAGCATGGCTTCTTACACTCTTCCTTGTCGCGGTGATGGGGACCGCGATCGCTGCTGGGACTGTGGCTGCTGGCGGCAGTGCTCCCGCTGAATCTCCTCTTTGCCCTACTGCGGGAGCGATCTGGCTGAGAGCGCATGGCAGATTCGGTTCGCTGGTTGCGGCCCATGAGGTCGAGGGGCTGTGCGTGGGGGTCTATGGGTGCGAGATGGTGCTGTTGGGCAGAGGGTGTCGCCGGGCCAGCAAGGCTTGGCTGGCCCGCGTCCGAGGGTGGGTTCTTGGCCGAGGACATGAAGGCCGGGATGGATCTCGACGAGGCGACAGAGTCGGGGGCAGCATGGGAAGACGACGACGAATTGACGAGGCTGCGGGCCGAGGCTAGAGAGTAGGTAGAGGTTGACGAGAGGCGCCTCGACTGGATTTCGGAGAAGGAGGGTCTCGCCGTCAGAGTGTCGGGCAGCGGGGCGGCAGCAGCAGCGTCAAAGGTGGAAGCTGGGCGGACCCGCGGGGTGTCGGCGTCGGCGGTGGTGGGGGACAAGGGCGGCGGCAGGGAGACATCGTCGCTCCAGGCGTCCGAGTTGCCCGACTGTCTGCGGCTCTGGTGGGCGAGCGAGGCCTTGAGCGAGGCGGGCGGGGAGTGGGGAGCGGCCGAGACGACGCTGGAACGCTCGGCGTGGACCTGCGAGGTGCCCGGCTCGGCATAGCGACTCTTTCTGCTGCTGGCCATGGAGCCGGTCAAGGACGATGACGTCGAGATGCTGCGGGCGTGCGGTTGCTGAGAGCGGCGGCGGGCGAGGGGGTCGTCATGATCGGGGCTTGACGACGGCTGGTCCATTGCGCCGATGATGCTGCCGCCGTCGGCAATTGGTGGTGGAGGCGGATGGTGGGCTCGATTGCTGGAGCGAGGGAGAAAAGAAAAAGTCTGTCGCTCGCCCACCTACGGTACCTGGGACCCAGGTATTATGCAGGTACCCGAGCCCAGGCCCCTTGTACCCTGTGTCTACATGTGTCTACAGTACGGTGAAAGACATGCAATGCCGGCCGGCACGTGGACGACTCTGTGCCTTACAGATTCGCTTCCGGCACGACCGGGTACCGAGTACATGCATGCACACGCTTGCCTCAGTACCTACCCGCTGCTTCTGGCTCTTCTCTTGCGTCGCGAGTGGCCCTGTCAGAACGAGGCTTCTGCGGCTTGCCTAATGGGGCACAGGCACCAGGGTCATGTTGTGAAGATCCAAGGTTGAGAGCTGTAAAGAGAGGTGTCACTGTCGGCAGGACGAAAGACTTATAATACGTGATACCTAATGCTGCCTCTATAGGACTGCCCCTATTTTGCCTGTGTAGCGGTACTTTACCAGTGTGACAAGAGCTACCTAAAGTTAATTACCTCTTCTACGGTTGATTGAGCAAGCTGCTGCTAATGTGTACATTGGGCTCTGCCCAGAGTACACGGGGGCCCTTTTCCCGCCTCTTAGGCCCGAGTTTCTTCTTCGTCCGACCGACTATACTTGTCATATTTCATGATCCTTCTACTGCAGATCTGATAGTGCCCCATTAGGCCCCGTTCCAATATCTAGCAGGCTTGTTACGATATACTCCGCATCTACGATGTACTTTGTACGGCGTACATCCAGTGTAACGTGAGACCGCGGGGCTGCGTGCTAAGCTGAGCATGGTTTCCCTCCTCGACATGACAAGCTTCTGTCAATCCTTGCCTGTCCTTTTCCTCCAGAGCCCTACCGACCTTCTTGCATTCACCGACGCCAAAAGCGCAGCCATGGCCGAAGATGGTGCTTCTCAGCTCACAGCTCCCATCGTAGACATCTCCGGATACTTGGCGGATGACGCACAAGCCGTCCCGCGAATCGCCTCCTCCATCGCATCAGCCGCTCACTCCCCCGGCTTCTTCCAGATAACTGGCCACGGCATTTCAAGCAGCCTGGTCTCACGACTTCTCGAGAACGTCGCCGCATTCTTTGCTTTCCCCTACGAGGTCAGGTACTCTGTCCGCAGTAGCAAGTTGACCGCTTTTCGAGGCTTCGAGGCCATGGGCGACCAGCGCATAGACAAGGAGCTTGTGGACTGCAAGGAAGGCTTCATGATTGGGCGAGAAACATCACCTGAGGATGCTAGGTATCTCCAGGGGCCGAATCAGTGGCCGCTTGGCCCACAAGGTCAAGATTTCAAGCATGTCATGATGGAGTTTCATAACAAGATGCTAGGGCTCAGCAAGGTGATGTTCAGCTTGGTGGCTTTGAGCCTAGGCCTGAAGGAAGACTACTTTGACGCCTTCGTTGACAGTAAGGATTGTAAGTTGTGGTTTACCTTACCATCACAGACACAGACCAGAACTGACGAAATATCGAATCAGCAATATCCATGATGCGAGCGCATCGGTATCCGCCCATGACACCAGAGACGGCCAAGAACTCGCGAGGAATTGGCGAGCATACTGACTTTGGGGCACTTACTCTACTTTTACAAGACCAAGGTAGGCATTTAGTCGCTAAAGCGCTCCGGCTATTGACTGACCAGAACCCAAGTTGGGGGGCTGGAAGTGTTTCATAGGCCATCCAAAACATGGCACGCTGTTGAGCCAGTGGAAGGCGCCTTTGTGGTGAACATCGGAGACATGCTGGGTATCAAGTACCTATACATGGAATGAGATCATCCAGACCTTGAATACTAACATATTCGCTGCAGAGCGTTGGACAAACAGCCATTATACCTCTACTCTCCATAGGGTGATTTCGCCGGCCAGCACCGAGTACCGATATAGCGTGGCTTTTTTCAACGAAGGACTTCTGGATCAAGTAATTGAATGCATTCCAACTTGCCTCGGGCCGGATGAGAAGCCTTCTTATGAGCCTGTACAGGTCGAGGCACTTTTGAGGAACAGATACGGCTGCAGTTATGAGGAATAATAGCGTCTGGTGAGCGGGCTGTTCAGAGATCAACCGTCATTACTAGCGACAACCTCTGCTCTTGACGGTTGAGCGCCTATTCTTAGCACCTTTACATTCGCTGAGAAGATATTCTTGTCGCTTCCGAATTTCGCTCTAGGCTTCCGCGCCTTGTTCACTGGTCAAAGCAGGACCACATCCATGGTCCCCCCATATGGTTCCGAGACTCACTTGCCAGCGGCTTCTTGTAGAATTTTTGATAACACGGTTGACAGCATTAGCTCCGACTTTGGCCCAGCCCCTCAGCAGGACGTAGCGGACGTACGCCGGACTCCGGAGCTGCCCCGCCCCGCCCCGCAAGAGTGGAAGGTGGGGCGGCAGAAAACAGGCGACGATTCTCACCGCCCAAATTTTTCAGGATCGCTTCAGAACGGCAATGAAAGCGCTTGTCCGCAAGCCAGCCCCCATCAGCATCTGCGCGCCTGAACTCCAACATGTCGTCGCTAGACAGCGATGCGCCCCTGGCCAAGCGCCAAAGGGTCTCGACCGCCGTCGGAACTTCTGACGAACGGGCTCAAACCTCCCGCATATTCGCTCCTTTTCGCGTACGTCGCTCTCGCGCATCTTCCTCTTCTGTGGCTCTGACTTCGCTCCTCATAGACCGTTGGCCTCGTGTCACCCACAGGCGTCCCGTTTACGACTGTTCCCATGGGAAAGACCACCTTCCAGATCACCACATCGGTCGGCAGAGCGCTCCAAACCTACGATCTGCGTCGCGGCCTCAATCTCGTCTTCGTTACTCGGCCCCAGACCCCTGCTGACATCACAGCCACGACTGCATGGAGGCAGCAAGTTCTTGCGGCATGGGGCGGATGTGGAAAGGGCGAATCGCAGGGTCTCTGGATCTTTGAACGAGGCGTCAAAGTATCCGAGCTGGAGTTGCCTCTCGACATGGCCGAGCCCATCAGGCAAATCGCCGTCTTTGGAACGTGGATTGTCGCCTCTGGTTCGACTAGAATCGAGGTGTTCAAGACCGCCACCCTGGAGCATTATACCACCATCCACACCATGGCGGCCGCCAACGGCGGCAATGAAATCACCGGTGGCATTACCACGATGCCTACGTTCCTCAACAAGATATTTGTCGGCCGCAGAGACGGCTGGGTGGAGATTTGGAATGTCAGCACGGGCAAGCTGATTTATACCATCCTGCCTCCATCCCCCAGCTGCGGGTCCGTCACCTGTCTTGAGCCAAGCCCTGCTCTGTCTCTCATGGCCATTGCATACTCGGGTGGTTCGTTGACCATAACCAACGTGCTCACCGACAAGCGTGTTCTCCGGATCGAGGCCGCCAGCCCCGAAGCACCCGTCAGTTGCATCTCTTTCCGGACCGATGGCATGGGCGCCGGCAACGACGGCAGAAAGGACGGCGTAATGGCCACGTCGACGGCTGCCACGGGCGATATCACTTTTTGGGACCTCCATGGTGGTGGCCGGGTCATAGGTGTCCTGCGCGGTGCTCATAACCCTCCTTCTGCCGATGGGCTCATCGTTCCCGGGGGAGTGAGCAAGATTGAGTTTCTGGCGGGCCAGGCGGTCATTATCACAAGTGGACGTGACAACTCGCTCAAGTCCTGGATCTTTGACAAAATACCCTTCTCTCCCATTCCACGGCCACTGCATACACGGAGTGGTCACGCCGGCCCTGTCAACTGCCTCCATTTTCTACCCTCAGACTTTGATGGGGCTGAAGCTGGAAACAAGTGGCTTCTCAGCGGAGGTCGGGACAGGAGCCTTTGGGGCTGGAGCTTGCGTCGCGATGGCCAAAGTGCAGAGCTCAGTCAAGGCAACGTTCGCAAAAAGGCCAAAAAGATCGGTATCCTTGCCGCAAGTGCACTGGCCCACGGTACGACGGCTGCACTGGAGGACCTCAAAGCCCCGGAAATCACTTGCATCGCCACTTCGCTGAATCGCGACGGCGGAATCGGTGCAATCCCTGGTAAGCAGGCAGTTTGGCAGAAGGGACCGGCCAAGGCCAAGGCTACCGACGCAGAAACGAGTGGAAAGACGGGCTGGGAGAGTGTCGTCACGGCTCATAAGGGAGACCCTTATGCCCGGACTTGGCTCTGGGGTCGGAAGCGTGCAGGCCGCTGGGCGTTGCCAACAGGCGATGGCGCCGATGTCTCAACCGTGGCCATCAGCCCTTGTGGGACTTTTGCCGTGGTTGGCTCCGACTCTGGAAGCATCGTCATGTACAATCTGCAATCCGGCATCTGCCGACAGCGGTTTCCCTCCAGGTTGACGCCGTCCCAAGCCCGCCAGCTGCGGTTACAGCAGTTGAGACAAGCAGACGATGTTGCCCAGTTGCATGCCGAGACAGGCAAAAGATTCCCTCCCGGTACCGGCAAACACACAAAGGCCGTAACTGGTATTGTCGTCGATTCATTGAACCAGTACATCGTCTCCTGTTCTTTGGATGGAAAGATCAAGTTCTGGGATTTTCTGACTGGTACGCTGCTTCAAGAAATCGACTGGTCACCGATGACCACCCCGGTGGCATGCAGGTACCATGCTGCCAACAACTTGCTTGCCTTTGCCTGCGATGACATGTCAGTTCGTGTGGTTGACTTGGAGACAAAGAAGACGATTCGAGAGTTCTGGGGCCCGCTGGACAGTATTAGCGACCTTTGTTTTTCGAGTGATGGACGGTGGGTCATTGCGGCCTCTCGAGACCGGGTCATTCGCGTTTGGGACTTGCCGACGAGCCACATGATTGACGCAATCCGCCTCGAGAAGCCCTGCACCGCCTTGGCAATGAATTGCACCGGGGAGTACCTGGCAGCCACCATTCAAGATGAACCGGGGGTTACCCTTTGGACGAACAAGGCCATGTTTAAGCACGTGCCGACGCGACAAATATCTGAAAAGGACATTGGCCAAGCCTCTGCACCCACTGTTTCCGGTGAAGGAAATCGAGGCATACTGGAAGGCGCCTTCGAGGATGAGGAGCAACAAGAGGAGAGCTTGGTCGTGGCACCCCCTATTGACCAGCTCAGCTCGGGCATGATGACTTTGAGCTTGGTCCCCAAGAGTCGCTGGCAAACATTGTTGCATCTCGACCTGATCAAAGAACGCAACAAGCCCAAAGAGCCTCCAAAGGCCCCGGAAAAGGCGCCTTTTTTCCTACCTTCCAGGGTCAACTCTACATCAAATGGCCAACAAGACGTGGCGGAGAGCGCGGAAAATGAAGCCAAGTCGCGAATTTCAAAACTCGATCAGGCTCGCTTCGAAGAGTTATTCTCCTCCAAGCTTCGCAGCGCGGCAGCGGCTAATAACTGTAAGCTCGTTTCCCTAACCTGTTTGTATTTCTAGTCCGCTCGTGCTAACCTAATGTCTAGACGATGATTTTATCGAGCATCTCAAATCGCTATCGCCTTCGAGCGCAGACCTCGAGATTCGCTCGCTTTCTGTCGGCTTCAAGGAGGACGATGGCAATGAGCTTTTGTACTTCATCAAGGCTTTGACGGCAAGACTGGAGGCTCGAAAGGATTACGAGCTCACGCAGGCCTGGATGACCGTGTTCCTTCGGCTTCACTTTGATGTCGTGATGGGGAGCGATGTTCTCCTCGCTGCTCTGGCGCAGTGGAAGGTAGAACAGGAGCGGGAATGCAGCCGTTTGGATGATCTTGTTGGGTATTGCGGCGGCGTTGTTGGTTTTCTCAGGAGCCCGCGGACTTAGTTGAGCGTTGGAGACCCGAGGGAGGTGTGCACATTGTCACTTCTAGATGACTGATTAGAATCGTGAATCAAGATGGAAATATGACCCTTTCAGGGCAGTACAAGATGTGAACGTTGGATATGTGGGAAGGGGGCTTGCTCACGGTATTTGGCCGAACAGGGATTTCACGCCAACAGGCTTTCTCGAGCAGACATATTTTGTCATCAGCGGCATTCACACGGGTGGGGCATGTTCTACGATAAGTGACGGAGAGAGTATAGAGAATACATTTATTTTTCTCATATTATCTGACGAGTTCAACGAGGCTAGCATCTGTGTCTCCGTTGTAACAGACTGATAACACGACCCCCCCTTTCCTATTGAAAGAATGTCAGAAAAAGTGGTTCCCCAGCGTAGGAATTAAAAACATTAAACAACGTTCAAGCAGGCGTTTCGTCCTTGCCTCTACGGGAGGTCCACGACCACATCCTTTCCAAAGCACTCTTCGAATGCCCAAACACAAACCGCGCAAATTCGTGATGGGATGTCTGCTCGTGAAATTCAACCTCCATGTCCTCGTCGTTAAAGGCTTTGTGCCCTCTACGCACGATGTGCAGGTAATCGTCTTTCTCGTTGCCTTCACTCCCAAACGCTGTCAGGTGCCCGGCGTATTTGAGCAAGATGACGTTTAGGATAATGCGTGTTAGGCGGCCATTGCCGTCTCCGAAAGGGTGAATCATGACGAACTGGTGGTGATAGCGCGCCGCCAAGGTGTATGGATCAATTTCGGCCGCCGCCTCAGCCATGGCGATATCGTCGTTAAGATGGTCCACCATCTGTCTCATGTAGCCCGGCACGGCCATTGCTCGTATGCACACGCTCTTCTTTTTCTTCTCGCCGGGCTTGCTGTAGCATACGGCCACTTCGTGGTCGCGATAAACGCCCGGCTTGATGTCCCCGTCGAGAGTGAGACCCTCGAATAAAATGCGATGGGTTTCGAGAATCAAATCCTCGGACAGTAGTTCGTTGTCCAGCGCCACTCGATCAATCATGTAGCCAAGTGCTTTGGCATGGTTGATTACCTCCAGGCGAGACCGAATGATATTTGGCATGTCGCCCCTCCGATGCGTCTTAAGCAGGTTTCCGAGATGCCGCTGGTACTCGGGGTCGGACTCGGACTCGGGAATGTTTGGGTTAACTGCTTTGCCGCGAAACACATCTTGGCAAATTCTGGTGGTGATTTGCAGATCTTGCCCAGACAACTCGATCAGGTTGGAGCTGTAGACAAGCGTGATGAGGGCGTTCTCGAGCTCGCTCCACACTTCGTTAAACGCGGCCATACCTCTTCGCTGGCACTCCTTGCGAAACTCGTGAATGATGGTGGCAGGATCCTCTGGGAGGTGAGACTTTGCCGCCTCATCCTTCAGCTGCTCTGCCAAGCGGATTGTGAAGCTTGGATCACCACGAGTGCTGCGCCAAGAAGGCCACCCGGCTGCGAAGGTCTTGCCGAGGCTGGAGGGAAAATTATGCATCTTCGGGGCGGAGGTCGGGAAATTGTTCGGCGAGGGACTTGCGTCGTCGAGGGGATTTGCGTCGTCGAGGGAACTCATGTCGTCGAGGGGATTTTCGTCGTCGAGTCGAGGGGACTCACGTCGTCGAGGGGATTTGCGTCGTCAAGGAGTGGTGACATGTAGCCGACGTTGAAATACCCAAGGTAGTTGGCAAGAGCAGTCCCCAAGCAAGCAGACCACCTACATTTGGGCAGCGGGATGCACTTACTTTCTGAATCGCCCGCCACGCCTACCAAGGTTACGCCTAAAAAGCGTATACCGAAGAGTCACTCACCGTATGTTAGGGTGTTCTTAATTTTCCTCCTGTCTCCCTCTACCCGAGTCGTAAGGCTAAAATACTGGCCAGCTTTACTCTTTACGGCGTTGATAGATCCTATTCGGAAGGGTGAAAATAAATATGCCCAAAGCATACTTAGAGTGCGAAGCAGGCCGTCGGCATGATTAAAGCTGCCGCGGGCTATGTACCAGTCGTTTGCCCATAAGACACTAGAGCCCAGGACGGCATAAAATTGATGATGAAGTCATATCACGCGTGGCAAGAGCTCCGTTGCGTCGGGGAGGCAAGGAGCAGTGGTCTCTGGTTTTCACGTACTTGCACCACAGGTCAACAACGAGCGCGGACCGTGGAAAGGGATTCTGAAATCAGGGAAAACGGGGGCGCCGTATACTGGCCCTCCTCACTTGCGTCTTTCTCCATGAGCTGTCAGGGGCCGAAGGAGACGCGAATGGCGGATGAGAGCCGTGGCCACCGAATCGCGGCGGGCATCGCATCGCGCCTTTGTTTACGCCGCGCAGCAAGGACCGGAGAGCGCCCTGGAAGCCCAAGGCATTCTGGAGCCTACTGTCGGGCTACTCAGCTTGATGTGAACGGAGGCGCCGACGTGGTTTCTGCGTGACGCCAACGGCGGCGTGTGGCAAAAACAATACCAGCAGAGCTTCAGCAGCAGTGCCTGACTCTCTCACCAATCTTCACTTTAAGCAGGCTTCATCTTCTTCATGGCCCCTGCCTAGCAGAGACACACAATGAAAACGAGTGTGTGGCAACCAAAAATTAAGCCTGACACAACTCCGAAGAGTAATGCACCTTGCCCAGCACCGCGGGTGTGCAATGCAGGCTGGACAAGGCAAGACCCCAGTCTCTTGATCTTGAGGGCTCCAGACAAGGTAAGTATGAAGAAGGAAAGAAGGAAAGGAAAGTCAGGAAGTCGAGGGGGACAGGAGGGCTATATATACCCGGGCCTGAGATTCTGCCGAGCGGTGACGATGCGTTACTGATCTGGAGGAATGGGCTTCCATTGGCTGTGTCGAGGTGTGCGTTGCGTCATGAGTTGAATGGGAGCTGTGCTGAATTACGTCGAGGACCCACGGGGGTTTCCGAATCGAGGAGCGGTCAGGCCAGCAGCTGGTCGTGTGACGCACGGGTGGGATCAGCTCGCGTTCTTCGACCGAGGGGGGGAGTCTCGAGGGAACTTGGACTGTGGAACATCATGAGGAAGAAGGGGCTTCAGGGCTCCTTGACCCCGAGGAGGAGAGGAGGTGGCTGGCTGCTCGCGTAGATGCTGTAGACTTTGTAGAGAGAAATAAAGAGAACCTTGTTTGTCTTGAGCTTGACTGTTTGAAATAGACTGCCCAAATTCACGGCATTCCGTCGTGTGGGAAATGTGCCCCGAGAATCTCGAGGACGCGGAGAGGGAGTCGCACCACACCTCCATCGAGAGGGGCTGGTTTTGGCGCGAGGCCACTCGTTGCCAGCTAGAAAAATCACCACAGAAGCTCAACAGGGGGCTCAAAACCTTCACCTGTCATTATCTGTGCAAGTAGTCCTTTCATTGCGGTCACTTCTCTCGTTTGTACGGGCAGCCCCTGAGCCCGCTCCCCAGTACCATCTTCATGTGAAAGGCTGGCCCGGAGTTTATTCAACAAGCAGGTGCCTAGATGTTGTCTATCTAGAGCTAAGGAGGAAAAGAAGCTGAACTCGAGGCGTAGCCTCGAGTGCGAGCTTATATTGCCCTTCTCGGAATGTTCTCGCAGCTTCTGGGCCCGCGGAGCGGGGCGGTGTTGCCACCGGGCACGACCCACCGGACCCGGTACAACCGGGTCCACCAGCCAGGCACAGCCCGTGACATTACCCCCTCCCCTCCGACCAGGTCGGCGTCTGCGGGTTCTTGCGTTCCTGCCAGCGTCTCGTACCTCTCCCTAGGGCCATCATTGGTCTTGATTGGCCCGTACTTGTCCTCGAATGCCTTCATCGCAATTGTTCCTTGCAACCACTCAACTGGCTCCCAAGTCGGCTCTGCGTAGCCCGTCCATCGCACTAGTGCTTGCCTGAATTCCCCTCGTCCGCGCTTCTTCCATCTCGCGCAGAGGATCTCGTCGACATCCCACAGATCCGTGCCGGACTCATCTTGTACCGGTGGTGGCTGTGCGTCATCTACCTTTGGCCAGGAGCCGGATCTTGATGCGCCCGCCGCAAAGGTCAACATGAAATCGCGGGTAAATTGAGCCACGAACATCGAGCTCAACAACGTGCGAACTAATTACCTTCGTGACTGTGTACTTGTGATGCAGCCAGTCGAGCTTCTTGCACGGTCGTGGCGATCTGTAGTTTGCCATCGAGAGCCACACCTTGTCACCAACTTCAAATCGCTCCGCAGGCTGTCGCTTTGCGTTGGCAGCCTCTTCTTGTTGTTGCTGTGAGGAGGCCATCACTGCTTGCATGTACTCATTGACCTCCTGCAGGCGACTGAGTAGGCTATCAGCTCTGCTTTCCTCTCTATGCCTCGGTGGCTCTTCCGATTCCTCGACGCTGATGGGATCGACGTGGTAACCATGCTCAGCGAAAAAGGGGCTGATCTTGGTCGCTGCGGATTCACGATTGTTGAGTGCCAGCTGCGCGGCAGGGAGCAGTTCTCCCAGTCGTCCTGCACGTACGACACGTAGGCTCTCAGGTAGGCCTCGATCTCCTGGTTCATTCTCTCTGGCCCTCCGTCCGTCTGAGGATGATAGGCCGTGCTCAATTTCTGCGTGACACCTGCAAGACGGCAGAACCTCTTCCAGAACCTACTTAGCCAGTTGCTCCCGCGGTCGCTGACGATGGACCGTGGCATTCCGTGAAATCGGTAATGACACTGGAGAAAACGGTTTGCACACGGCTCAGCTTCCATGTTGTCCATCACCTCGAGGTCACAGCCTTTGTCAGTCTGTCCACAATCACCCACAGGTACCTTGCCTTGCTCGGTCCAGTAGGCGGCAGATCTGTGATGAAGTCCATGGACAAATGGCTTCGGGGTCGATCTGGAATCGGCAGAGGCTTGAGAAATCCCTTTTCGACTGGCGCCAGATGTGTGCTCTGCCGCAGGTGTCGCAATTGGCTACGTACCGGCGAACCAGCTGGGACTGCCCAGGCCAGTAGAATCGCCGAGCCACAATAGCCAGCGTACCTTCCTGCCGGGATGACCGGTCGCAACAGAGTCATGCGACTGCTGCACAATGCGGGTTCTCAACTGGTCTTTCTCAGCTTCCTCCTGGTTACCCTCCTCTCCGGATCCACCCGGCACCCAAATACGGTCTCTGAATGTCAGCCTTTTGCCTGCGTCGATCGCACATTCTGAAATCTGGATCTTCAGGCCCAGCGAGGGCGGGAAGGCACGCTCGCGATCGCGGACTGCCTTATAGGCTGCCCGGAATATCGAGTCCTTCGCCACCGTTTCGTCCCAGAGTTGCTGCAGGTCCGCTACCTCGAAGACCTTCATCTTCGGCAGGGTGGATGCCTCTGAACAGTCAGAACTCATCGCGTTGATACATGCTCTTGTCGATGATGGAATGGCACTATCCGGTATCAACTGTATCATTCTTCCTTGTTCCCGCTCGTCGTCAATGCCCTGTGGCTTGTCTTGTTCACGGCGGGACAACGCATCAGGCACGACAGCCTCGCTTCCCGGTCGATACTCGAGCTTGAAGTCGAACTGGGACAATTCGGCTGCCCAACGGCTCTGCCGTTCCGTGAGCTTCTGGCGTGTCATGAAATACTCCAGGTTGCGGTGATCGGTAAGGATTGTAAATGGGCCGCAGCTCCTAAGTTCGGCGTTCCAGTTGTCGAGACATCTCATGATGGCAAGCATCTCCTTGTCGTGAATGGGATAGTTGTACTCCGCTGGCGAAAGTCGCTTCGAGAAGAAGGCGCATGCGTGTCGACGTCCATCTGGGCCTTCCTGCGACAGGACGCCTCCCAATGCGTAGCCTGAGCAATCCGTCTCCAAAAAGGTCGGGAGGCTCGGGTCCCACTGCTTGAGCACCGGTGACTCGCAAAATCGTCGCTTCAGCTCCTGAAACGCCTCGTTCTCCGCTCGTCCCCAATGAAAGGCAGTTCCTTTCTTAAGCAGGGCATCCAGAGACTGCGTGATCTTGGCATAGTCGGGGATGAAGATCCGGTAATAGTTGGCGAAGCCCAGAAAGCTTCTGACACCCTTCACCGTGGTCGGGGCCTCCCATTCGCGGATGGCGCGCTGCTTTTCGGGGTCGCAGGCGATTCCTTTCTTGCGTTGACGATGAACCCAAGGTATTTGACCTCTTGTACCGAAAACTCGCACTTCGCTGGGTCTAGGTGCAGCCCAGCGTCGGCGAGTGCTTGGAGAACTCGTCGCACCTTAGCCTCATGATCCGCCTTCGAACCGCTCGAGTAGATCAGTACATCATCCAGGTACGCTGTGACAAAGTCGTCCAGCCATTCGCGCAATACACTGTTCATGTATCGTTGGAATGATGCCGGGGCGCCGCTCAGGCCGAAAGGGCACACGAGCCACTCGTAGAGCCCAAACCTCGTGCGAAATGCAGTCTTTCCCTCATGTCCCGGAGCCATGCGGATCTTATGGAAAGCGGCCACCACGTCCAACTTGGTGAACCACTTAGCCTTGGCCAGATTCTGCAGGGTCTCCGCGATGAGGGGCAGTGGGTATCGGTCGCGCTTGGTGATTGCATTCAGCGCTCGGTAGTCGCAACAAAATCGCAGCCCTCCATTCGGCTTCCGCACGAACAGCACCGGCGCGGCAGCCGCTGAGCTACTCGCTCGGATGAATCCTCTGTCCAGCAGGTCTTTCAGGGTCTTTCGCAAGACCAACAGCTCTTCTCGTGACATGTTGTAGAGTGGGCCCCACGGAAGGGGTGGCTCGTTGCCGTTCTTGTCAGGCTGCAGGTTGACTTCATGATCCACACCCGGTCGATGTGGCGGCAGCTTCATTGCTCTCCTGGTGAGAATAGGTCGCGGAATTCTTTCAGCACTTCTGCCGGACCTTCTCGCTCGGATCGACTGGCGGCTTCGGCTGAAGCGCCCTCTATATCCGACAAACTGATTGCATGAATCGAGATCGCGTTGCACTTCTTGCGTCTCTTTGCGCGTCGACACTCCGCCGTGAATACGGCTGCCGACACGAGTCTTGCGCTTCGAATCGCGCGTATCTTGGCGGGCTCTTCCTGCCCAATGAGGCGTATCGTCACACCTGCCCTCCCATGGTACATTCGCTGCTTGGCAGCATCGTACACGACGTGATTTCTCTCCATCCAAGGCCGGCCGAGGAACATGTCCTGGCCCAGGCTTGGGATCACGTATGCAAAGACACGTTCGTCAAATCCAGCTGTCTCGACCACAACAGCCACGACCCTGGGGATATGACACTCTTCGCTGACTCTGAGAATCCCCCAATTTCTCGTGGTTTCGAGTCGACGAAGGGTATCCGCAGCTTCCGAACAAGGGCTTCGTCGATCACGGCATAGCAGTCACATCCACAGTCGACAAGGGCGCGTATTCGATAGCCTCGGTTTACCCGCGCGTTGACTAATACAGTCCGACTATTCATTCGTGGCTTGAACGCTTCCCAGTCCCGGATGTCTGCCTTTGCAGGCCCCGGCGCCCGCTTTCGCCCGGGGCTAGTCTTTCCGCCGACTCGTCCTCACTGGATGCTGCGGTTGATTCCGAATCATCTGCGGCATCGGGCTTCTTCATGCGCGCAGCTTTAGGTCGCTGTTGCTTCCCTTCGCCAGGAAAGACCACCTGGGCTGGGCAGTCCACGATAAGATGATCCGTCCGACCACAGCGATAGCAGCGGCGCTCATCCTTCGGCTTCTTATCGACATGTCGACGACCCTTCGACTCGTGGCCAATACGGTTGATGTCCGTCATCTTAACATCTCCGTCTGGGTCCTCCGGTTCCTCCTTGGGTCGTTGCCTTGGTAGCTGTTGAGGCGTCCGCTCAGTCGACGTCGGCTGCCTACCGGGTTTCAGTCTCTCCAATCTGCCCGCAATTTCCTGAACTCTCGCAAGCCATCCCTGGTAGTCGTCGGTAGGACGGCTGTGACCAAACTCTCTTGGAGGCGTTCATTTATTGCGTTCTCTAGAAATACGATCTTTGCACTGTCCGGCCAGTCTGCTCCCCGGCTTCAGCTAATGCCTGTTCGAATCGGGAAGGAAGGACGCGAGAGGTTGGTCTTCGCGCTGCCGCATAGTTCTCAGCGTGGCAGCAGCGCGGGATTGGATGTTGCTGTCCTGGTAGGTTCGGTCGAGGTATCGCATGAACTCTTGGGGTCGTAGCTACCCCAGGGCCTCCGCGGCGTAAAGGTAGCGACCACTTGCTGTGGTCGCTCGTCCAAACATGAGTTGATGAGGTACCAAAGTTCGCGATTTCCACTGTAGTAGTGTGCATCAAGGTCCAGCTTGTCTCGCATCTGCCTGGCCCAGGAGGAGTAGCTCTTCCGTGAGCCGTCATACTTGGGTGGGTTGGGCAACGGTTTCCGCATTCCAGTACCGCAGGTTTTGGGAGGGCGTGCCCAAGCCAGGCGTGCTCTCGCCAATCCTCGTGCCACTGGCGGCGATTGCAAGTCGGCGCTCTGCGGCTGCGCTCGCCCGAGTTGCTCCATCAGCAAGGAAAGTTGGTCCTGTAGAGGGCTGAGAGTCGCATTGACCGCTTCTTGAATGCGTTGGTCAATCCATTGCTGCTGGAGACTTGGGCTCTCACTCTGCTGGTCCATCCTGACGAGCAGTCTGCAGCTTGCGGTATTTAGAAGGAGCTCTAGATATGTGAAAGGCTGGCCCGAGATTATTCAACAAGCAGGTGCCTAGATGTTGTCTATCTAGAGCTAAGGAGGAAAGAAGCTGAACTCGAGGCGTAGCCTCGAGTGCGAGCTTATATTGCCCTTCTCGGAATGTTCTCGCAGCTTCTGGGTCCGCGGAGCGGGGCCGGTGTTGCCACCGGAGCACGACCCACCGGACCCGGTACAACCGGGTCCACCAGCCGGGCACAGCCCGTGACACTTCACCCCCCAAAGGGCTTGTTTTTCGTCATCCGAGACCCAGCAACGCATGACGAGCTTAAAAGACCTCTCCAGATCACCATGAACGAGAATCAGCGTCAATAGCTAACGAGTGTTTGATTTTCTAGTCGCCCCCTTGGTGCTCTTTTTTCGCTGCCACCTCCCTCGTCGTACGAATCTAGACACGCCTCGAGCAAGCCCCCGATTTTCTGACGCTGGATCTCGACGAGAGGGCAATACAGGCACTGGGGCTCCAAGGCTTCCTCTCACCCTCATAATGCTTTCGTATCTAAAAGATGGGCATTCCCCAAAAACACGGTGAAGGTGGGCGGCTACTCGAGGAGTCGTCCACCCAAAGTGCCTTAAGGAAACGGCGACATCGTGGAAAAATTGGCACGTTGTTATTTCATCAAGCGAATCTCAGCTACTACAGGAACGAATTCACGTAGAACTGGTCAGGCTCGCGATGAATGGCTTGATTGTATGTTTAGGAGGCCACGGATCACCTGGTGGTGAATGTGTGCAGCCAGCGTGCGAGAGATCCGCGTTCTTCCCTGCTGCTACTGCGTGACAGCTAAGATATTGAGGGCAGAGAAGACACGAGATCATGTTGGCGTTCTTTGTACGAACACGTTATGGCCAGTCTTTGATTTCCAGATGCAGAACACGGGTGCAGGGAACAGATTAAGGCCACCAGCCGGGAACGGAGCATTCTCCTCGCTTCGCCGACCGAGATCGTTTGGAAACGACCATACGAGCAATATGCGAGCGAGCATTAACCACAAGTTAGGGCCCGGCGGGGGGACAGAGCTTGGTGGCTTTGCTCGGCAGTCCTTTCTTTCCCTTGTTTTCCCCTCTCCATCACTCCACCCCTCTTTGTGAACCAAATGTGTTTCTTCGGACCGGTCGATTGTCGCGAGGCTTCTCGAGGCTTCTCTTGGGAGACGATGGAGGCGTCCCTGCGCTACTCATCATGTAGGGGAAAACGGTGTCCCTGAGGGAAGCATGGTCAGCCCATGTCAACAAAGACAGCATATCGAAAGCTAGGCAGCAGAGGCCAGACATGGGAACACAAACAAAGAGGACTGTTCGAAAGTCGGCATCCGAGTCTTTGTGAGATACAGGGGTAACCCGCTGGAGTTCAGCAGCTGTGTTGGACAGCATGGGGCGATCTTGTGCGGTGACTTGGCAGGCCTTTCGGTGGTTAAATTCACTTTTAAGACGCTCACCGTTCTGGAGAATTCAATAACAACTCATCTTCCCTGAAAGCCTACCATTGGATGCCAAGGTCACGTTGGCCTGGCCGTAATAGCTGCTTGGCGATCCCATGGACACAAAGAAATGCACCCTGCCTCCTCAGTCCTCGCCAGCATTTTGTTTTTGAATAAGAGAAATGATCAAACCTTCTCATCGCAGTTATTAAGTCCCTGCACATAGAAATGGGCACCCCCCTGTTTTGGGCACCCAAGATGGGTGCCCAACCTAAACGGCTGCGTCAACTTCAACAGCAAATTTCACCGCGGAAACGCATCCAATCTGCTAAAAAATTGACGCATGTGTCTTCAAGCCACTACTGATGAAATATACAGAGTCTGACATTCACAGCGCCCTTGAGGCAATCGCCAATGGCGGATCCGCCAAGAAGGCTGCTCGCGATTGGGGCGTCCGAGGGCAACTCTTTACAATCGCATGCATGGTCACGAATGCAGAAAGGATGCATTTTCTGCTCTTCAGAGGCTTTCTCAGACACAGGAAAAGCAACTTACCGAATGGATTCTCATTCAGGACGCCTTGGGCCTTCCTCCCACTCACTCGCAGATCAGGCAGTTCGCGCAGCGCATGCTCGCCGTCAAAGGAGACCACACACCGCTCGGAAAACACTGGATGCAAGCATTTTTAAGACGAAATCCTGCAGTTCGGACCCAGAAGTGCCATCACAGAGACTCTGCGCGTGTCAACGGCGCTTCTACCGAGGTAATTCGGCCTTGGTTCAACAATTTCTTCCTTCCCGAGATTCTGGCTATTAAGCCGGAGAACAGGTACAACATGGATGAAGCAGGCATCATGGAAGGACTTGGGAGAATGGCCTGGTCGTTGGCAGTGCTGAAAAACGATCTGTACAAAAGAAGACGCCTGGTTCTCGGGTCTGGACGTCGTTCATCGAGTGCGTGTCCGCTGCCGGCACCTTCCTCCCTCCACCCGTCATTTTCAAGGGCAAATCGGTCCAGCAACAGTGGTTCCCAGAAGATCTCAGTACTTTTAGTGACTGGCAATTCCTGCGACAAAGAACGGCTGGACTTCGGACCAAACTGCGGTGGAGTGGCTCGAAAAGGTGTTCATTCCAAGAACCCAGCCACCCGACCCTTCGGAGCGAAGACTGCTAGTATTGGACGGCCACGGAAGTCACGAGACGGTTGACTTCATGTATCTATGCTACCAGCATCAGATTCACCTTCTTTTCTTACCTCCCCATACCTCTCATGTGCTGCAACCGCTCGATTTGTCTGTCTTCTCGCTCTTAAGCACTACTACCGCAAACAGGTCGGATTTCTCAGCCTCCTGACCGATTCAAGCCCAGTCGGCAAGCAAAACTTTCTTTCCTGCTACCAGAAAGCACGCGAGCAAGCGCTCACTGTGTCAAACATCAAGGGTGGCTGGAAAGCGACGGGTTTGTGGCCGGTGTCGATGGCGAAGCCACTTTTGAGCCCTCTTCTGCTGGAGAACAGCAACAGACGCAAAAGAACGCGAAAAATGTGGCCAATGCATTCAATAGCCACTTACCCACCAGTGACTGGCAATCAGACACATCCCAGATTGCGTGGTCGACCCGAGGCGCTCGCAAGATCTGAAGGTTCAGGTAGTTCAATTCAACCAGCTAGACGACGACGTGCCCACGAAGAGATTGCTGTTCAGGAAGATCACAAAAGGGTTTGACGAGAAGGATGGCCTTTAGCAAAAGCTCAATTGCAGATTCAGGCACTGGAAACACAATTGGCGGCCGTCAAGCCGAAAAAAGGAAGAGGGTGGTCACGAGCGAATTCGAGGTTCGCCAATATTGAGGCAATACGACGGGCGCAGGAGGAGGTGAACGCAGCTGAGAATGAAGAATCTGATGAAACCAAGCTGAGGTTTCAGAAATAGGTGACGATTGTATCGTAGTGCACGGTGGTGGGCAGTGAGAAGGGATTGAATTAATGGTGTTGAAAATGGTCGTGATTTTTTGGGGTGCCCAAAACAGGGGGGTGCCCATTTCTATGTGCAGGGACTTATGGAGAAAACGGGAGCCTCAGGCCCCCATCTTATTTTCCTTACATGCCCCCTTTCGCCCAGAGCGTTCACTGGGAATAGAGAGCCAGGATTGGAAAATTAGCGGAATGCTGGACAGAAGGCGTCATCCATACCCTTGACCTGCTAAATCAGGTCTTTGGTGCTCTGAAAGCACAAATGCAATTGTGCAGGACAGTTCACAAAAAGACAAAGACGGCTGGTCAGGTCACGCCGAGGGGAGGAGCGCTCAGACTGGACTCGGGAGGGTTCCTGAGCAACGGGACATTTAGAGGAGACGACTTGGGTGAATCAGGGGATCCCCTGTTCAACGTTTTGCCGGCTGCAGGGGATTCGCGCTATTCTACGCGTGCCCAGTCTGTCCAGTCTCCCTCCTCTCTTCAACATTCCTCTTTGAGTTTCCAGATTCTGTTCTTAACCTCGTTACGATTACAGGTCTCTGGGATAGACTTTTCATTGCCGTGATTTGGCAGTCGGCGAGGCAACTGTCGGGGAATCGTCCCCTTTCGATCTTGCTTTGAACCCTTTCTCGCGACGTTTTGGGCCACGACGAACTTTTACGGGAAATAAGACGCGGTTCTGGACCATTTCTTTGACTCTTTTGTCGTCCTTTTCCTTTATTCCCTGACACGTTTTATCAAGCTTAGCGTACAACCAGAATCAAGCTGATCGTGATGTATTTCTTTAGTCTTCTTGCCTCTCCAAGTCCGTCAACGACTCTGGTCCTCGAAGACGACCGCGATGCTCGTTCTCCTTGCCAAATACGCCCGAATTCTTGCCCAGTCTTCTAATCGTCTCCTCCAATGCGTGGTAGAACGTCTCACTTCATGAAGTTAAATTTCTCTCGCCAGCGATGCCTCCGCCAGCGATGCCAACTCCTTGCCCACGTCACTCTTCTCCTTGAATGAGAGTCTGCAAGTTCGGTACGACGTCTGGCAGAATACAAGGTCTTGATGCACTTCTCATCAAGTGTGGCATGTGGCCATTGCGTTCATGCTTTGACGGAATCCAATGCCACGCTGTCTCGAGGCGGCGGCGGGTACAAACAAACTATTCCGTGTCAGTGTCAAACTTGTCAGGGTTTCCAGGTCAAGGTGTCTCATGGTAGTACTTTGTGCAAGATCGAGGGCTTGTCTTCCCATTCGAGAACTGGCTCGGAAAGGACGTGGGATGCGCACCACGCTCTACTTTTACTCCCTTTCACTTGTCTCCACTTCCTTTGTTTCATTTACGGCGTCTCTATACGTACCTTTTCCTACAGAGCGTTGGTATCCTACAGGGAGGCATATGTTGCCGAGAGCCCCACCGCCATCTCCGTCACCGTTATGGCAGCCCGCCACTCGTTGTATCTGGAAAATACGGCACACGACGGCGGAACGATTAAGGAATAGACATGAGTCTGCCTTGCGTATAACACGAGACTCCTTTTGTCACAGGTGACGTGAATCTCAAGGGATGTCTGTCAAGATGAAAGATGGTCCTCCCCCGACGCCGTTGTCTTTACTCACCCGTAATTCATAGTCACCAAGTAATTGGATAGCAAACAGGACCCATTCTACATGACCAAGCAAGCTCACACTTGGTCCTCAGTCCGGCAAAAATGGAGGTTGTTTAGAACGTCCTTGCCCACGAGTGGACTACTACAAAAGCATACGATTCTCGGTGCTTTGCCATGCCGTCTTTTCTGTCCCAGATATCACTCAATTCCGACGGCCTGGTACGCAGCATTTCGGAGTCGGTGTCTCTCAAACCAGAAACACTGCTTCATTAGGCAAAAGTGGAACGCTCCAACAGATGCCTCTACTATGGTGCGGGTTATAGCTGATTTCCTTGTCGACAGTGTTCAACATGAGCCTTCGCTTGTGAATAACTTTGGCCAAAACGCGTGCAGAGAGACGAGGCATACCAACAGAAGCCCCGTTGAAATAGGTCTCTGATGCCACCAACGGCTTGGTGGCAGCAACATTAGGATCGGGTTTTCAATACTCTGGGTCGGGATAAACCTCGATGGATCGTCTAGAACCAAATTACCCCTGAGCCTTATTGTCATGTTCCAAGGCAAAAGGCAACTCAAATGAATGCTGATACTTGAAGTTTGTGTACGCAGAATGGGGGCAGAGCCATGACACGAGACATGATCAAGACCAATGTCAATCAATATTCACACGCTATTTCAAACACCACTTCTATTTTTACATTGACTTCGCTATATTCTTCGACTGCTTTGCTTTATCTGGGGGGTCAAATGGAAAGGTATAGGGTAGGCCAGCCACTACCAAAAGTAACTGTTCGTCGCTGCGGGGCCCGCGCTTGGCCGATGTGCCCCAGCGGCAAAAAAACATACAGCAGTGGCGGCGCTCGAAAATTTCCATCCGCCTTCACCTCTCTTGCTGCCAAATCCCCCAAGACGACAATGGGCAAGAAGAATTTCAGGGTAAGCAGCGCGCTTCGGTTCTTGGCGAAACAGAGACTGATCATCATCGTCGTCAACAGGGCAAGAACCGACGCGGAGGCGGAGGCGGAGGCGGAGGCAGAGGCGGCGGCCAGCCTGGCGGAGGTTGGCGCGACCGCGGCACCATGGTCAAGGAGAATGAAAAGCTCCAGCGCTTCTACGACACGCTGCTGCAGCTGCCGGACGAGGAGAAGCAGCAGTACTGGGACGCATTGAAGCGCGAGCTGCCCAACAGCTTCCGCTTCTGCGGCTCCAAAGGGTCTGTCCATGTCCTTGCCCTTGTCCTGTCCCTCGAATGCTGGCTAACCCGCCATCACCCAGTCATGCGCTTGCTGTCAAGCGGCTTCTCCAGACCAGATACATTCCCGAAATCGTCAAGATCGAGAACGAGGACGGCAAACCCGTCGACCCGCCCATGGCCGTGCCCTGGTACCCCGACGAGCTCGCCTGGTGGATGACGACGCCCAAGAACGTCGTCCGTAAGTTCCCGCCTTTCGCCGCCTTCCAAAAGTTCCTCGTTTCCGAGACCAGCGTCGGAAACATCAGCCGCCAGGAGGTCGTCAGCATGATCCCCCCCCTCCTCATGGATCTGCGACCTGGCATGACCGTCCTCGACATGTGCGCCGCCCCAGGCAGCAAGTCGGCCCAGCTACTCGAGATGATCCATCGCGGCGAGGAAGCCCGCGTCCGAAAGGTGCTGCGCTCTTTCGCAAAGGACGACGGCCTGCACCTCGGCAAGGAGACGCAGGACGAGCTCGACGCCGACCTGGAAGCCGACCCGTCCGACAACGGCAGGGCCACCGGTCTCTTGATCGCAAACGACTCCGACTTTAAGCGTGGCCACATGCTTGTCCATCAGCTCAAGCGACTGTCCTCTCCCAACCTCATTGTCACCAACCACGACGCCACGCAGTTCCCTTCCCTCAAGCTCCCGTCCCTCGATTCCGCCCCCGACAAACCCGTCTATTTGAAGTTTGACCGAATTCTTGCCGATGTCCCGTGCTCCGGTGACGGAACGCTTCGAAAGAATGCCAACCTCTGGAGAGATTGGCAGCCTGGCAATGCCCTGGGCTTGCATGTTGTTCAGATTCGAATCTTGGTTCGGGCCCTGCAACTGCTCAAGAAAGGGGGACGCGTCGTCTACTCCACTTGCAGCATGAACCCAGTCGAAAACGAATCCGTCGTCGCCTCGGCCATTGAACGATGCGGCGGACCAGCCGATGTTGATATTGTCGACTGCAACAATCAGTTACAGGGCCTTCAACGGCGGCCCGGCCTGAAAGACTGGAAGATCATGGACAAGTCCGCACGGATATGGGATACCTGGGAGCAGGTCGAGAAGTTTACCAAGGACGAGAACGAGGGCATCGTCCCCGGACGCGTCGTGCAGACCATGTTTCCCAGGCTGGAGGGTTCCGAGTGCTTCGATTTGCCCTTGGACCGCTGCACCAGAGTGTATCCCCATCTCCAGGACACAGGCGGCTTTTTCATCGCTGTCCTGGAGAAGAAGACCGATTTCAAGGCGCGAAACGAGAACGAGCCCAGCACAGTGTCTGCCAAATCAGAGGTCACCACGGAGCCTGTCACTAACAACAAGGCCGAGTATGGAACGCCCAAAGCTGAGCCGGCACCTGTCGATGTTGCCCCCGAGAAAGCTGAGGATGAGACGCCCAAAGCAGAGCAGGCACCTGCAGCAGTAGCAGAGAAGACCGAGATAAAGCAACAAGATGTCGCCGAGAATGACGTCTCGACTACGCACGAAGCCTCGTCCAACGTCACGAAGAGAGCCCTGGATGGAACCGAGGATGGGGAGCAGCAGGCCGTGAAAAAGGTCAAGACCGAGGACGCTGGCGCTGCGCGCGCCAAGGCCGTCCAGCCACAGCCAGAGGCAGTGAACAAGCCAAAGAAGAACCCCCCTCCCGAGGAGCCATTCAAGTATCTGGACCCGTCGCATCCCGTCATTCAAAACATAAAGGAGTTCTACAGCATCTCGTCCCGCTTTCCGGACAATCGCTACATGGTACGCAACGAGATGCGCGAGCCTGTCAAGGCCATCTACTACACCACGGCTTTGACTCGAGACATCCTAACCGAGAACGAGGGCCGGGGCGTGAGGTTCGTTCACGGCGGCGTGCGCATGTTCATGAAGCAGGATGCTCCCTCGGCCGAAGTGTGCAGGTGGCGCATTCAAGCCGAGGGCATGCCCATTCTCCAGGGATACGTAGGCGAGCCGCGAGTCATCCACTTGCGCAACAAGGAGACGCTGCGCAAGCTCCTCATTGAGATGTTCCCACGCATCTCCAACGAGGCTTGGAAGAACTTTGACGAGATCGGCGAGCAGGTCCGGGATGTTGGCATGGGCTGCTGCGTCCTGCGTGTCGAGCCGGACGGCGAGGATCCCGACTTCTCCGAACGCATGGCCCTGCCGCTCTGGAAGAGCATCCATTCGCTCAACCTGATGCTGCCCAAGGAGGACCGGTCAGCCATGCTGCTGCGTGTTTACAACGACATGACCCCCCTGATTAACATCAGTCTGCAAAAGCAAAAGCCCAAAGCGCAACAGGCAAACGACGCCGATCATAAGACGGAAGATGCCGAAGCCCCGAAGGCGCCCAAGGAGGAGATGGATGTGGACGTAGAGGACCTACCTACGCCTGAGGAGATGAACGGAGGCTTACCGGCCCCCGAAGACGGGGAGCCGAAGCTGGAAGCAGAGTCGGGGCAGGCGGCCGAGGCTGGAGATGTATGATTTTCCCGGATCTCATCCAATGTACAGGGAAGCGAGAGGAAAGTCACTTTCTTTTTGGGATACAGGATACGATGTGGGCTTTGATAAGAAGAATTCGATGAATACAGGGCGTGAAGTCCAGAGAGATTTGTTGCTACAGTACAGCTTCGTAGGTAGGGTATCTCGGCGGCTCATTCCTCCAATAAGCCGACTGTCCAGTGCACGATGCGATCCACGCCCTGCCCGTTGATGGCACTGACGGGTATGGCGGCGCACTTTGCCGTCCAGGCGCCCTCGACGCCGCTCGGGTGCGGCGCCTTGCCGCTGGTGACGTCGTCGAGGTAGGCCTTGAGTTCGGCAAAGTTTTCCTGCGTGTCGGCAAGGTCGGCCTTTGTGGCCACGACGAACCAGGGCTTGCCCGCGATGTGCAGGACGGGCGAGACGACCTCGTCCGAGGGCGGGCCGGCGAGCTGGGGGTCCATGAGGTTGACGGGCCCGCGCAGGGGGTCCTGATCAAGGCCCCAGTCGACGCGCGACTCGAGCTCGCGGCCGCGGTCCTCATCGTCGCGCATCTGGGCGTACAGGCCGACCTCGCGCCACAGGGCCTCGAGGGCGCGGACAGCGTTGCCGGCGCCGAGGTCGACGACGAAGGCAAGAACACCGGCGCGCTCGACGTGGCGCAGGAAGGCAATGCCGAGGCCGCGGTCGAGGTGGGCACCCTCAATGAGGCCGGGGATGTCGGCGACGGTGAAGCGCGTTCGGGGCTCGGCGTCGAGGGCTTCCTGGCCGGGCAGCTGCTGGGCGAGAGGCCGGCGGGTCTGGACGGCGGGGCGGCCCGAGTACTTGTCAAGGACGACGGTGCCGATGTTGGGCTGCAGCGTGGTAAAGGCCCAAGACCCGACGCGGGTGCGACTGTTTGTCAGGGCGCGCAGTAGGGTGCTCTTGCCCGCGTTGGGCAGGCCGACGAGGCCGACGTCGGCGAGCAGCTTGAGCTCGAGGGAGACGCGCATGGAGACGGCGGCCTCGCCCTTTGTAGCGAAAATGGGGCGCGGGTGCTCCCGCGATGTGAAGTGCGGATTTCCTAGACCGCCGATGCCGCCGGCAGCGAGGAGGATGGGCTGCGGCGTGGGGCGCGACAGGTCCAGGTAGATGGGGGCCGCAGGCTGCTGGAGGTAGCGGGTGCGGCGAGGTAGGCGAGGGAAGGCGGTGTTCTTGATGTCGGACTTGGACATGCCCGGATACAGCAGCCACTTGGGGCGCTCAGGATCCTCCAGCTCCTCTTCGCCCTCCTCCTCTTCCTCCTGCACCTTTTGTCGAGCCACTCTTTTCGGCCGCTTCTCTCGGCCGCCTTGCTCCTCCTCTTCCTTGGCGGCAGCCTCCAGGTCCCTCCGCGCCTCCTCCTCCAGGGCAAGTTCCCGATCCCGCCTCTTCTTTTCCTTCATCCAATCTTTCCAGGCCTTCATGGTCAAGGCCTCGTCGGCGACCGGGTCCTGCCTCTCGAGCTCCCTGACAATGGTGCCAACGGGCACGGTGATGACGATGTCGTCGCCGCGGGCGCCACCACGGGCGCTGCCCTGGCCATGCTTGCCGCGGCCGGCGCGGATGAAGCGGCGGCGGGCGAGCTTGTGGAGGGACGTCTCGCCGTGGGCGGCCTGGACGTAGACGCTGCCGCCGGCGCCGCCGTCTCCGCCGTTGGGGGGGCCGTCGGGAAGGAAGGCCTCGCGCAGGAAGGAGATGCAGCCGTTGCCGCCGTGGCCGGCGTTGAGGGTCAGCTCGGCCTTGTCGGCGAATGTGGGCGCGGCGTAGTCATCTGGCCTGGGGTTGAGGCGTGATTCGGGGAGGTCGTTGACGTGGGAGGCGGACGGGGACGGGGTGGAGGACGAGGAGGAGAAGGAGGACGAGGACGGTCGACGCCGAGTCTGTGCCGCGGGACGGGCGAGGCCGGGACGGCAACGGAGCACTCGGGAGCAGCAGAACGAGGGGCCGAGCGGGGAGCAGGCCGGGGCGCACCGGGAGGCCATGGCTTGCGAGGAGGATTGGTTGGAGTCGGTCGGCGGAGGCCAGCAAAATCTCTCCGACGGGCGATTAGATAAGCGCGGCTTACTTCGTATAAGCGGGGCGGACCGGGCGGATTGCGGCTCTGCCGAGACTTGGAGTATTTGCTCGATGCTCCGGAAAAACACCCGTTCGAGTAGTCCGGCCCGAAGCCGGGCGTATTAGCGGGTCTTTTCTTGGGTCGGATCTCCTCCCATTTCCCCACCGTCAGGATTGTATCCTCTGGAGATTTAATATACTTCATATCGCATTGATGATTGAATGCTACGGAGCATCAGCAGCACTTGGCTCAGTATTCCACTAAAGAATATTAACTCTTGGCCTGGAGCCTTGGCCAGATGCATCTATATATTTGCCTGGTCCCGGACCCTGGGTGCGGTGGACGCCGAACTGGTATCGAGTAATTGGCGATCCTCAAAGTCTTGTTTGGACCCCTTTTTCGCGAACCCACCTACCCACCACCATGCTAGATCGAATCAAGACGAGCATGGGCCTTTCCAAGGCGCCGACGACGAACTCACAGGAGTACGGGCTGCTCAATGAGGACTTTGCCGACCAGCGCCCTTGTCAACAACACCACGCCGATGGTGCGAAGACACAATGGAGGTGGCCGTCCTTGGCTCTTTCGTTTCTCCTCGGAGCCCTCTCGGCCTTTGCCTTGGGCTTAATAGTCAGCAGCTCCATCTTCCATACCCCGGCAGCAACTCGAAGGTTTCCAGAGGTTCGTCTGGGATTCGACAACAAGACCGGTCTTCCGCTGCATTGGTACAACGGCGACTGCGGCAACTCGCCTGCCGAAGCCCGCGCTCTCGGCTGCCACTTTGACAGCGCCATCCACGCATGGCTCCCCAAGGACTGTCTGACGGACGACGACCTCGAGGATGAAGCCCTCATGTACCAGGGCAGGGACTGGCCGTACGAAATCGACGGCAAGAACATGACCCTGGAGCAGGTGCAGGCCGGGGACTACCACAACATTACGACTACCTTTGACATGCACATGACGCATTGCATGTATGTGTTGAAGAGGATGCACAGGGTGATGCTGGACGCGACGCAAAAGATGGACTCCTATACTGTCAACTTTAATCACACGACACACTGCGTTCACCTGCTCAAGCAGTTCTCGGGGGAGACAGAGAGCGAGGGGGGTGGACACAAGCTCTTTGTCAAATACCCAATCTGCCTATAGCTGCAAAGGAGAACGATGGTGAGAATGCTAGTTTGAGACCAATTAAGTAGACTTTAAAAGTAGGCGCCCGTGGCTACCTATAGGCCGCCTGATTTTTTTAGTCTAGTCTATAGGTAGAAATAGGTTTTAAGATAAAACACTATATTTACCTATTGTTACGACCACGGTCAGCGGGCCGCAGGAGAGCCGGCCACGTTCACGTGATAAGGCGGCTCGGAACAATAGTCGGGACGAGAAGTCACTTAGGCTTAGCTCACCTAGAGCGTACGTAAGCTAAGTGAGCCTTATATAGATAGATCACTACTTAGGAGCATAGCTTACGAGTGAGCTATAGTAAGCTACGAAGGGGATCACGGCCAGGACCGTGATCTAAGGACAGTCTCTATAGGTATATATAGCCACCTACTTTTACTCCTTTAGATAGATAGCTCTCTAGCTTTTAATATAGATCTTTATTATAATTCTATCTTTAATTTTAATTACTTAGTTATAGTCTATAGTCTACGACCTCTAACTTATTACTAATATAATATACTTACTATTACTTAGACTACGCCTTATTATATCTATTAATATAAACCCCTCGATAGGTTTATCCCTTAGGAATAATACTAGTCGTTATACGTTAAAAGCTTTTATTTAGTATAATACCGCGTTACTTTAAGTAATATCGTAACTATTAATATACCTATATAGTAAGCTAGATTAACTAACTCTAGAGCTACTATATTGCCTTAGGATATAATACGCGAAATTATCGCCCTTTAATATAAGGTATAGTTACTTAGGAATAAAGGAGGTAATAGATAAGTTAGGGACCTTAGAGAAGTAGTTAAACTAAAATAGCTAGGACTATTTAACGGTACTTATAGCACGCTTTAAGACTTTCTTACCTAACTTAAGGCCTACTACTAGTTTTACCTTACTAAACTCTTAGACTTAGTTAAAAAGGTACTTTATATAGGAAATTATTTATTTAGAATAGCACTTACTTAGTTTAGACTTATTATAAAGGACTTTCTCGATAACTAACTAGCGCAACGAGATAATAAGATAGACGAAGTCTTTATTAGTTTCTAAGGATTTAAAGAAGCTATTATAAAGGTATTTAGAATAACTAATAAGGAATAAGAAGCTAAATAGAAACTTTAAGAACTCTAATAAAGGATCTTAGTATCGGATTATACTATAAAGTTTTATTAAGTTACCTTAAAGCTTAATTAAAATAACGAACCTCTTATATTACGATTCTATAACGGGCTTAAAGAAGAAGTTAAGGACGAGCCCTATAAGGAAAATTAACTTAATAACCTCTTAGACTATATTACTATAGTAGTATAAATTAACGATAGATAGTATATATAACGCTAAGAAAAGAAATAAGGAAGAGGAAACTAAAACCCTTTTTATAGGAATAACTTTAACTAACGCGCTAACTATAAAAAGAAGCGTAAAACTCCTATTACTTACGCTTATATAACTAACTTAGGTAAGATAGATCTAGATATAATATAGAAAAGTAAAGGAAAGTATTTTAACTATAGGAAACTTAGATATTACTTTAAAGAATATAGATAACCTTATAAGGAGAAGAAAACCTACTAGGCACTAGCCTTAAAAGGTAAGAAATACTTAAACGCTACTAATAGATAAGAACTAAAGTATAAACTCCTTAGTTAGACTATATACTACGACGATAAATATATAGTATACCTAAGCGATAAGAATAGTACTAGATAGTTCCTAAAGCTATTAAAGAAAACCCTTATAATAATATAATAAAGGGATCTTAAAATATAGAAATAAGTTAAATTTATAGAACTAAAATACCCTTATCTTAAAAGAGTCTTATAAGACTAGATTAAGAAGAATAATTAACGATTTTTAGAAGATATATAAAGTAAAAATCGATAATAACGATAGGCAGTCTATAAATAATATAATAAAGAAGATATAGATATAGCTCTTATACTTACGAAACTTAGATAATAACCTAAGGAGGAATAATAAAGTATCGATAATATAAGCTCTAAAGAATAAGAAATACTTAGAGAAATAGAAGATAAGAACGAACTTATACTACTACCCTCGCTATTAAGGGAAAATACTATACTTAGAGAATATACTTTATACTTTAAAGAATTTAAAGAAATACTTAAAATTAAAACCTAATAAACGCCTTAAATTCTTATAGAAAACTAATAAGCTATATTAATTCGATATTAACTAGTACTATATAAAAGAGACTATACTATAGCTATTACTATAGTCGATACCTTTATAGCTCTATAATAAAAATAGTAACTATAAGGAGAATTTAAAGATAATCTATAAATACTACTTACTTATAAGCACTATAAGTATATTTTATAGATATTATATATCTACTTAGATTATATAATATACTTTTTAGATAAAGGTATAATACGATGCCTTCTTAGTTAGGTTTAAGGGATAAGTACTTTTAAAACCTTACTTAAGTATAAAACTAAACTACTAGAAAATCGATTAACGTTACTTAAACGACTAAGTTATATTATTAGAACCTAATTATAGTACGCTACTTAAATACCGCGATAATTATAGTTTATTAATAAGATATCTTTTAGAGATATATAAAATCTATAAATACGCTAAAATAAAGGAATAGTATAACGCTACTTACTTTAAGGTATCTAAACCCTTAATCTTTTAAAGACTTATATAATAAACTAAATATAATAAAGAAGATTATAATAAATATATATACTTAAACTATAGAGTTTATAAATATAAAAAAGTATAAGTATAGTATAAATAATATAATAGTATACTAAAAGATTATTAGTAATATATATAAAGGCTATAGGCTATATTTAACTAAGGGAGAATCGATATAAAAATACTACGTATAAAATAGAAAGATATAAAATAAAAACTTAACCTTTAGTACGACAATAAATAAAATTATAAAGTATAGTACGTAATTAATTATAAAGTAATATAATATAAATAATATAGCGTTAAGAAATAAGAAATCTTCGATTAGCTATAAGAAATTAGTCTCTTAAGCCCTAATATAATACTATATAATAAAAATATAAAGAAACGATATTAATAATAAATTAAAGAAGAATATTTAAATAAAACGAATAAGGACTAAGTAAAAAACAAGGTACGCTATCTATAAAAAGGCTATAAACTAGTATAATATAATAAGATCTAAGGACCCTATATATAGTAACGGTAAGCTATAGCGACTAAATAGTATTAAATATCTAAATCGCGGGATATTATATATATATACTTTTAAACTATAGCGTAATAGGTAATTACGTTTTACCTAGAGTTATTAATCGTTACCGACTTATATAGAGATATAAGATAGATCTATATAAACTTACGAATATTAAAGGAGAGGCCTTTAACTATAATAATAGAATTATTAATATAAAGATTAATTACCTCGATATTAATATCTAAGGCTATAATAAATAAGTTAACTTCGATATTATAGATATTAAAGAACACGACCTTATATTAAGGCTTCTATAGCTATAAGAGAGTAACCTACTAATTAACTAGAAAACTAGCTAGCTATATTAAAATAAAGATATAAGTTTCTAAGACTAATAGATTTAAAAGAAAGTAAAATTTTACGATAATTTAGCTATTAAATAAGATAAAAGGGATAACTATTTAAGTAAATTATTATAGGCTTTAGCGATATAAATAAAAATAGTAACTAAACTAACGGATAAAATAAAATTAACTAATAAGACCTATATACTAACTAATACGGCTATATAACCTAGCATCTAATATAAATAAAATAAAGGATATAATATAAAGATTTAAAGAGTTATTACTACTCTAAGAAAAGACCTTAAATAAATTAATAAAGAGCTTAAGTTAAGAGAAACTAGCTCTTAAAAGAAAGAATAAAGCCTATAAGATAGAATAAAGAATATCCCTTAAGAATACCGGAAATATAATAAACTCTTTAAGAAAGAACTTAAGATAGGGTTACCTAAATATAGCTAATAGGACTATAAAATTTATCTTAAGGATAGAATAACGCTAACGCTTTATAAAATCTATAACTTAAACGAAAAGTAACTATAAATATTACGCGACTACCTTAATAAGAATCTATAAAAGGGATATATATAAACGTTAATATCTAAAGTAAGCTACCTAGTTATATTTATTTTAAAGAAAAACGGTAAGCTATAACTAATTATTAACTATAGACGCTTAAATAATATTATAATAAAAGACCGAATACTATTACTACTTATATTAAAACTATAAGATCGACTATATAGTAAAAAATAGTTTATAGCCCTTAACCTTAAAGGCGCTTATAACTTAATATATATAAAAAAGGGATATAAATAGATAATAGCCTTTAGAACGAAATTCAGACTATTTAAATATCTAGTAATACTATTTAGACTTATAAATATACTAGCTACCTTTTAATAGATAATTAATAATATCCTATATAAATACTTAGATATCTTTATAGTAGTATACTTAGATAATATCCTAATCTTCTTAGATACTATAAAAGAATATAAGGAATATATTTATAAGGTACTCCGCGTACTTTAGAATATAAAGTTACTAATTAAACTAAAGAAAAGTAAGTTCTATATATAAGAAGTAGACTTCCTTAGATATATAATCTTACTAAAAGAGATATAAATATAATAAGATAAGATTAACTTAGTTAAAGAATAGCTAACGCTAAAGAACGTTAAGGACGTATAAAGTTTCCTAGGATTTATAAATTACTACTAACGATTTATTAAAGATCTTAGAAAGATTATAGTACTACTATATTATAACTATAGTTAGTAGGCTATAAGAGAGCCGGCTATATTTACGTAATAAGGCGGCTTAGAATAATAGTTAGGACGAGAAGTTACTTAAGCTTAGCTTACCTAAAGCGTATATAAGCTAAGTAAGCCTTATATAGATAGATTACTACTTAGGAGTATAGCTTACGAGTAAGC